TTGACGAATATTCTCAATTGCTCAGTGTGACCCTGGGTTAACTGATCGCGTCGTTCTCGTTGAATGTCTTCGTGAGTGTCCCTACTGAATTTGCTGTACACGGGGCGCATCCTTCAAAGATCGTCTTGTTCAATCCCTTCATCGCACTCATTCTCAAACAACTTCTGTGGAGGTACGGCATTCCTTTGTCAACCGTCTAGAGCTTCATTCACATACATTCACACTGCTATGGTGCAGTCACGGTCCCGTAATACTCTCTAAACCACTTCTTCAAGTCGTGGCCCTAGTTAGATCCATACGCGCGGATGCTTTGCACGATGCCTTCCGAGCCCATTCAGTGGAAAACCTCGCTGTTAACAGTACAGCCGGAGTGCATTTCGACCGTTGCAAACGGTAGAGCCGCCTCCGGCCGGAGTAGTCCGGGTCTACCGTTAGCAACAATGCACCGCTTGCAACAGGCCGGCCGGGCTTTTGGCCGGGGTAATGTACCTGTTGTAAACAGTCCGGCTGGATAGGCAACGGTCCGGCCGGACCCATACAACATCACTGCAAACAGGCCGGGTGGAGGGCAGGGTTAGCACATGCAACGGAGTGGCCGGCCAGTCCACGTTGCAAACAGAGCGGCCGGACTCAGGCCCCACCACTTCAAATGTTCCGGCCAGGATAAAATCCCTTCATTGCAAGCGGACCGGCCGGAGTGAAGTCTATCTGGTCCAGAATGGGTTGGCCAGCCTAAACAAACTGACTCCACGAACAGGCCGGCCGGGCAGGAGTTGTCCTGCTTCAAACGGTCTGGCCGGTCACAGCCCCCTGGGGGCTATTGAAATACTATATGTATTATGCACCTATAGGGTATACCATCATTAGTAGATCACAGCATAATTTTCCCATGACTTAGGGATGCCTAGTGAAGCTGCAAAACACAAAACAGCCCCACTGGCTGGCCAAATTAACTGGCCAGAGATTTCACTCACCCAGGTTTTTGCTTTACTGGCCATAAAATTAGCCAGGTTGTCCCTACAGGGCCAAATCAATAGGCCGGACATTTCAAAACATTGGCCGGGCATTTTAGTTCATTGGCCGAAGCTTTTAATTCACTGGCCGAAGCTTTTACTTCATTGGCCGAAGCTTTTCGTCACCGGCCGAAGCTTTGGATTGACCGGCCGAAGCTTCTACTTCACCGGCCGGCAAAAACAGCCGGTGCTCGGCCAAAAAATGGCCGGCCGGTGGGCAAAACCGGCCGGGCTGTTGAATTACTATATGTGGAAATGTGGTATTGTCTGGAAGCCCTTCATTCATAGAGTCTAGTATTGATTTCCTAGTGTCCAAAGGTACATAGTTAGGCCAGGATATGCGAGACAAGATTTACTCACAGGCTTCTTTGCAAAACATGTTATTCAACTGCTGAAGCCAATATTCTTTGCCCACACTGTTTGACTATCTAGAATGTGTTATTTCAATGCATAGAGTAGATTCTCAAAAGGAATAGTCTTATTCTTCGAAGCTGAATGCAGAACATGAGATAAGGGGTAAGGTATAGTATACATGTCAAACAATGTTGACTTCCTGCAGCCAATCTACATTCCAAACACAGTTTCACAATCTAGAATGGTTCATTTACACACAAGGAGTGAGTCGTCCAAAGGAATAGTCTTACTCACATGAGCTGAATGTGGTACAGAGTTAAGGGGATCATGCACAGGCCGGACCATCTCCTATGAGGATTGGCCGGCCGGACCATTACCAACGTAGATGTTTCTGTGCCATTCTTGATTGCCAAACCTTGTGGGCAAAGCATATTGGCTTCAGGATGTGAACACAGTATAACATGTATACCCATATACCCACCCTCACCTTAACTCTGTGCTGCCTTCAGCTTGTGTGAATAAGACTATTCCTTTGGAGGACTGATTCCTTGTGGATCAATGAACTATTCTAGATGGTAAAACACTGTTTGGAAAGAACATTAGCTGCAGGAAGTCAACATGTATACCATACCTGTATACCCCTTATTTGTTGTCCTGCATTCAGCTTCAAAGAATAAGACTATTCCTTTTGGGGATCTACTCTATGCATTGTGATAACACATTCTAGATTGTCAAACAGTGTGGGCAAAGAATATTGGCTTCAGGAATTGAATAACATGTTTTGCAAAGAAGCCTGTGAGTAGTAAATCTTGTCTTGCATATCCTGGCCTAACTATGTGTTCTTGGAAACTAGGAAATTGATACTAGACTCTGTGAATGAAGGGCTCCCAGACAATACCACATTTCCACATATAGTAATTCAATAGCCCGGCCGTTTTTGCGCACCGGCCGGCCATTTTTGCCGAGCACCGGCTGTTTTCGCCGGCCGGTGAAGTAGAAGCTTCGGCCGGTCAATCCAAAGCTTCGGCCGGCGATGAAAAGCTTCGGCCGGCGATGAAAAGCTTCGGCCAATGAAGTGAAAGCTTCGGCCAGTGAGAAAAAGCTTCGGCCAGTGAGAAAAAGCATTGGCCAATGAAGGAAAAGCTTCGGTCAATGAATAAAAAGCTTCGGCCAATGAACTAAAATGCCCGGCCGATGTTTTGAGATGTCCGGCCATTTAATTTGGCTGGTGGCAGCTTCACTAAGCCCCTTTGAAATGTGGGAACACTATGTTGGGCTCCATTAGTGATGGTCTTACATATACAATCATTCAAATCTGTATCATAATACAATAGGCCGAAGGTTTTTGAATGCTCTCGGCCAGTGTTTGCATGGCTGGCCAGTGAGCTAACAGCTCAGGCAATGTGATAGGGCATGCACTGTGGACATATACATGCTACTAGTAGGCTGTTCTAAGGGAGTATGGTCTATTGTTGACTGGCCCAGCCGATACTGGGTCACAATACTGTTGCCCGGCCGGACCGTTACCAGTGTGGAGTGCTAGATTATATGGCCTGGCTAGCCTGCTATCAATGTGGAAAAATGGTCCGGCCACTCCGTTGCCAGCTAGAGATGATGCAACCCGGCCGGTCTGTTATTAGCCAGGGAGCATATGCTCCGGCTGGCCCATTGCAACTGCTGAATTATGCACTCCGGCCGGCCCGTTACAAATGAAGGATCCCATTGCCCGGCCGGTTCGTTACCATAGGAGAAAGAGTATCCCGGTTGATCTGTTATAATTAAAACCCCTTATTGCCCAGCCGGTCCGTTGCCAGCAAGACACTAAATGGCCCCCCTGTTCAGACAGAACATGGGTGCCCTAGGGATACACCGGCCGGACCGTTTGAACTGGTTTGAGATACACTCGGCCGGCTTGTTAGAAACCAGTCCGGCCGGCCTGTTTGCAACGAGGAAATCACAGCTCCGGCCGGAGGCGGCTTTACCGTTTGCAACGGTCGAAATGCACTCCGGCTGTACCGTTAGTATCGAGTAGGTACCACTGAATAATGTGGCCTTCCACGGAGCTGCATAGGCTGCGCGTGGCCTGCAAGGCGGACGATGTCGCCATCTTCAACCCTTCGTCTGGGCAGACCTGCCAAGGATGGGGGGCCGCGTTCGTGAACACGTACGGCGGCTACATCGACAATCCACAGGACAACACTGCCTCTCGGTATTGCCAGTACCCCGTCGGGGACCAGTTCTACGAGCCCCTCGACATCAGTATCCGAGTCCACAATCGGTTTCGCGATGCTTAGATATTGTTCGCGTTTGTCGATGAGTTGCTCGTTCCTTTGACTGCATTTGGAAGTATGTACTCAAGTCCCGCCTTCAGCGTTCAACATGCTAGCTACAATTGGTGCATATCCAGCCATGACGTATTAACCATCACTCACAACTGTTCCCAGTGATATCGCGGTACCTAAGACACAACAAACGTTGATCGACGGTTAGTACACCGGTTGAGGATGAAACACGACAGCTACCATTGACGACGCGGAAGAGTATAGCGACCCATTGTAATAGACCAGATAACACGTTGATGTTGTTAGTCTGGACGACGATGTGTATGTGAGGACAAGGACTCGGGTCCCCTCCGAGTCTCGACCTAGCCTGGTCTTCCCACACGCGCAATGGATGGGCGCCCCGAAGAATACAGCTACTGATAATAGGGTTAGGGGCATGGCCACTCACGCAAGTACTAACACGCCTGGTACACGCCGTGACCTGTGCATACTTGCTCACATCCACGTCGCATCCTCATACTAGGGTATAAGTGCCCAGATGTCCGACCCCCAGCCTGAGCCTAGTGTCGGTCCTCTTGTTTCTGTCCATGATCCCGACTGATGCGCCGTTCACTTAGCATCTTCCCGCTTCTCCCGACATCTCGCACGCACGCACCACGCAATGGAGTGCCGACGGGAAAATTGATGACGATCAGAGCAGTGCCGATGAACAGGACGACGAGATGTGGAGTACCGATGAGCAGAGCAGTGAGGAATCCAGCGCCGATGACTGGAGCTACGAAGGCTTCAACGTTACCGGAATACGGATCTTCAGAGGCTGGTGGGACGCCCGTTTTCAGGACACCCTGCCCCTGGCCCTCTCAGATCGCATCCCGCTCGAGGTCTTCGAGTTCGTCATCGACGCGATGATCGGTGATCAGCCCACATCGGCCGCGGCCGCGCTGGTCTGCACAATGTGGTATCCTCGCGCGATGCACAGCCTCTACTATGCCGTCGAGATTCGCAGCCGCACCAACTTCAACATACTGTTCAAGCAGTGCCACGCGTCCCCACGCGTCAAGCAGTCGCTCGCGAGCACATGCCGGCTACTGGCCAACTTCGGAGGACATCACAACCTTCAAGCACTACCATCCGCACTCGTTGGTGTGATGCCTCGTGTACGCATCCTTCACATCGAGAATGGAAGACTTCGTTTCATCCGCGCGGACTTCTTCCTTGCCCTGTCGAGGTTCAAGTCTGTCACGTCGTTGACACTTGGCCATTGCCTACTAAACAACATCACGCAGCTACGGCAGATTGTATCTGCCTTCCCTCAGCTTACAGACCTCACAATAGATGTTAGGTTCGCTCAGGAAGGTGCTGCCAGTTACGCGGGAGCCCCACCATTTCAGCCATCATCTCACATTCGTCTTCGATACCTTAACATTGACGTACACCGCCAAGAAATCATGGCGATGTTCCTCGACTGGATGACGCAATCAGGCCTCTGCACCTCACTTGCGGGTCTGACATTTCGGCAGGACGCAGACTACGGGCCTCCCTCCGTGGGCCACACACCACTCAGTAGCAAACTCCTCGAAGCGGCAGGGGCATCGTTGACCCGTTACTGGGAAGTACTTGACCACGACAATGCATACCGTAAGAGTACCTTTGTCTTGCTTGTAGACTTCGCCACTGATGCCCGTGCAACAATGTAGGTTTCCAAAGCAATCTGTTGCAAAACACCTCACTGCGATCCTGGAACTTCACACTGCGAGCCATGGAGCACTCTACCAGAGACATGTACACGGGGCAGACTTACAGGGCGTGGATTGAAGCAATCCACGACTTAAGTGACATCTTCTCCACCATCCGAAGCCGTCAGCTCGAGCGCATCGCGGTCTGCGTTCCACTTGTCTTCGACTACAACTTTCTCGCCTATGAGAAGCCCAGTGCTGTCCTCAAGTCACTCAATCTAGAGGGCCTGCATGAAGTCATGAGCCGGCCATACTTCGACGCATTGCAGGATGTCGAGGTGAGGACGTACCTGAGTCATCGAATGGATCCTTCCGTGGACGTGGTCATATCCGAGGATAGGCTCGAGCCCATTTTCGGTGGCATATTGCAGCCATGGTCTGCTCGTGGCGTCGTCACCGTCACCTACAGGGGCCATTGATATCGTCATCACCCGCGAGCCCGTTCGCACACAGAGACACACACCCGTCCGTCCAACCCTTGTCTCCCGTTCAGCCATTCAGCCACGCCCACGAGTTCACATGTTGAAGATGCAGAGGCACGTCGCCCGGACGGTCCTGGCGGAGGTGGCGGCACCGCGGCTTCGTCATCGCCCGTACGGAGCGCGGGTCGATGCGAGGGGATTGGTAGTTCACAAGCGGTCGTCTGGCTGCATCGGCCGGCTCAGTGGCAGGACGGATGACGCTCTGGTATGGAGGTGACTCGGTTTGGTTTACAGTCTCGATTGACGAGTCATATCTCAAGTTGCTATGATGACTGAGATGTATCACGCTTGGATGATGACCCGATGTACTACTATACATCGACCTCGGATTTGGGCTTGAGAGTTTTGAGATGTGATTGTACCGTACTTTCCCACTGCTCCGGTCAAACGAATTGTATCTTGTTTTGGTATCATCGTGTTCATGTTCACCAACCCATGCGGCGAACATCCGGTACTTCCACGCTTAGGATGTGAGGATTGCCAAGAGCAGATTTTACATAGAAGATGCATCCACTCATGGACAATGTATTAGAAGCCTCCGACGCGACGCTGGCGACTGACAGCTGCTCCCATAATCAAGAATGATGTTTAACATCTTGTTGTTTGATGTTATCGAGTTCAAGATCACAACTGAGCGGGTCGAGTTCAACCGACTCGCATCGAGATGCAGGGAAGACCGAACCATAAATATTCCATAAAGATACGACCATGCTACAAGTCGACAGTGTGACCACAAATATACCCAACTAGTCCCGTACAAAGCCATCCACGTCCAAGTCCCAGAAACACGAGCCTTAAGTAAGACGCCAATAAACAAGACCAAGAACCCGAGTACGATGAGAGAACCAAAATCCCAACCGGAAAGAGGTGAAACAAGAGAAAGAAATAGTAAAAGATGAGATGAGATGAGATGGAAAGGAAGGTGTAGGGATTGCAAGCCAGACTCGCGGAATGCCCCTCCGCTCGCCTGACCCGCCCCGACGATCGACGAACCTCAGAACACGCGGGGGCATCGGTGCTCTGAGGCTCGTCGGCCATCGGATCCCAGCATAGTAGTGGAAGGAAAGACAAGACGGAACCACGAGGAAAGACCAGAAACCAGGGAGACTACAACGCTACAGGGCGACCCGAGAGAGAGAAATATCGATACAGATAGGCTGTGTGGAGAACGATGCGGAGCGGAGCTGTGTGCGGACGGTCAGACGCACCAGGAGGGGTGAGGGGCGAGGGGACGTACCAGAAGCTCATGCGCCCCGCTTCGAGCCCTTCGACTTCTTCGAGGCCTTCTTCTGACCACGACGAGTCTGGCGAGGACCAGAGGTGGGGACGCGCATGCCGCGGTTCCAGAGAGGTGCCGGGTCCTGTGCATATTGTCATCAGCCTCCTACTGTGAAACATTGAGCGATCGAAACGTACCACGTGATCCGGCTCGTCCTCGACTACTAAGATGAACTCAGCGTTCACAAGGTCGTCCAGCAGCTGTCGAGGATGTTAGCGGGTGGGAACAGCGATGAGGCTTATGGAGACTTACCACCCACTCGTTGCCGTCGCTCGTCGTGATGAAGATCCTCCCGCTGCTGGTCCACGGCATGTTCCAAACGTGGACGACCCGGCGTACGCAGCGTCCGATGAATGGAAAGACGTGCGTTTCGACGACGTTATGAGGGTCGTGAGCGATCATCGCGGCCAGGATATGTCCCCCGATAACCAAAGAGAGGAGCATGACAGTACGAAGCATGTCCTCCGCGGGCTTCGAGTTGGCGGGCCATTCGCGAATGATCTTGACACGGATGTCGCCGACGGCGATGGTCGCGTAGTCGTCGTCCGTGGGCGAAGGTGCATCGCGAAGAGAGGAGCAGATGATGCAGGGGGCGAGAATGATGTCCTTAGTACCGGTATATCCGCTTGGTGTCTTGCGCGCCTCAGGTAGCGCTCCGGAACCAGGCGGACTCCCAGGATCGATGTAACCGATGTCGATGTTGGTCGTACCGTTCACGAAGGAGAGGTCCGGGGACCAGTCTTCGTCGGAGGGGGCGAGTTGACCGCTGTACGACGAGCAGGTGTTAGAGAGCGGACGCCGCTGCAAGACACGAGCACGCACCTTCGCCACATCCCAATGAGTGTGCCATCCCAACCCGTGTTGAACGAACCGTCCTTGATGCGAAGCAACGTATGTCCGAGTCTGGCAAGAATAAATAAATAATGTTAGGATGTTCGACTCGGAGGGCGACCAGGGTGAGCACGACGTACCCGACGGGGTTGAAAACTGCATCAACAGTCTTGCCCCAGGCGGCGCAAGCCCTGTCGATGCCGGCGGGAGGCCTGAATGGCGGGGCGCCGCCGTCTTCGGGGCAGTAACCACTGAGGAGGGTGCCGACGCCGACAGAGACCTCCGCAAGGAGCTTGAAGAAGCGCATGGTGAGAGAATAAGAGAGTGAGGTTGAAAAGTGAGAGGCTGAGAGTGAGTCTCGAGAGGCGATGTGCGAGGGACCGCTGATGGGGGGAAGGGAGGGCGGGGCAGCTGTATTTATACCCCGCGGCGGGCGGCGGTATATATACGGGCGCGGGGCGCGTTGTTTGCGCGTTGTTTGTCGCATTCAACGCGATTAAGGTTTGTATTCAACAAAGTCACGTTAGTGAACAAGTGAAGGGTGAAGTGCGGAGTGCTTTCCTAATTGGGAGGACGGGGGTCGTTCGTTTTGCGGGTTGTCTCCTCCCCCCATCTTCCCCCGCACTCCCAATGAGCAGCACAGCATAATATACATCACACGCACCATATAAGCACACGGCAGTACAGGCCTGGTCGCACAGACCTCTTGAAAAGCGCATATACGCGCTCTGCGAGTCGTCTATGCTGCGAGGCGCAACCTAGCCGCCTTCGGCCATTTCCCAGCTGTCTGCGAAAGGTTAGATAGTAATAAAGGGGAGCTCACCTCGTCACAGCGAGCAGTCGGCTGACGTGCGAACTTGCTGGCAAAGGGCGGCGCAGATGACGAGCTATGCGACCACTGGGCACCATACGCGCGGACGAACAGGCCTCCCTGCTATGTTCCATGGAGCAAGCACTTCAGAAACCACTGCGAGTGAAGTGGTAATGTTCCTTACGGTACGTTATCCTTTCTCGCGGCATGAGGCTATTCACGCCGTCTCGGTCCACCCTTCATTCTCCTAGACTCGTCAACCCGCTTCCGAGTCAGCAGAGACGTGAAGTACGAGGGGATTCTCGCGCCAGGTCAAAGTGGTGTTCATGAGGCCAGCCGGAGTCACGGCCCATGATGATGGTGGTGTCCAGGGTGAGTGACGAATGAGTGCGGAAGTAAACCTGTCTGGTAATCGCTTACGCGCTGAGTTCAGTAGCGATGTGATCTTCAGCGCTCGCTGCCTCGAGGCGCAGAAGCGAGCGCTCAGTCGACCGTGTCAACCGACCTTTTCAGCGCAGCCACCATCCCAGTCACAACCGACTCACCGTGCAAAAGCTACTGCCATCCAGCAACGGAGAACACAATGACCATGCATGCCCATTGAAACCAAAATGCAACGTACTTTGTCAAACCGACGACCTGTGTACCGCGTCTTGCAGCGCTCCTCGACTTCCGCACGTAAGGGGCTTGTCCGCAGGCGTAGACCGGATATCAAGTGCATGCATATGGTTCGATGGGATAGGGCAATAGGTAAGTCGTAACTTAACGAGATCCCAATTTCCGGCACCAACGCCACTGGCGTTTCAACCCAGTTCACATCCCCTTCTATGAGGTCCGGAACACCAACTTCCTCCGCATCTTCTAGTTCTCAGTCTTCTAATGTGACGTCCCCTATGGATTTTTGACGTGATACCTTTTCTGCGTTCCGATTTCGATAGGGCCAGCGTAGTGGCGCGAATTCACCGATCGCGATCAAGGTCTATAAGCGTGTTCTGTTGTGCAAGTGCGGTTTACAGCAGCAATTGTGGATGAAATGTTTGACCTATCGCGTATGCAGGTCAGCCGTGCTAGAGTCCTTCATATCTGTGAAAGGCTAGCCTTGAATCAGATGCCGTAGCTTCGTTACGACATGTGTCCTAACGCGCTGTGATTGCATGAGCGCCGCCTCGCGCTCGCCATGACCGCGATACTCAATCGTGTCGAATGTCGAGGCGATGTCACAGAAACGAAGTTGCTGTCTTGCGACTTCACGAGGTACGAGCGCACATATATATTTCGCTCACGCATTATGTGCTCCGTCTGCTCGTCTGCGCAACAAATGCCTGTTTGAAGTGGCTCAGACGCGGATTTGCTATTGTGAAGGGCCTCAGGTATGTACACTAGTACACTCCTCCGCTTCATGTCATCGCCCATGGTCTGACGAGTAGCCGAAATGCAGCAGGAGTTGAACACAGTATCTCCCAAGTTCTATTCACGCTCGACGCACTATCCTACAGTTCAGCGCTCAGCCTCGAACCGCGGAAGTTTCGCAAGGGTTACTTTCACTGAGTTCGACGCTTCCCCCACAAGCATCTGTTGAGCAGTGTACCGTCAGAGTGAGTCGCTCGTAACGGCTGATCAGTGCAAAGTACTCATGAGCCGGAGGCCATCCTGCACAGGGAATTGCGAACCTGATGGTGTTCAGCAGCATGAAGCCTCCGAGCCAGTGCTGAGGACAGACTGAGCACGGACGGAGAAGCTGCCATCGATCAATGCGTTCGACGCGATGTTGTCACGGTTCACCGCGCATTCGTGACCTTCGTACGCCACGCACGCCGCACCGTGGACTTATATTGACGCGGATCGCGTATTATATCTTCTTCGCGCAGCAGGTCCGTCAACCGCGAGCCTCGCATCGAGAGACTCAGGAATCCGATATATTCCCAGACACGAGACGGAAACCGAGCCACACTTCCTCGTGTCGTTCAGCACCGTTCTTGGGGTTCGCGTCAGCGGGATATGCGTTTGAAACTCACCCATCCAACCCCAGTCAGCCCCAGACGCTAATCCTGCATGTGTCTGTTGAATCAGCTTGTCTTTGGTGAGGACGTCCGTCAAAGGTGCGCCTGATTCTTGGTGGTGAAACATTGACGCAACAGGCCTTGTTATCTCAGGTCGTACGTGTGTACCGCGTCTGGGCTCCGCAGAAATGCAGCCTAGTACGCACCCTGCCACGACGAGGATGCTCGGCAGCACGCCATTCGCTCACCCGCGGTCAACGTATCAAACTCCGTTCTCAGCGGGGTCCGTAGGTCCTTCTGTCCACTCAGGGTTCTCGGAGGAACAGGTGATGCGCCCGACAGTGTTACTGATGGTGTCTTTCAGAGTCTGCCACAACTAGTGTGCGATTCCAGCTACATCCAGTGATGATGCCAGAAGACGGTGACGGCCTGCGATGATAGCGGTAGGCTATGCAAGGTTTCTATGCGGGGGTGGCTTACTAACCTTCTCAGGGACATACGGTTTTATTCGCGCCGTACGGGCGGTGGACCGGGACCACTCTACGAATACCTATTTAACTTGAGATCGTGTCTCTTGGCGAGCTACCAAGGCCTTCTTTCGAGCATAGCGTATCGTCAGCTCAGCAGACCGAAATCTAGGTGACGTATCGCCATGGTATTACTGTAGCGATTGCTGATGGTTGTCCCACAGAATGTTGGAATCCCCGATTCTGCTTGTCCTAGCCTGCCTCGCAATTGGCATCTTCGCTACCCTCATTCAGCACCGCGAGAAGAACCTGCCGCCGGGCCCAACGCGCATCCCGCTGCTGGGGAACGCATGGCGCGTGCCAGTGGAGAAGTCGTGGATGTACTTCCACTCGCTGTGCCAGAAATACGGTGAGTCGCTCGTGGTGCCGCTTTGTTGCGTGCACAATGCTGAAAGACGTGTAGGACCTATGGTCATGCTCAAGGCGCTTGACAACGATATATTGGTGTTGGACAACGCAGAGGACATCGAAGAGCTGGTAAGGCAGCCGATATCACTTCGGACGAGTCATGTCTGATGGACGGCATGGGTAGCTCGTGCAGCGCTCGAAAAACTACTCGTCGAGGAAGCAGCTCATCTACGCAGGCAAGTACCGTTCGCGAGACAAAGTCAGTGATCATTGTCAACGCGACCGCGTTTCGCGTTGACCCCTCCACCAGCGCCTAGTTCTGATGCCCTACGGACCGCTTCTCAAGAAGTATCGCACTGCCATACACACGATGATGAACCCGCAGGGTTAGTGGCGCGGATCGTGATTCATTCCAAAGTCTCTGACAGAACTCCGCCCAGCTGTCGGCGCATACGAGCGCTTTCAAGAGCGCGGCTCGATGGTGCTGCTCAAGGGTATCATAAACGACCCCAGCAAGACGTACATCAACATCAAGCGGTTCACCGCCGAGACGCTCTTCACTCTGATCTACGGCAAGGGCTTTGGGAGCGAGGAGGACCTGCGCACCGTGCTGCACATCCTCGAGACGTTCATCCGGGACATGCACCCGTTCACGCACATGGTCGACTGGGTGCCCATCCTCGATTGGCTACCGGACTTCTTAGCCCCTTGGCGTGACGAGGCGCGCAAGAAGGGCGAGTACGAACATGAAGTTGGGCTGTCCATCATGTGCAAAGAGTTGTTCTCATGGTACATCACAGTTCTACAGCCATCTTCTCAAGGATGTCAAGACACGGATGGACTCGGGCGCGCATGTCGAGTGCTTTGCTGCTAACCTTTGGGAGAACGCGGAACAACTTGGTCTCGATGAGGACTCCTTGGCGTACAGTAAGAGTTATGCAGTAGCCCTCATATTTCCGTTGCTGAAGATCTGTGACTAGTTGCTGGTACCGCATTCGAGGCTGGAACGGATAACACTGCTGGAGTCATCTTGTGGTTCCTTGTTGCCATGATGCACTATCCCGCCGTCCTGAAGCGAGCGCAAGCGGAGCTTGATGAGGTCCTCGGTGCCAATGGCGATACTGCGCCGTGCTACCACCACCTCGATCAGCTGCCATACTGTTTGGCGCTTGTCAAGGAAGGCCTCCGGTGAGCTCGGGTGTCGGAAAGTGCCTAGCGTGCTGCTGACTTGATCCTTAGATGGATGCCAGTCGCTCCGTTGGCAGCGCCCCATTACAGTCTGCAAGATGATGTCTATAAGGGCTTTCGCATTAGCGCAGGGACGACCGTGATACCGAACATCTGGGCTATTCATCACGATGCGACCATCTACTCTGACCCGTTCGAGTTCAATCCCGAGAGGTTCCTCATGGCAAAAGAGGATATACGGCCTGAGTCGTCGTTGAATGAGGGACACTCTGCCTTCGGCTTCGGGAGGAGGTGAGGTATAGCGTCGTCGGAGCGATGTAGTTTCTGACGCGTGTATAGGGTCTGCCCTGGGCAACACTTCGCCGCGAAGTCCGTCTGGATTGGCATGGTGCGCCTCATGTGGGCTTTCGACATCAACCCTCCGATGGACGTTAACAAGAAGCCTATCTTGCCGGATGTCGGCGCGTGCCGTTCGGGTCTGACTGCGTAAGCGAGTTCATCACTAAGTATCTGTGATCGGCAGCTGATGGGATCCAGTGAACCGGCGCACTTCGACGTCGTTCTTACTCCGCGCTCAGAGCGGCACATTCAAACCATTCGGCGGGAGTCCTGAATGTTCGACAGGTTCTGATAGATGCATTTCAAGCGTTTCAGGCCCGTGTATACGCAAGGTGTGTTTGATGTTCTGTATTTCTCGTTGACTTTGGGCTATGTGTCATTTGTGTACTCTTGTCAAACTTATGTTTTCAGCGATTGCTGAGTGTTGTCATTCTGATTGCGACCCTGCTTCTCGGCATCCGTGTGACCCGGCGCATCTAAGTACTAGACGAAGCGTTCAGAATCAGAGCTCCGAGTGACACGAGACGGGTCTATCCGTCCAGGGCTTCTATGTGCGGTTTGCACTCCCCAGGAACACGACCTTTGCGATCGCCCTTCACATGACTTATGCCTATAGCATCCAGGCCCTTGTAATGGTACCGTTCCTTACGGCGTGTTCTCCTTTCTCCCGGCCTGAGGCTATTCACACCGTCCCGGTCCATTCTTGACTCTCCCAGCCTCGTCAACTCGCTTCAGATTGCGACATAGACGTGAAGTATGCAGGGAAACCTCGCGCCTTTTCGAAGTGGTGTTCATGAATCCGGCCGGGGTCGCGCCGGCCCAGGATGATGGTGATGTTCAGGGTGAGTGACGAATGAGTGCGGAAGTTAACTTGCCTGGTAATCGCTTACGCGCCCAGTTCAGTAGCGATGTGATCTTAGCGCTCGCTGCCCTGAGGCGCAGTGGCGAGCGCTCACTGGCAGTCGACTGTGTCGACCGACTTGCTTAGCGCACTCACCATCCCGGTCACCGCCAACTCACAGGGCAAAGGCCACTGACACCATCTATCAATGAAGAATATCACGCTCAGACGCGTGATCGCAATCAAAGCACAACGCGGCTCGCCCTCCGTTACTTCAAGTAGTCAGACCAACGAACGACCTTCCTATGTTGCATGCTGCATCTTGTTCCTCGACGTCCGTCGTCCGCACGTAGGGGGTTTTCTGCATGCGTAGTCTCTAGATCGATAACATGCATGTTGATCCATGGAAGAGAGCAACGGGTACGTCGTAACCAAACTCCGATTCCTGCCAGTGTGTTCAGAGAAATAGCAATCCATACCAGTTCATGCCCCCTCCTTTGAGTTCCGAGCTCGAGGAAATAGCTGTCTTTACCGTGACGCCCGCTCTGCATACCGATGCAGACAGAGCCAGCATGGTATTCTCAGCACCTTTTGAGGCCAGCCTTGAGTCAGATGCCGTAGCTTCGCTACGACACATGTCCCAACGCATGGTTGCACCAGTGCCGCTCCAGGCCCACCGTGACCAGAGTACTCGGCCGTGTGGAATGTCGAGACGACGCCACAAAGTCGATGTTGCTGTCCTGCGACTTCACGAGGTACGAGTGCACATATATATCGTTCACGCGTGGTGTGCTCGGTCTGTTCGTCTGCGCAACGAATACTTGTTTGAAGTGCCTCAGACTAGGATCTGCTTATTGTGAAGCGGTTCAAGCATGTACACTGGTGCACTCTACGATTGTGTTATCGCCCGTCGTTGACGCTGATGTCTCGCCGGAGTCAGCTCGTCGTGCTGTCCTTCATGCAAGGTCTGGAAGGAGCAACCTAGCAAGGTAGTTCATCTCGCGTACTACGTTACTACAGCAGGCAGTCATCTGAACGGCTGCCTTACACTTCAAGTAGCAGTTGCTCGCCAGTTGCTCGCCAGTTGCGTGTGCCTTTGAGCACGGCAGACCGTCATTATCGTCTGAGTGCGTAAATGCGGTGTCTCGCGGGTGTCTCGCCTTGTGGTGTCTTTTTGTTCAACAGCGGGGCCCCGGGTGCCAATGTTTACGCACATCCATTCTGTCCTCGCTCTCACATGTGTTGTCGGTCGATGCCCTCTACTCAGACCAGACCCCGCTGTTTTGGATTTTGCGAGAGGCTCTCTTTGGCGCCGTTGAGACTATGTTCCCGTTGTTCACCGAGGAACTAACGATGCAGCATGTGATGGATGTGCCGTCTCCGCGGAGGCAGTGTCGGTCAAGAGGAAACCAACGGGGCGCACTCAAGGTGTACCTGTATATATTGACATCACGTCCCCAGAGAGTCGCACTCACTTACAGGTATCAACACTCACCATAGACCAATCTTTTACAACGCCGCGATGACCCACGTGGACTCAGGTATCACTGCGCGTCCGTCCCGTTGAGGGCACTCCCGCGACACGCTCCTCTTCATACATGGCTTCTCCTCGACCTCGTACGATTGCTATTTGGTCAACCTCTTCAGGAAGACGGGCTACGCGCTGATCATCCCGGACATGTTGGGCGCGGGCGATACAGACAACCCCACGAATGCCGCGATCGCCGCGGACGTCATCGACTCGATGCGGATGGGGTGGGCAAGGTCATCGTGGTCGGGCATGACTGGTTCGTACATAGCGTTCGTTGAACGTCTGGAATCCAAGCCTTGAAAGCTTGAACTCGTGCAGGGGCAGCATTCTCATCTCGCGCTTAGCGAACTAGTACCATCCGGGAGCGCTTGGCCGGTGCCACGAATGCAACAGCTGAAGACCCTCGCGCTTGGCTTCAACCTTGATCCATCGGTGCTTGAGGGTTTGGTTGATTGGCTCGTGCTCTCACCATCCGATGAATCTCGCGACATATCCATCGTCAACCTAGAGGTCCGGCACACCTCGCCACAGTACATCGGTCCCATTAATCGTATAATCCACGCCGTATCAGCGGCCCCCTAAAGCATGACAATAGACTACATCCAAGGTATGTAGTAATCAGACGAGCGTATATCTGTACGTCCAGAGACTGACAATGCATTACTCAGACGGTCCAGAACCCTATGATCTGTCTGGGTGCTTCGCGCTGAACGTGTCAAGATTGGGCTGTCAAGATACTGCGTGAAAGACTGGGACGCCGTCGCTGCCAAGCTCCTCGCTATCATGTCCGCGATTCCCAGTCGCGCGGAGTCGCTCACTTCCAATCATCTGTACTGCGCCTTACAACAACCCCCTCCCTACCACCGACCACCACCACTACCGTCACACCTCGACTTGCGCAGGCTGCTGGCCGTCCTCACGCCCCCCGCCTTCGCACGGTCGAACTAACCGTGGCACCGACGGATCGACTAGATAAGTCCGAACGGTGGCAAGCCGAGACGACGGACGAGGATGTTTCTACCGTAACGGACGGTTTCACCGCGTTGCTCAAACCGTGGGTGGCGCGTGGCGTCGTCAGGAGTACGCTGGGAACGTCAGGAAGGCCCTGGAAGGCCCCCTGGGCTTCTCGGGACACCAGGCAGTCCGAGTCATTGATGGAATGGAGGCTATGAGGGACATACCTCGTGTGCATGCGACCCGGATATTGTATCCAACCGATATGATGTCTAACAACGTTCGCAATCCTCTTGCACCCTCGCTCCTGCAACTGACCAGGGTAGTTGATCGTGCTTAATGCACGCATCCGCATTTCGAATGTTGCCGTCGGGACAGTTCTACGCAGACGACCAGAAAATTGTCGGGGAATTGCGTGCGAAATAAGTTACAAAGCAGTCTGGTAACTACAAAATATCAGACAAGCCCCCGCGAGGACGAACGAACAGACACCACCTGCCAGTCTCAGTAATCCTTATAGCCCTTCAGTGTCTCCTCCGAGGACCGCGTCAAGGGCGTCACCGCATCTCCATCGTCAACCTCCTCCGCGAGGATCGCGCCCGTCCGCCGGTCCATGCTGAAGCGCATCGACCTGAGCTTCCGCCCGATGCTCTCGCCGTCGTCGTACGGCGTGAGAGAGGCCCCGAAGCCGGCGTGGAATGCGAGCGCCATGGAGGCGCCGATGGACCCCGGCGGCGCCGTGAGGTAAAGATCGCGGCGCGCATGCCTGTGGAGGAGGTGCACAAGCATACCGACGATGCCGACGGCGAGGAGGACCGCCGCCAGTCCGTGCGCAGCCAAGGGCCTGTGGGATGCAGATCAAAAAAGGGGACATTTGCAAAGGCTACGCTATGCGAGCACTTACTCGATTACGAGCCGAGATAGATGGTTGATGAGGGTTGCGTTGAGGGAGGAGTCTGCGGGCACGAAGTACACCGTCTTCGCGATGACCGACAAGTATGTCGACTGAAGGATGTGTCAGCGTGCGAGCGGAGGCGCGGGCAGGGCAGCTCTGACACTCACGTATACCGATGACGTCAGGCTCAAGAAGCTGGTCGATCCGTCCTCGAAGAAATCCCCAAAGTCCGGCGTCAGCGAGGCATTCCGGTAGATGGTCCCCGGGAGCCCCATCGAGATGGTGAGGGCTCTGGATTGAACGAAGGTATTGTTCGCCTGCGGGAAGATCACACTACGAAGACAAACTGTCAGAGATCCACGCAGACGCGCATGCTGGAGATGAGACGCACCCATTGAACGGTTGGCCATTCAGGGGCTGCCCCGTGACGTTGTTGTCGGTCTGAGTGACATCCGCAAGCGGCTTGATGCTTGTGAGGGCAGACGTGCTGGTGTTCACAGTAGCCAAGACCGTCTGAACCTTCATGAACGGCCGACAAATGACCCCCTTCGCCCTCGTAACGTTCTGCCCCTGCCCGCCCAGCGCCGAATGGAAGAACCAGAACATCACGGGCAGGAGCTGGATGTCAGTGTCGCTGTCGACGCCACAGCTCGCCGCGTCGACCTGGACGACGCCGTACTGCTGGTTGGAGTCGTCCGGGTTGAACTGGACGCGGCCGGTGCATCCGTCAGGGAGCACGGCGCTGAACTGGAACTGGGGGAAGAGCGGGCTCGTGATGTTGGTGAGTGTGGAGGTGGAGGGGCAGAGCAGTTAGACTGGGTGGCGATGCCATCGACTTCGGCTTCGACGGAGGCGGCGGCGTCATCTGTTTGTGGGATCTAACCATGGAATTACATGAACACAGTGTGATAAATTTAGGTATGCCCTTCACGTACCTCAAACTGGGCTACAGCCCATTGACCGGCAACGAATGGTGGGTCCGGAAGGCCTTGATAAATCTTCGAGTCTGTAAACTGTGGATAGTTAAGGCTTCGGCAGAACAGTACAAATAACATCGAAGACTCACACCCGCAGCCGAGGAGAAAGCATTCAGGTTATTGAAGGTCGAAACAAGACCAAGTGCTCGCTGAGCTTGAAGGATGATCTCTGGAGATAACCCCGTGAGCACGTTGAGTTCGAGCAGTGAAGCACGTTCGTTACCTTGTCGATGCTCCGGAGTTGCTAGCGTGAACACAGAACCAGCGAGCGGCTGCATGAAGCTCGTAACAAAGACCGTCATCAGCGACACGAGGACGAGCCAGTGTTTTCGCTTCGTCGATACGAGCAGAGTTTCCCAGTTGCTGTCGATACAGTCAGCATCTAGACAGCGCACGGCGAGCAATTGCTTGTTACTTCAATGCCATCTATCGCACGATGTCTTTGTAAGTATCTCTTCGAACGAATAATGCAATCGACGCACATAATCAAGGAGGATGGTGTCCTCGGCCTGCCCGTCTCCCTTCGACAGCACGACATATGGCTACGTGCATACAAGGTAAGGACAGACGTGCATCACTGGGGTCTCAAAGCTCGCCTGGAATGTTTGAATGCCCCAGTTTGCGCCCGCCCACAGTTTGGCGAGGGGTACGATGAATAAGATGGGGAAGAATGACTATAATGCACCATATAGATGAGCGGAGTGACCAGCACGTTGCTATACGACTCACAAGCAGGAATGACGCGGGTACGAAAGTGAAGACATTCTTCTGTGGAACGGCAAACCCTGGTTCGTGTGTGAGTTGCGTACAAGGATACAGGTAGCGGTTTCCTGACACCGACCTTGTTGTCTATTGGAGAAATGCAACGCAATCTCTGTCGCTACTGCGAGCAATATCATAAATGTCGTCAGGGACAGTACGACCCATGTCCTCAAAATGAGCGGTTCCTACGCGTAGCAACGAGAGTGAGACGTGGCAACTCAAAGACATATGGTGACTCACATAACGTGGCGGTCGCCTACGCTCTCCCTCGGGAGTCGGGATGAGATGGACAGATGCATATGATCGACGTGAGCTTCTAAAGGAATCGCGGCCAGACAGCGTCCGCAACTCCGTGTCCGGTGATGCCCTACTAGAGTCCTTACCCATCAGCAACGGCAGTTTCTGTACTATATCATTCAAAGGGGGAGTAGATGGGCTGCAAGGGGAACAGATTTAACAGGATGTGCAGCGACAAGTCGGAAGGAAGCACGCTCGGTGACATCCGTCTCAAAACACGGAACGGGGCTGACTGCGGTGTATTGGAGGTCAATGTCTTAGATCTTGGAAACGTGCCCCTTTACATACTTGCCTTTTACAGTTAGTCGAAGTTTTGCGCGAGATGCTGTGCAGAGCGATGCCAGCCCTCCTAGTACTTACTTACGGTAGCATAGAGTCTATCGAACGCTTGGACATTGGAGTGGTCGATTAATGATACCAACGAATGTGCTACCGCTGCTGAGTGTCCTGCTTTCCGGGAGGCGGGAACAACGCTGCCAGTCACGTGGCAGTGTCACTGGCAGCGCGCGACGAAGGTCCGCAAAATCCGAGCGGCGATCTCCGACGACACCGCCACACAGGGAGGCATAAGTCACATAACTGACTATAAAACCGTGCTGACTGCAAGCTGCTATGGTGCGGGACGCCTAGCCACCACTACTTATGTACAACGGTTATCGTAGCTTCAATATTCACCGGATTTTAAATCTGCTCTGGTAGATCGACTCCGTTTGATGAGTAGGAATTTCCTACCAGACAGATTTCTTTTAAACACGATATTGAGCAAGTTGTTACACCGAGAATTGGCCACTGGGCGTCTATACATCCTGATATAGTAAGTACGTCGGCGCTACGTACTACCCGCGTCGAACTGGCGAGCAAGGGTGACCTTGAAGGGTCTCTGGGACACGCCTGTGGGACTTGTACTGCTTGGAGCTGAACACGGAATCGTGCGTCCTTCGCTCCAAGCCCCATGCGATAAGCATTCGTCCACTGACTGCTGATGTCTGCATTGCCAGACGGCGGGACATCACGGTGAGGAAGGCCCCGCGGCCGGCAATTCCCCTAAGGGTACGAACATCCGGACCCCTCGAAATCGGCCTCGGCTACCCAACGTTTTCGACCTCCAATACCCAACATCGGACAAGTGTCATCACGTTTGGTGAGGAGCACCACAAATGGAGTAAACTGAATATATATAATATTTAAATCCTATTATTGATGCGGTGCCGGGTCAATTTGGCCACTGTGCAAAAGTAGCGGCGCTTAGGCGTCCCGCACCATAGGCAGCGGTTCACGAAGCATACCGGTGCGTATCTACGGATAAGGTGATAAGCAGCAGACGGCACTGAACCACGCGAGGTAGCCGACGAATTTATATTTACACATCGAGCCCGTTACATAATAATTAACGAGTGGCTGAGAAGCCAAACGCACGATTTGATCTCCCCACGCCACCGTTCGCAGTGCGCACTCGGCGGCAAGTCACCGTGACTTTGACTGCCAGTCTGCTCTCGCCAGTCTCTCTGAATCGTGTATCAGATATAACTTAGGTATGGTTGCATTATCATGACTGACACGACAAACTCATGTTTCATACAGTGGCAGGACAAGCTACAGGTAACATACAACAAGAAGGAAATGGATACAGCGTGAATGCAACGAGCGAAAAAGTAAACAAAGCGAACAACACCCAGAAGTCACAGACAAGCAGGCCGCAACTGACATGAAGTATCAACGAGTCAGCCGCACAGCCACCAATGCTGAGACCTCCGCACCAAGCAGCCCTAAAAAGTACAAAGTCTAAAAGCAGAATCAGAGACACAACCACCAGGAGAGCCCCGTATCACACACGTCTTCATCGATGCTTCATCCACTGTTGGCTTCCTCGAGCAGCGCCTGCATCACCTCGTTCAAGCTCAGCTCGCAGATGGCGATCTCATCGTCTCCTACTTCGTCCTTCTCTTCATCGCTCTCCTCCTGCTCGTCTTCCCACTGCCTATCCATCAGGTCAAAATCGACATACGCGACCGACTCGGCGTTGCTCCGCAACGAGGATAAGGTACTGCGCCTGGCGCGCGGCTTCCAGCTCTTGCGCAGCTGAAGCGCCGCCAGCTGGTGGGCAAGCGTGTCTTCGTCGGGCGGGAAGAAGATTGTTCCCGGATCATCCTCGATGGCCACGATGGTGACCTCAGTGGGGTCCTTGGCCGTGTCCTCACTGGATGTGCTACTGGCCGACTTGGGCGTTAGCGGGCTGGAAGGCACGGAACTCGGAGAAGTTGAGTCAGAAGCCACCGACGATTCGGGCGACGACGGTACCGACGATGAAGGCGATGGCGACGTGATATCTAGTACTGAGGAGGGCGGGGTGGACGGGGCTGCAGCTGCAGCCACACCTGATGCCGCTGCAGACGAGGTGCGTAAGGCGAGCAGCGATTTCGCAAACACTTTGCGCATCTTCCCCAGGTCCTTCTTGCTGATCTTGATGATCGTATCGACGTTCTCGGTATCCTCGGGTATTGGGGTATCAAGCTTGACGGAGGTACGTCGTGAGGCTCGTAAAGAGCCGTAATTGATCAATCGTGACTTTGAGCGCGTCTTTGCAGGCTTGGGCAGCTTGGGCAGCTTGGCCTTGGAGTTGCCCGCTCCGCCTCTTCCGTGTGTATGCTACACAAGCCAGGGACCACGTAAGTGCCCGATGTCCTTGCTACAGTCGGACTGAAACTCACCCTTCCATGACGCGCAGCTTCCTGACTTGCGCTCACCAGCATGCGCTCGTACCTCGTCGCCGTATCCTCCTGCGCGGATACCATTGCAGCGGTGAGAGCGTGCTGGTCGGGACTTATCACACGGCTAGCCTCGCGCATGATTGTCGTAGAGATTATGTTCCCTGCACCGCTCCTCCCGGTGGAGTGCGCCTGACAATGAAAGGCAAGTCAGCACAATTGGCCTGGATACCGCTGGACACTGCTCACGCTAGTTGGCTTGGCTGCGGGCGTCTCACGACCGTTGGCGATCGAAACGGCGTCATCGGGCTCTGGTGCCTCGATGATCGAGAGGCAGTCTTTCGAGCCCTGTCTGATGTTGCCGACGCCGCCTCGTCCGGAAGAGCGCTGAGACAGATGTGGTCAGGTGTGTGGTGATCAAGAGTAGAGGGTGAGTATACCGTTCTTCGACCGCTTGCGGAGCTGCTCGACGAAGTGGACAGAGAGGACGACGAACTCCATCCCGAGCTCGTCGTGTTGGACGTGCGGGAGAGGATGCTTGCCGTATCTGACATCGCCGAGGTGACCGTTACGGCTTGTGGATTATTGCCAAGTGCAGCGATGTCCTCCATGGCAAACCCTGAGTCTTTGAAGAGGGAGGGACGGGGGAAATTGCAGCCAGAGTTTGATCGGTGAGTACGAGCTCATGTGCCTGATAAGCCTCGGGCCGTGCGTCGTGAGCAGTGCACAGGACGCAGCGCAGTCATATGCATGGGAGCATAGCAGGCCACACTGACAGCTTCCCTGCTCCTGGAGTTATCGGTGCTCTAGTGGTCCTATGGGATTGAGGTCGCCAGGCACGCTGAGCCGCACGGCGATTGCCAGTGTCAACGTAATGAATTATGACCGCCGTCGTGGCTCTCACCGACGTGTATCCCCTCATCGTGGTCGTACCTTTTAAGTTCCGTGCTGGACGCAAACTGTGTGGCGGCGGAGTGCGGTCGTACATAGGCTGTGTTTTTGACTATGGTCAATCTACTCGACACGATTCGCGTCCGAGAACTTGTCCGACTCACTTCGCAATGCCTGTTATAAGCCGTCGAATCGATCGGAAAATCGAAGTTTTACGAGGATCTCCTGGTGGAAGCTAACTTGAAGTACGTGTGACGCCCAAGATAAGGACCACATAGGTGCTACATGTCCGCGGACGAATACGTAGAGATACGCTCCAGAGTACCCAGGCTCTCAATAGACTCCTATCTTGAGCCACGTTGACACTGTAGCTGCGTCTGCGCGTGCGGCTGTACCACACTTGTTCGTGGTGTGGTCCGCGGCGGTGCAACTCGGCGGCGAAGAGATAAGACGTGGTGGACATCGTGCGTGCCTGCAAGTCAAGGAACAAGCAGGAGAGGGCGGTGACACCAAGTCGTTGTGGCACTCGTTGGGCAGCTCTGTGACCGCAAGCTCTTGACAACGGTACATCCGGAGACCGATAGAGTCCGAACCAAGCTGTACAGGGCCACCGCACGGATATTGCCATATATAGAAAGTAGCGGGACATGATATAAATGGGTTGCTCTCGAGTTCAGCTCACCGTCTAAACTTGGAGAACTCGCCTACTAGTATGACTGAAGCAATCAAACGTTGTATCATTTCCCAGCATGATGAGCACTGCCAGGCAGACGGAGGCAGTCAAGGGAAGGTGGCCGAGATCAATTCCTTCTGCCTAGTACGTGAATGTATAGAGTGCATGTAAGATATATAATGCATGAATGGTGCAAGTGCACGAGCTCGTCTCCATTGACAGGCCTGGTTGCTAGTACACCTCAGTACCTTCACTCTCCCCAAAGCCTGACGGTACTGGTTGCCGAGCGGACGTTCCGCTACTACTACGCAGACCTCAGGCTCGGCCCAAGCTAGTCCCTGATCTTTCTTCACATCTGACCCTGCTACCAGCGTTCAACTACCATTGGTGTACAGTTACTTCAGGATTTATGCGTGACGCTTCGAGCCATCCGGATGTCAACTTGAATCTGTTGTGCCGCCGTGAGTTGCATGTCAAGGCACGGTACGCAGCGCGGCGGGCACCATCGACGAGATATGTGTGATTCAAGGGCCCGGGAGTCTCAGTCATTATGCCAGTGCTGACAAAAATGTACAGGTTTCTATCTCAAAGTTGATCACGATAATACAAAAATACGACCGCGTACATCTCGATGCAATGCGTTTTCAATCGAGCAAGACGACAGGAATGTGAATTCAGTCATGACGCGAGATGATTCGGAGGACAGTGAATGGATCCGTGGACTGCGCAGATAGCCAGTAGGACGTCGATGTTGCAACCTGTGAGATCAACTAGAACTTGAACAGGTCCGGCATATATATCGCGGCAATCAAGCCCACGGTGTAGATGAGGGCGAGGTTACCGTTACCCTGACATATGACAGTGAGTGAGCTATTCTTCGCCCCACGCTCATAGTTCTTGAAGTAGACTTACCACAAACTTCATGGCACAATCGAGACCATCGTTGGGATCGAACGTCGTCACCTGCCAGAGGGTGTGCAAAGCGGTCCCGGCGACCCCGATGACGTAGTAAGGGAGGGTCATGTTGGTTTCGATGCCAGTGTACACCAGGGTCGCAATGAACATGATGCCGAAGACGGCGAGAATCGGTCTGATCCAGGAACCGAAGAGGACAGCAGTAGACTTGACGCCTGCCTTGATGTCGTCCTCGCGGTCCTGGCAAGCGTAGATCGTGTCGTACACCATTGTCCAGCTGAGGAATAGTCACATCAGCACTTTCTCCGCGACATAAACATATAAGATACACACCACAACGCTCCGAAAGTAAGCACCCACGGCACGGGCGAACTCACGTCCTGCGGCGCTATGATAAGCCACGTAGTCGGCAGGCCCCAGTTCATAGCAAGGCCTGCCACAGTGATCATGTAAGATTAAGCTCACGTAGTAATAGGAGGGCACGTACCCAGATATGCTTGGGGCCAATTGGTCAACCGCTTCATCAGCGGGTAAAAGCCGTGGAACACGAAGAGACCGAAGAGGCCACATATCATGCTGTCATCCACATATGGTTCATATCGATCTCGTGAACTTCTAATTAAGGTTCACTCACGCAGTAGGGTTAAGCATGGTGAGGATCCATACACAGAGACCGACTTGAACCAGTAGGAAGACCGTTGCTCCAAAGACCGAAACTGCGCCAGACGCGATCGGACGGGTCTTGCACCGTTCTAGCGAGGCGGAAAGGCATTATGAGCCAAACATGACGCACATTGCCCGAAGTTTGTACTTACCTACTAGACGGTCGAGCTCCCGGTCGCAAATGTCATTGATCACGCAAGTAGCGCTGCCTATGAGCGTAGAGAAGCCCAAAAGCAACACGAAATGACGGATAAGCGTGTCCGCTTGTGGAGGATTGTTGCGGGAAGCCAGGAGATAGCCCCAAACTGCGGGTGGATGTGTTCAATGCCAGTGCAGTTCACAGCTGGAAAGGTGGCATTACGTACCGCACGGCAGGAAGAACAAGTTGGTTCCTCCGGGCCAAACATGCAACCTGCTCAGTTCCAAGTATAACTTCCACATCGGTTTGGCCTTAGCTGGCGAGTCCTTCTTGAGTAGAGGGATGCTTGGATCAGACACTGTAGACATGGCTGCTGCTAGGGGTCTTTGCCTGCCATGCAACAAGAGACGGGAGACCTTATATACATGACTTCGTGGGAGTACGCCGTCCTTTCTGGTTTTCTGAAAGAGCGTGTCAGTGGCGCTGACTACTGACTTCACTGCTCGGTAACACGTATGAAACAGGAAACAGAATATCAATACAAAGCTGACAGACGGCATCAGTGGTGGAATAAAGTGGCGCACTTGTTGGTACTTCTAGTTCAGCGCGAAGCTGGTATCGGCCAGAGCATTGCACCCTGGAGTGGCGGTATGTCGCCCGAAGACAAATGTACAGCGGGGTTGTAGCGGCCTTCATCTCGGTGACGCCGTGTCAGAAAGCCTGAGGACTTTCCAATTCCTAGTGAGCGCGACAGAACTACCGCTGGTCCAGCTTCTCGCTGACTCGACGCTGAGATCGCCAGCCAGTGACCCTAGTTGAGGATCGAGGGTGCGCACCCTCGTATTTCGATCATCGCCACTGGTACAGTATCAGTGTAAAACGGCACCAAGTATTGGGTGCTTGCCAAAGGTGCCAGTGCTCGAGACAGCGAAATCAAAGAGTCAGCTCGCATGCGGGAAATAGGTGATGGACTTCGTACATACTGATCGGACGGCTCGGACGTCGTCAATTGGTGTGGGTCGAACTGTACCGAAGGGAGTAGGGCCCTGAGTACCTCCGCCCGCAAGCAGCTTAAAGCGGCCATAGGTCTGCCAATATTCCATGATCGGAATGATCTGGATCTCATGGTAAGACGCTATGTAGAGATCGGTCGCGCAAAATACGGAGCTCACTCACAAAGACCATAAGGAGTTGTGACTGGACCCGTTGCTATCTTATCATTCTGCTATGCATAGTGATCCCCGAGTCGGAGTGGCGGTGGCATTTGAATAGTCAATGTACAGGCGCACGCTGGCAGGCCTGCACTGTTAACTCACACTGGCAGCGAACCTGTACCTTCGAACTTCTGACTACCTGCCAATGAGCGTGGTAACGATACGAGTAAGCCTGACAAGGACCGAAATGCTGTAGACCCAGGTCGTACGAGACACTACAGAAAAGACACCACTGGCGAGTGCGAACCGCGTCGAAAGAGAGAATTCCTCGGCGAATCAAGGTCGAATAGACTCGGACCTCTCCTGGCACGTCACTCGGAGCGCTTCATCTGGTAGGCGCGCCGGGTCACGCGGACGCTGAGAAGCAGCGCCGCACTGGCAGCTTTCAGCATGACAACTCTCAGCAACCGCTGAAGACAGACATGACATTTGTCAAGAGTACACAAATTACACATGACCCGGAGTCAATGAGCAATACAGAGCGTCGAACACATCTTGCGTATATACGGGACTGGAACATTTGCGACGCGTCTACTATAACCTGCCGAACGTTCAGGAGTCCCGCTGAATGGTTTGAATGTGCCGCTCTGAGCGCGGGGTAAGAACGACGTCGAAGTGTGCCGGTTCACTGGATCCTATCAGCTGCCGATCACAGATAGTAATGAACGCGCTTACGCAGTCAGCCCTGAACGGCACGCACCGACATCCGGCAAGATGGGCTTCTTGTTGACGTCCATGGGAGGATTGATCTCGAAAGCCCACATGAGGCGCACCATACCAACCCAGACGGACTTCGCGGCGAAGTGTTGCCCAGGGCAAACCCTGTACAAATGTCAGAAACTACATCGCTCCGACGACGCTATACCTCACCTCCTCCCGAAGCCGAAGGCAGAGTGTCCCTCATTCAACGACGACTCAGGCCGTATATCCTCTTTTGCCATGAGGAACCTCTCGGGGTTGAACTCGAACGGGTCAGAGAAGAGGGTCGCATCGTGGTGGATAGCCCAGATGTTCGGTATTACGGTCGTCCCTGCGCCAATGCGGAAGCCCTTGTAGACGTCATCTTTCAGACTGTAATGGGGTGCTGACAGCGGAGCAACTGGCATCCATCTAGGGATCAAGTCAGCAGCACGCCAGGCACTTCCCGAAACCCGAGCTCACCGGAGTACCTCCTTGACAAGCGCCAAACAGTATGGGAGTTGATCGAGGTGGTGATAGCACGGCGCAGTATCGCCATTAGCACCGAGGACCTCATCGAGCTCCGCGCGCGCCCGCTTTAGCACGGCAGGGTAGTGCATCATGGCCACGAGGAACCACAACATGACTCCAGCAGTGTTGTCTGTTCCCGCCTCAAATGCGGAGCCAGCAACTAGTCAGAGGTCTTTAGCAACGTAACTACGAGGGACAGATACCGCATAACTCTTACCATACGCCAAGGAGTCTTCATCGAGACCAAGTTGCTCCACGTTCTCCCAGAGGTTAGCAGCGAAGCACTGGACGTGCGCGCCCGAGTCCATCCGTGCCTTGACATCCTTGAGAAGGCGGCTGTAGAACTGTGATGTACAGTACCATTAGAACAGCTCTTTTCACATCAGGGACGCCCCAACCTTATGTTCGTACTCGCCCTTCTTGCGCGCCTCGTCGCGCCACGGCGCCAGGAAGTCCGGCAGCCAATCGAGGATGGGCATCCTATCGACCATGTGCGCGAACGGGTGCATGTCCTGGATGAACGTCTCGAGGATGTGCAGCACAGTGCGCAGGTCCTCCTCGCTCCCGAAGCCCTTGCCGTAGATCAGAGTGAAGAGCGTCTCCGCGGTGAACCGCTTGATGTTGATGTACGCCTTGCTAGGGTCGTTCAGGATACTTTGGAGCAGCACCATCGAGCCGCGCTCTTGAAGACGCTCATATGCGCCGACAGCTGGAGCGGGGTTCTGTCAGGGACTTTGAAATGGATTGCGATTTGCGCCACTAACCCTTCGGGTTCATCATCGTGTGCACAGCAGCGCGATACTTCTTAAGAAGTGGTCCGTAGGGCAGGAGAACGAGGCGCTGGTGGAAGGGTCAACGTCAAACATGAACGAGGGCGCATTGACATTTGATTACTGACTTTGTTTCCCGAGCGGTACTTGCCTGCATAGATGAGCTGCTTCCTCGACGAGTAATTGTTCGAGCGCTTCACGAGCTACACATGCCGTCCATCAGACATGACTCGTCCGAAGTGCTATCGATCGTCTTACCAGCTCCTGGATGTCCTCCGCGTTGTCCAGCACCAGTATATCATTGTCAAGTGCCTTGAGCATGACCATAGGTCCTACACATCCCTTAGCACTATGCACCGAACCACGCAGCACCACGAGTGACTCACCGTATTTCTGGCACAGCGAGTGGAAGTACATCCACGACTTCTCCACCGGCACGTGCCATGCGTTCCCCAGCAGCGGAATACGCGTAGGGCCCGGCGGCAGGTTCTTCTCGCGGTGCTGAACGAGGGTCCCGATGACGCCAACCGCGAGGCAGGCTAGGGCGAGCAGAAACGGTGTTTCCAACATTCTGTGGGATAGCCATCAGCACTCGCTGTAGCAGTACCATTGCAATACGCCACCTAGAGTTAGGTCTTCTGAGCTGACGACACGCTGTGCTTGAAGGAATACCTGGGCAGGACTCGTCAGAGGCACGAACTCAAGCCCTGTTAGTTATATATTCGTACGGTGGGCCCGGTCCACCGCCCGTACAGCGCGACTAAGTAATACCGTATGTCCCTAAGAAGGGTAGTAGGCCACCCCCGCACAGGAACCTTGCATTACCAGCGGCTATCTCGTAGGCCGACACCGTCTTCTGGCACTATCGCTGTATGGAGTTGGAATCGCATATGGTTGTACAATTTGACTGTGATGTGGAAGCGGGTGCGGGGCTTGGACGGGACGCCACTGTGATCAGTCCACCGCGTCAAGAAGCACAGTCTCAAAATTGACACTCGCAGGGACTGATGACGCCAGCCATGAGATGTGTCCGGGACCAGATCTAGCAGGAAAGTCAATGACGCCCGTATGTTATGTGAAAGATACAGACCTGGTACTCAGCCCCCCGCGGACGAATTTCACGAGACACGGTTCAGCCGCAGTAAAGACACTACATATATCATCGCAAATGCTGAAGGAGCGCCAGCGCCCACCGAACATGACACCGATGGGGGACTCCACAAGACAGTGTCAGGAGACACTGTCGGACGCATAACCTGTCCCTTCGAGAACTCTAAGGGGATAGAATGACCTATGGACGCCGTTGGGACCAAGTTCTGCAGAACCAAGACGCGCTACACACATACGCCATAAGACAATAAGTTTGCACTGATGTTGCACCACCAAGAATCATACGCACCGCTGTCTTCCGGTGAAGACGTCCCCGCTAGGTAAGGACGGGCTGATTCAATGGACGTAGACGCCCATACTGGATCAGCGTCCCGGGTTAAATGGGGTTGAATGCGCGAGTTCCAAACGTATGCGAATCCCAAGAACGGGGTCGGATGACACGAAGGGAACGTGGTTCGGGGTCCGTCTCGTGTCTGGAAATATCTCGCATTGCTAAATCTCCTGGTGCGAGACTAGCGATCGCCGGGCCCGTCGCCCGCTGTGCGAAGATACAGTACGCGATCCGCGTTCATCTCAGTCGATGGTGCGGCGTGTCCGGCGTACGAAGGTCACGAATGCGTAGTGAGCCATGACAACATCGCGTCGAAGGCATTGTTCGATAGCAACTTCTCCGCCAACACTCAGTTTGTCCTTAGGACTGGCTCGGAGAGTTCATGCGTTCTACAGGCTCGTGAGTACCTTGCACGGAATCCTGATCAGCCGTTATGAGCGACTCACCCTGACGGTACCGTACTTCTCGACGGATGCTCGTGGGAGAGGCGTCGAGCTTAGTGTAAGTGACCCTCGCCAAACTTCCGCGGTCCGAGGCTGGGCGCTGACCGGTTGAATGGGGCGTCGAGCGTAAACAGGACCTGTGTTCGTCGTTCGACTCCTACTGCACCTCGGCTAATCGCCACCACGAGCGCAGAAGTGCACACGGCCCTAGTTACCTCTTCGATGTTCCAATCAAGTGTCTACCGTGCCAAGCCTAGCGTCGGTGGCCAGCCAAACATTCCGCGGCCGGAATGACTGGGTCGCTCGCAAGGTATGTTAGACCCCCGCCCGTGCGTGTCTGGCGATATTGTATGAGCTCTCAGATACGCGGCAAACATAGCCCATGGAACAGTAACCCGTACGCTGAGGAGGTAGTAGGGGGCTCGTGTCTTGACATGATTGTGTCTCGTGAGAGCGGTGGAGATGGTCTGTGCGGGATTCAAAGTCGGGGGCCACGAGGCTACTTATGTAAACCTTTGAAACGTTGTGGCGAATGGTGCATGATCAGAGGGCCTAGAGCAACAATACAGCAGCGACCTCGGGCTCGAGAGTCGAGAGTAAAGAGGGTTTAAACGTTTCGTACCGGATTCGGACACGGCGACGTGTCAGAGAGTCCGGATCGTTTCGAATGGGAGCTGAGCCGAACCGGATCCTCTGGCGCGCCTTGCAGGGAGAGGATGATGTTCGCTGATGTTCGTTGTCTTGTTCAAGTCGTGCGCTGAAGAGCGGTTGCACTGCTGTATCTTGCACGGTACATGGTACACAACGCGCATGTTCCCCAATCAATCTTAGCAACCACAGTTTCAGCTTGATGACCGAATCCGGTACAAATCACTTTGCACTTGCCCCTTTCGGAACTACTCTCGTCACATGGTTCGCGCAGCAAGTTGGCATGCGAACTACACGTAGTAGTACCAGGTCATACTGTACGACAACTCGCATTGAACTGTAACATCTCTCAGGACGGATTGACGCGGTATATCTACCACGCACAAGGATGAATACTTACCCGCTTTGTCACGCCTGAAGCTCAAAAAATGAAGCCCGCCGAATAACCCGGGAATGGTTTCCCGATGTCGGACTTGTATGCAGCTTCTTCGCTGGCACGTCCGCGGATCGCAAAGCTACAGTCCTGCCGTGGCCACTCATATCGCTCTGGTGGGTGCTCGCTCCTCGTGAAGATGGCGCATGCTCATGCTTCGTAATAGAGTTGCGTTCTGTGTCTTCGGCACGCAGAGCAGCATATTTCGTGCACGATTGCATCCGGATGCGGCGTCGAACACAGCGAGGGGCAGCCTGCGATTTCAGCAGATTCAAAGCTCTGCCAGGATGCGGACGTCGAAGTGCCGTCCTTGAGCGACGTGCTGATTTAGAATGGACGATTCTCGGTGCTCTGTACAACAGCAAGGCCTGCCGCTTCAACCACATCCGTTACTACACATACGGCCAATATTGCATCGGCGCTCAAGAGAAGTCTCCCCTGTGACGTCGGCCGCCCGTATACGGATGTAGCGCCGCTGGGCGCAGGAATATCCGGGTCTCAGCGAGCCTCATCGACCACCATCGCCCTTCTGCGCGACCTCCTAGGCCATTGTGACTAGGCTTTATACCGAGAAATCGACACCAGAGACCACAGACAGGAGGAAGAAGACTTGCCAGCGCAGACGGTGGCTGTCGGTTTCGGTTGGTGTTCCTTCCGGAAGTGGCAGCGCACGTCAGTCTGCATTTCACATCGCACATCGCCCGATCAGCACAGACGTTGCACCTACAGTTCTAAGTCCACACTTCGGATGCCGACCGTCCTCAGGCTAGGCGCGGTCTGTGTCCAGGACACCTATAAAGGTCGCTGTGCACAACGCTGCTTTCCAGCACCTGCCCTAGATACTCAGCGCCCCCCCATCGAACCTAAGTACCAGAATGCCGTCCATCGTCGTTGCAGGCGCGTCCCGCGGGCTTGGTGTAAGCGTGCATGCCGCGTACCACACCGCGCTCGTCCATACTCATCGCGGCTGTTGCTAGTTGGAGTTCGTGAAACAACTCCTCGCCGAGGGCAACGTCGTCATCGCCCTCGCGCGCAACCCCGCCAAGTCGAGCGGGCTCGTCGCGATTCAGGACAAGAACCTCCATGTCTTCAAGGCAGACACCACCAACTCCGCCTCTCTGAAGGTGCGTCCATTCTCGACGAGCGTGGCTCCGTGCTGCTCACAGCGTTCCAGGCAGCCGCCCAGGCAACCGCAGAGGTCACCGGCGGGTCGCTCGACATCCTCATCAACAACGCCGCCTACCAAAACGACGGGCACGCCTTCCACACCATCACCGAGTTGTAAGCCTCCCCCTCCCCCCTCCCCATCATCCCGCTCACCCGGCCCCGCCCAGCGAGTCCGACGCGGAGCTGGTCGACGACTTCACCCAGAACTGGCACACGAACGTGATCGGGCCGATGCTCACCATCAACGCCTTCCTCCCGCTCCTCCGCAGGGGCGCGCTCAAGAAGGTCTTCTCCCTCTGGTCCGGCCTCGGCGACGCCGCGTTCAACCTCGCCTCGGGCTTCTCCGGCCGCACCGCGTACTGCGTGACCAAGTGCGCGCTCGACATGGTGAACGTCAAGTACGCGCGTGAGTGCCCCGCCCGTGTGCGTGCTGTTCTGGGGAGCGCTGACTGGCGCGCGTGCAGTGGCGCTCAAGGACGAGGGCTTCATTTTCGTCGCGGTCAGCCCGGGCGTCGTCAACACCGCTGAGGCCCCTCGTAAGTCCAACCCCCCTCTGCTCCGCTCCCCCTCCACTCACGCGATATCCTCCTTCCTCCCTCCCCGCACGCCGCAGCCCCGCCGGAGGTGATGCCCCTCCTCTTGAAGCAGGCGCAAGACTTCCTGTCCGTCAGCCCGCACTGGAAGGGCCCCATCGAGCCGCACGAGTCCGTCGGGGCCATGCTCAAGGTCCTCCACGGCCTCAAGCCGGAGCACAACGGCCAGACGCTGAGCCACTGGGTGAGTTCGGGGCGGCCGTGCGTGCGTGCGACGCGTTTGCTGATCCGTTGGTTGGTGCAGGGAAACAAGGAGTGGCTGTAGGTGCCGGTGGCGTGGCGTGGGTGTGGAGTGCTTGCGAGCGATGGTATGAATGTGTAAAGCGTATCTGTATGCTGTATGCCATGTCCTTCTCCAGTGAAATGTCGCCGTTGTTCGTTGCTCTGCATGCCCACTGTCCTCGGACACGAGCACATGGAAGGTGGGGTTCCGAAGCCAGATCTCGTCAGACCCGTCGTCGACCCTCCAAGCTGCATGCATGCATGCGCTCCCGAATCTGAGTCTTGCGACAGCATGTGCGTGAAATCGCATTCCAAATTTCCATGCCCTGTACGGTCAAGACACGACCTTTGGTAGCCCGTACTTTGCCGAGTTCCGACTGCATGACACCCGCGCGAGATGAGGAGGAAAGAATGCAGGTTGAGAAAAGTACTGAGGGACTCGGGGACAGGGCATCTTGTGGAAATAGACAACGCTGCGAGGGCGATACAGCGCCGTGTCCACACCGTCGGCGAAAGTTCGCATTCATCTGTTCATATGTACGACACAGTGGGCCGTGGTCACATGCAGAGTCGCGTCCATGTCCATACACGCCGACGCTTCTCTGCACTGCGTAGCTCCCGTCTAACACAACGACTACTTGTGTCTCGCCAGTACCTGTCAGTGTCAATCTGACTGCAATCTCGGAATCCTTGAATGTGGGAAGCGTAAGCGGAATTACGTGTGCGCTACTACGTATGGAACTTGGTGGCTTCCCAGCTGAAGGACTCGGAGGAGATTTCCATCTATTCATGACAGTACCGTGTAGAGCACATGCAACGTAAAACGGTGTTCACTATTTACATAACAGTTCCTCCCTCAAGCGGCCCCCACTGTATCCGTTGCATAGCGAGCAGGGCGAACAGGTACATCCATGATCCGAGATGGCATTATGTTCTAACAGTACAGAATGTACAAGCATCGACCGACCGACCGAGAACCCGAGCAATTATTAGTATAAACCAGAGCACTAGCGCGAATAGAGGATGAAGGGCTTTATGCGTCTCAATTGTGTGAGCCTGGCTTTGCTCCGAGAGCTCGAGAGACGGTCGGCGTACCAGAGTAGACGGGGTAAGAACCCTTGTATCCCGCGAGCCTGCCGATGATGTGACCTTTGTAAAACTCACCTCAATATCGAGCACTCCGTTGTAGAACGGGACCAGGCACTTACCGAAGAAGAACACGATGGCGAGGCCCAGGATGCGCGGGTATTCTCCCGGGACCGAGGATGCCTTGTCCCACATGACCATGAGCTGCGAAAAGCTCACGGGGATGTTGGCGCGATAGTGGGACTCCATGATGCCGTACGTGCTGTTGATCCAGGCCTCGTCCAGTCTGTAGCGAGGCGCGCATCGTCAGGTGCCGTGTTGCTGGACTGAGCGGAAGATGTACCCCTGGCCTGGCTTGGAGGTGATGTCCATAATGAGGTCCTTTTCTGACGTCGGATCACACCAGAACTGGATGTCAGGGTAAGTCCGATGAGTATACGAGGCCGGAGACAGTTAGGCTCACAGTGTGGATGGCCCCGGAAGGTATAACGACTTGGTCTCCGGCTGACGCATAGCCTTCTTGACCATCAAGTACATAGCCCACGCGTCCTTGGATCTGTAGGCATGTTGACCGAGGCACAGAAGTGAAGGCTGTCAGGTATACGCACAATGTCGAAGTACTCAGTCTGATCTCGGTGCCAGCTGCAGGTAATATGCTCGTCAATAGGCTCTACGCCCACACTTCCGCGTACTCACTGAAGCGGAGGAAATGCCACTGATGCAGCGATCAGCAAGATGTCGGACAGCTCATTTGAGACGCAGTCACTGCTCAGCTTGCCAGCCCCAGTGATAGGGTCTTTAGGATTATACTGGCAACGGAACATGAACTTCTCTGGCGTCGAAACGAGCACCTTGTGTCTTCTCGCGCCGCTGAAGCAGACCTGCCAGCCTTCCTCGTCGTACTCGAGGGTAGCATCTCAACCTGCTCGCCGAGAGATCAGCTGGCTTGCTTTAAAATCCGTGGCTGGAGGGTACCTTTGGGAAAACCCAATCACGGGTAGTGGCGAACATGGTCGACGTGCACTTCAACACGTCCAGATCAACGAGTAGAGTCTTGCAGTACCGGTCCTGCAACACTTAAATCCATATAAATCATGCAGGGCGCCTGGTAGAGCGGGTCCACAACATGATATGGACACCAGCACGGTCAGATTCTTCATTGTGCCGTAAGGGTGAGTTCGGGTGCGACGATCCTGCGTGTCAAGTAATCCCTATCCTCGGGCCATACTTGCGGTGAGCAGTTCGGCGGCATTGCTCTCCCTCTGTTACCCCGCGGCCAGACATATAAATTACGGGCTTCCGCGGAATTGTTTCGTCCGGTGTTTTGCAAGTCCAAGTCGAACATGCTACCGTATGCATACTGGCGCTCATTAAATCTTGAATAGTACGGACACTAGCGCCCGGATGAAGTTCAGCAGACCCGGAAAAGCAGTGGGGGGACTTCACGCCGAGTCAGGGCTCTGAACACCCCAGTGTCATAGGTCCTTGTCGAACTATGACGCTGCGATACTTACAAGCGACACCTACAAGTCGTCGGTCTGTGAGAACTGGGCCGTACAGGGCGTATTGAAAGCATTCTCACGCATTGATAGCGCGGGGCTAGGACACCTTCTGTGGAAGTCTTCAGCGCACAGTGGACGGCACACCATTTGGAGCATGCAGTAACAGTGATGACATGAAGCATCCGTGTCCCTTCATTACCCGATCACCTAAGTCCGATGCGGGATTCGCGTTAGCACCCGTCGCACAGCAAGGATAGACAAGCAATACGTGCGGCCCACCTGTTGCTCGAAAACTTGAAGCTCGATATCGTCTCCATTATAAACCTCGACTTCGTTACGACGAACGACTCGCACCAAGCACCCGACATGGCGCCTGATTCGCTCGTTCTAGTCACTGGTATCAATGGCCACATCGCTAGCGCCACAGCCGTCCGGCTCCTGGAGCAGGGTTACCGCGTGCGCGGGACCATCCGTTCACTCTCCCGCACGACATTCCTACGGAACGCCTTCGCACATTACGGGGGTCACTTCGAGATAGTAGAAGTAGCGGACATTACCGCGGAGCACGCATTCGATGATGCAATGAAGGGTACGTGAGCTTTTGTGATGTTAGTTACTGGCCTCGTACTGAGTGGATTGTTGCGAACTAGGAGTGGACGTAGTGATCCACGTCGCTTCTCCAGTACACATGGACGCTAAGAGTCCTGACGAACATGTAAGTAAGCTTAGTCGTACAGAGCTTACGCACTCATGGCCATTCAGAACATCCCCGCAGTTCAAGGATCGCTGGGTATCCTACGTTCAGCGCGTGCCGAGCCTAGCGTCACGCACTTCTGCTACATGAGCTCGATAGTGACGCTCATCGCGACTGCCAAAGACCCCAAAACAGAGGTGATCACGCCCGACGATTGGAACGTGAAGTCGGAGGAATGGGCGCACACCTTGGAGCCGTCCCACCCTCGGAAAGCCTTTCATATATACTGTGGAAGTAAGGTTCGTGCCGACAAGGCATGTTGGGAGTACATACAGACGCACAAGGTAAGGGCATCGTATGCGCCACCATCTGACATCACTGGCTGAGGTCTTGATTCATATACAGCCGAACTTCACTTTCACGACGGTGCTGCCAGGGCCTACTTTCGGTCCAATTCATAATCCAGTGACGAGGCCTCCTGGAGGCGACACCTCGCTTGGCCAAGTGTACGACTTCATCGCCGTCCCACCGCGCATCAAGGATGCCTCCACGGTCGTCAATTGTAAGTACCCATCTTTCACATGTGCACAAGACGTGCTCACGATCCACGCTTAGTCCCGTTCGTCCACGTATACGACGTGGCTGATCTGTGCGTGCAGTCTATCACGAATCCCGACGCGCACGGGAAGCGACTAGTAGCAGTGCACGAGAAGGTTGCCTTCGCTGAGATTGGGGACATCCTACGCAAGGCATACCCGGACCGCCCCGTACCGCCTGGCACAGTCGACGGTGCCTGCTTGGACTATCCGGACAGAGAGGTGATCAGGTGGGACACGTCGCTGAGCACGGAGGTACTCGGAGGAAAGTGGAGATCACTCGAGGATGCGATAATGTCGTGCGCAGCAGACTTGGCGGAGAAGGAGAAGGGCGGGTGGGACATAGAATAGGTGGAGTTGTATATACAGGCTACCTTGGATACACGCCGCTGTCATGATGGTCTCGCTATAATCCCTGCTCCTGACCGACACTGCCTCTGCGGAGATCGCACATCCATCACAGTCTGCATCATTGGGTCCTCGGTGAACAAGGGGAACACAATCTCAGCGGCTCCGAAAACAGCCTCTCCGCAATTCCAAAACAGCGAGTCTGAGGAGACCGCATCGACCGGCAACACATGTGAGTGCGAATGTGCGCAATCATCAGCACCCCCGATGCTGAACAAAAAGGACATCGCAAGACGAGACACCCGCATTTACGCACCCAGACAACAATGACAGTCTGCCGTGCTCAAATGCACACGCAACTGGCCAGTACCTGCTGCTTTGAGGGTAGACTCTGCAGCCGTTCAGATGACTACTTGCTGCAGTAACGTAGTACGTGAGAGTACTACTTGATGGCCTACTCCTTCCGGACCTGACACGAAGGACAGCACGACGAGCTGACTCCGATGAGACCTCCGAAACGAGGGGTGATAGCGCAATCGCAGTGTGCACCAGTGTACATGCTTGAGCCCCTTCACAAAAGCAGCTTCGCGTCTGAGCCACTTCAAACAAGCATTCGTTGCGCAGACGGACAGACCGAGCACACCATGCGTGAACGGTATATATGTGCACTCGTGAAGTCGCACGACAGCAACTCCAACTTTGCGGCGTCGTCTCGACATTCCACACGGTCGAGTACTGTGGTCACGGTGGCCTCAAAAGGCGCGGAGGATACCATGCTGACGCTGTCTGCATCGGCATGCAGAGCAGGCGTCGCGTTGAAGACAGCCAGTGTCTCCTCGACTCGGAGACCAAATGAGGGGGCATGAACTGGTATGGAATGCTGTTTCTCTGAACCCGGGAATCTGAGTTTGTTTACGACGTACGTGGTGATATTTTCCGTGAACCAATATGCATGTCATCAATCTCCAGGGCACGCCTGCTGACAAGCCCCCAAAATGCGGACGTTGACGAACAAGATGCGGTATTGGAAGTCACGGTCGTTCGTTGGCCTGACAAGTAATGGAGAGCGAGCCGCGTTGTGCTTTGGTTGCGATTCACGTGTCTGATTGCGGTGTTCTCCGTTGCTCGATGGCAGTGGCTTTTGCGCAGTGAATCAGCTGTGACTGGGGTGGTGGGTGCGCTGAGCAAGTCGGTCGACACGGTTGACTGAGCGCTCGCTTCCGCGCCTCGAGGCAGCGAGCGCTGAAGATCACATCGCTACTGAACCCCGCGCGTAAGCGATTACCACACAAGTTTGCCTCCGCACTTATTCGTCACTCACCCTAGACACCACCATCACCCTGGCCCGCGACTTCGACTGGCTTCATGTACCGCCTCGAACTGTCACGAGTGTTTCCTGCGCACTTCGCGTCTCTTCTGGAGTCCGAAGCGAGTTGACGAATCTGGGAGAGGTGGAACGAGACGGTGTGAATAGCCTCAGGCTACGAGAAAAGAAAACATACCGTAAGAATTTACCACCACATCTGCAGTGACTTTTGAAGTGCTTACACACAGGAACACAGCAGTGGCGGCCTGTTCGTCTACACGGGTGTTCAGTGGTCGCACCGCTCGTCATCTGCGCCGCCCTTTGCCAGCAGGTTCGCAAGCCGGCCGACTTCTCGCTGTGAGCATGTGATATATCCGTTCGTACTCTGTCAACACGAAAATCCCTGGCAGATGGCTGAAAAAATGGCCAAAGGCGGCCAGGTTGCGCCTGGCTGCACAGACGACTTGCAGAGCGCGTATATGCGCTTTTCAAGAGGTCTGTGCGACCAGGCCTGTACTGCCGTGTGCTTATATGGTGCGTGTGATGTTAATTATGCTGTGCTGCTCATTGGGAGTGCGGGGGAAGATGGGGGGAGGAGACAACCCGCAAAACGAACGACCCCCGTCCTCCCAATTAGGAAAGCACTCCGCACTTCACACTTCACTTGTTCACTAACGTGACTTTGTTGAATGCAAACCTTAATCGCGTTGAATGCGACAAACAACGCGCAAACAACGCGCCCCACGCCAGTATATATACGGCCGCCCGCCGCGGGGTATAAATACAGCTGCCCCGCCCTCCCTTCCCCCCATCAGCGGTCCCTCGCACATCGCCTCTCGAGACTCACTCTCAGCCTCTCACTCTCTCAACCTCACTCTCTTACTCTCTCACCATGCGCTTCTTCAAGCTGCTTGCGGAGGTCTCTGTCGGCGTCGGCACCCTCCTCAGTGGTTACTGCCCCGAAGACGGCGGCGCCCAGCCATTCAGGCCTCCCGCCGGCATCGACAGGGCTTGCGCCGCCTGGGGCAAGACCGTTGATGCAGTTTTCAACCCCGTCGGGTACGTTGCGCTCCCCCTGGTCGCCCTCGAACATCCTAACATTATTTCTTATTTTTGCCAGACTCGGACACACGTTGCTTCGCATCAAGGACGGTTCGTTCAACACGGGTTGGGATGGCACACTCATTGGGATGTGGCGAAGGTGCGTGCTCGTGTCTTGCAGCGGCGTCCGCTCCCTAACCCCTGCTCGTCGTACAGCGGTCAACTCGCCCCCTCCGACGAAGACTGGTCCCCGGACCTCTCCTTCGTGAACGGTACGACCAACATCGACATCGGTTACATCGATCCTGGGAGTCCGCCTGGTTCCGGAGCGCTACCTGAGGCGCGCAAGACACCAAGCGGATACACCGGTACTAAGGACATCATTCTCGCCCCCTGCATCATCTGCTCCTCTCTTCGCGATGCACCTTCGCCCACGGACGACGACTACGCGACCATCGCCGGCGGCGACATCCGTGTCGAGATCATTCGCGAATGGCCCGCCAACTCGAAGCCCGCGGAGGACATGCTTCGTACTGTCATGCTCCTCTCTTTGGTTATCGGGGGCCATATTTTGGCCGCGATGATCGCTCACGACCCTCATAACGTCGTCGAAACGCACGTCTTTCCATTCATCGGACGCTGCGTACGCCGGGTGGTCCACGTTTGGAACATGCCGTGGACCAGCAGCGGGAGGATCTTCATCACGACGAGCGACGGCAACGAGTGGGTGGTAAGTCTCCATAAGCCTCATCGCTGTTCCCACCCGCTAACATCCTCGACAGCTGCTGGACGACCTTGTGAACGCTGAGTTCATCTTAGTAGTCGAGGACGAGCCGGATCACGTGGTACGTTTCGATCGCTCAATGTTTCACAGTAGGAGGCTGATGACAATATATACAGGACCCGGCACCTCTCTGGAACCGCGACATGCGCATTCCTACCTCCGGCCCTCGTCAGACCCGTCGCGGTCAGAAGAAGGCCTCGAAGAAGTCGAAGGGCTCGAAGCGGGGCGCATGAGCTTCTGGTACGTCCCCTCGCCCCTCATCCCTCCTCGCGCGTCTGACCGTCCACACACAGCTCCGCTCCGCATCGTTCTCCACCCAGCCTATCTGTATCGATATCTCTCTCTCGGGTCGCCCTGTAGCGTTCTAGTCTCCCTGGGATCTGGTCTTTCCTCGTGGTTCCGTCCTGTCCTTCCTTCTTCTACTATACTGGGATCCGATGGCCGGCGAGCCTCAGAGCACCGATGCCCCCGCGTGTTCTGAGGTTCGTCGATCGTCGGGGCGGGTCAGGCGAGCGGAGGGGCATTCCGCGAGTCTGGCTTGCAATCCCTACACCTTCTTCCTTCCCATCTCATCTCATCTTACCTTTTACTATTTCTTTCTCTGGTTCCTCTTCTTTTCGGTTGGGGTTTTGGTTATCTCGTCGTACTCGGGTTCTCAGTCTTGTATATTGGCGTCTTACATTGGGCTCGTGTTTCTGGGACTTGGATGTGGATTCGTACAGGACTAGTTGGGTATCTTTGTGGTCACACCGTCGACTCGTAGCATGGTCATATTCTTATGGAATATTTATGGTTTGGTCTTCCCTGCATCTCGATGCGAGTCAGCTCGTACAGTGTGATCTTGAACAACATCGGTGATATCAAACAACAACAGACCAGATAGCATCAGCTGGCCTCACGTCTTCTATGTATGCTCAGCCGACTAATATTTGTTCATGGATAGGACATCAACGCCACCGAGGAATCTCATAATGCCCCCCTCTATCTCCAAGCAATCACTCCGGCGTGAGCGTCGTGATCCCCAAAGCCCTCAGCCCCACCAGCGTAGGCAACACCTTTGTTTTCGCTGGCACTACGCACGTTCTTCAACGAGTTGCGGCCCATACCAAGGTTTTCGCGACAGCGGTCGCCAAAGAGGAGTGACATCGTGTTGAAGCATGAAGGAGGATCGGCTCGCGTCAGGTGGCTATGCAGGCTGCATGCTATCGGAGTGTTGCTTTGGCATAGATTGTGACTCTCAGTACTCCTACTGTACAGGGGGAAGTGATTCAAGTAGAAATTGTGAACGTCGAACCGCATACGTTTAAGGAGGTGGTAGGCCATGTCGAGCTTGCGAGGAGCACACCGTATCCGGTCAGTGCGGTCGCCCTCAGAACTGAAGGAGGTCTGGGGTGTACATAGCGGCCAGCATGCCACCAGCGACAATATACCCCAAGTCACCGTTGGACTGGATATCGAAGACGCCCGTTAGAATCCGCAATATATGACAGATCGGAGAACCCACGTTGAACTTCCGCTCGCAGTCCTGAGGGGTGCCGACATCGAGCGTCCCCAGCTGCCAGATCATGTGCAGCGCGCAGCCGCCGACGCCGATGACGAAGTACGGCAGAGGCATGCCGGTCTCCGCGCCGGCGTACGCGAGGGTGCCGACGAACACCGCGCCGAAGAGACTGAGGATAGGTTTGACGTACGCGCCGAAGAGGAGCGCCGTCGACTTGACACCAGCCTCGACGTCATCTTTCCGGTCCTGCAATCGTCGGATGGTCAGCAGGCCGGCAGCAAAGCGTATTCGTGATGGATATACAAACCTGGCAGGCGTAGATGGTATCGTAGAAGATGGTCCAGCTGCAGACACGTGTGAGACCAACCCTGTGTTCAGGCGACGTAGCAGGCTGTAACGCACCAGAATGTGCCAAATGTCAACGTCCACATGGGGATAGACCTAATATCTTCCGGTCTGGTCATCAGCCATGCCGTCGGCAGACCCCAGTTCATTGCCAGTCCTGTCGTCCAATCAGTACTTGCTTGAACATCCGACGGCGATTGAAACATACCTAGCCAGGCCTGGGGCCAGTTCGTGACGCGCTTCATGAGCGGGTACAGAGCGTGCAACGGAAACACGCCGAACATCCCGCACAAAAAGCTACCCCGTGTAATTGGTCAGTGAGGGGCGCTCGTTCGTAAGATAGACGGTGCGCTTACGCCGTACGGTTCACCAGGGTCAACATCCACACGAAGACCCCAACCTGCGCCAGAAGGAAGACCGTCGCCTGGAAGACCGTGACCGCGCCCGAGGCAATGGGTCTGGTCTTGGTCCGCTCTATACCAGAACACGTCAGCCGGAGCAGCTAGAAGTGAAGAGACATGGCACTTACCGACTTGACGGTCGAAATCACGGTCACAGATGTCGTTGATAGTGCAAGCTGCGCTGTGAAGGAGCGTGCTCCCGAGCAGGAACGCGGTCGTGTACTGCACGAACGTCGTTAGATCCGGGGGGTGCCCGCGCGTACCCAGGAGGTATCCCCATACTGCATGATCAAGATGAGTATGGAATCCATAGGCAAAGACCACCGAATGTAAGCGTACCGCATGGCCAGAATACCAGTATGGAACCCGAGGGGAACTTGTGCATGCGTGCCAACTCCCAGTAGAGTCTCCATTGCGGCTTGAGGGCGGCACTGGGGCTCTGCTTGTTAAGCAGGGGCGTCGTGGAGTGGGCTGGTGCGGACATGTTTTGCACAACTTGAATGCACATTACTCGTCACCGTCTGCTTATAAGTGAGCTGGATCGTGCGCTTGATACTGGCCAAAGGCCTTGCAACCGCCGTCGTCCAGTAAGGAAGTTTTGGACACACGACAGTCCGCGCTCCTCCGGATGTTGTGGAGCTTCGCCTCGGAAGCCATGGGCTGTGACGCCTGTTGGATTGGTACTTTGCAAAAGAGTACCGCTGGCGTCCTCGGTTCTGGCTACGGCAATTGCACGTATGGTGGCAAGGCTCGGACGCTGTTTGAACATCCGTGCGAGCGCATTCGAGGCGTACCGCAGTCTCCGAATCCATGTCCGCCGTTGACGTGCTCCGTTCGAACCATTCACTTCGTTGGTTTTAAAGTGAGGATTACCCCGGAAGGAACGACAACACCCGAATGCCCAACGTGCGACGACACAGATGAGCGGTAGGACATATCACTCAAGTTCACGCCCACGTCGGGCGCGCGCCAGATGCAACAATCAGATTCCTTCAGCCACTGCATAGATAACCCTGAAAGCTGGAGGTGGGTCAGATAGATGTGCTGCTAGAAGCTGATATCGGACGTACAGTAGCAGCTACACCGTGTGCGGCCCTTTACTCAACTAGGCAGTTGACGTCTTTGTTGAGATGATCGGATCTGAATGGCAGGAGTATGTGCGGAACTACGACGAGAGAATGCAACTTACGGGGGTAACATCATCTGTCGGGCGAGGCGCGGTGGCGTTGTCTATTCTCAATTGTGGGAGCAATAATCAGTGACCAGCGTCGCGTCAGAGATTTCTCCCGTTCTTCGTGCCCCGTGTCTTCAGACACATTGGCCATGTATTAGAACCGCCGATGTATATTTCGAAACCTGCTCTTCCAATCCCCCATGTAAGAGCATACGAAACGAAGGAATCATGACTGAAAGTCCTAAGCGTCAAAAGTCCAGACGCACCGGCTGTTCGGCGCATGGATTTGATATCCCAAATCCAGTAGTGACGAGTACACGAACTCCACCCTGTAGTTAATTTGAAGGGATGTCTTGACACGTTGAGAGAAGCCTTCCGAGCAACTTCCGAGTCCGATGTCGTCGAAACGTCCAGGTGCCGAAGCAAGGGTACGTCGGTACGGAAGTGCCTGGTACAACATCAGAGAAGCAGGAGAGACGATGTCACGGTAGCTCACATGGCGATCCTCTGCTCACAGTCCGATTTTTGCGGGGGTTGTCGAGCTGGCGCAAATGTTCGTCAACGCTCCGTGTCCCGTCAAGAGGCTATCCAGCCTATCCAGCCAGCAAACATGTTGGGTTCAGCGCAAGATCGCAGAGGTGAGCTGGTGAACGTCGAGAGGAAACCAGCGGCATCGCCGTTTTGGTCAGCGCCGAAGTTTTTCCGTCCCTTCTAGCCGCTCCTCCTCTCCTCCTCCTCCTCCTCCTCCGGGTGTCCCTCCTAGCCGCAACGAGTCGAACGACGTCCTCCTCCTGCTACATACTGGCAGCCGCAACGACAGCCTCTCTCGCCGTGCACGAATGCAGACACAATGCGGGCATATTGGTTGCAGTGCCAACGAATATACCTTCTACTATTCCGCCGCTCAATGTCCAGACTAGCTGACGCACACATTCGACTCAGCTCGTGCCACCTCCGAAACGTCCCTTCATCCCTCAGGCGAGTCCTCGCAGTCTTCCTCGAATCACGTACCATTAAACGCATCGCTGTTAAAAGCCTTCCACGACCTTGGGCTGGACGAGAGACACACTACCAGTGCGCTGTCTCAGTTCCACGGCGATAAGCACCTCTGCCTGTTCACTAAGCTCTAAGTATCATGTACATGGGTGCCGGGTATTGACCTCCTGGCGCCGATCGGAGTCGATAGAAGAGCTAGTACTAGGTGAGCCTATCTCATCGTAACCGTCCACCGCATGTTCACCGTCGGCGCTGTTTCTTGCGAGGTATGTCACCCCCGATATACGATAGCTGGAAACCTCACATCATTGACAATCGGGACACGTTCTTCGACACTGGCCGTAGGGCTACCAGGAGATCACACACCATTCGCTCGACGTGAGACACTCGACCTTCGACCATTCTTCCTCAGAAGCTTCAACTTCTGATCGCGGCGCAGGTCAGTGAGGTAGTATATCTGCATTAACATGGCACGCCGCTGCTGATGGCCCTGAACACGCCGACGCATACACGCTAGAATAGAGTCTATGGGACTGGAGCCTACTACTCGTCGATTGAATCCTTCAGCAGGACATCATGATAGCGACCGCACTCGGTTCATGTACCAACACACGATTGTTGGCCAGCACGGCTCGCTGCCTCTGGTGACCACTCGATCCGACCACCACTGCGACGTCCCTCATATTCGCTAGGTGCGGAAATATGCTCATTGCGCGACCCAGCGTCCGATCGTACACCGTGGTGGTGGTCCAACATGCGAGGTGCTCGACCCACCAAACCAACAGTAGTAGGTGCGTCTACACCTTCCTTGGCCTCTCCAGCGATACTTTCTCGGTCCCACACGTCCGAGCACTGGCGGAGTCGTTGGCGTGCTTAGGGTCAGTAACGGGCGACGGGTATCACATCTTGATCCTCCGAGGCTCGATGTATTGCCAGTAGATGGCTTCGAGCAACTCGTGTATTATCCTACATAATGGGAAACATCCTTCACGAGCCTTACCCCGAGGACAAGTCGTTCATGCGCGTGTTCTCTGTTATTAGAACAGTATAATGCGGCCGGCCAGGCACCAATCTGGCAATCATTAGGCACAGTATGGCGAAAGAAATGCCTACCATGGCCCGACATATCCTTACGGACGTTCTCCTCATAGGCCTGAAGGAATGGAAAAATGACAATGGGCGTACGCGCCCTGGCGCCTCTTATTACTGTGCACCGTGCTTAGTAAGCGTTTGTAGCATCGTGACGCGACCTTCAGCTTCAGAATCAAAGGCGACCGCCAACAGTCTGGGAGCCGCTCCTTCAGCCTGCCGGCACTCCCACCCGGGATCCCATAGATATAGCGAGACTGGTACGATTTCTTCGAGGGGTCTATCGACCATGACTGTTATACTCATGCAGCCCTACAGGCACTGCTGTCTGAGAAGGCGGTGTGATGGCCTCTGAGCTCAGGCTGGATGGCATCCGCATTCCATCGCCCCTTCCCGATGATGTCGACATGCGATACACCCTCTTTCACGCCTCTATGGCTCCGCGGACCTGGATCATATTCAAGATCGGATACTTCCTCAACCTGGAATCCCGATCAATAGGATTCCCGATGAACTGCTCGCGGAAATCCTGCAGATCGTGTGGGGCGACTGTCCTCCTCACTGGTCTTTCGTCACCATACTACTGATCTGCCGCCACTGGTACTTCACTGCGGTCTCCTCTCCGACCCTTTGGACTGAGGTCACGACCAGTATGCCGCTCCCGGTCCTCGAGACCTGCTTGCGCCGATCGCATGGGGCAAGCCTTTCGCTTACTACACCAGTTGCGTGCACGGCCGTTTCCCACAATGCCCGGCTCCTGAACGTACTCGCTCCGCATTTCGACCGACTCGTGGATCTGTATACATACAGCTTTCAACCCTATGTCGAGCATCGTATGGAGCAGCTATCTTCTCTCGTCATCGATGACACGCTGCCGCCGGACACTGCGCCGACGAGTCCTTGGCCCGGAGTCATTGCCATCCGCGGCGATCGTTTTCCAAAGCTGGAATGCCTGACGCTCCGCGCGATCGAACCAGTAGCGAGCATCGTCGATGCGCACTCATTGACATCGCTCACTCTGGAGGATCTATGGTATGAGACATGGAGCGGATACCTCGACTTACTCAAAGGCTGTCCAGCTCTGGAGGATCTCACACTGATTCCCTCGAAACCGAGTCAAGGGCTGTCGCTACCGTCGGTCGCCGACCCATCGTTTCCATGCGGCATCTCCGACAACTCAATTTCAGGGACTTCCGTGAACGCGGGGGCATATCATATCTTCTTGCGCATCTCGCTCTCCCGTCCCGGTTGAAATCGACATCAACATCGACATGGACTCCAACTTCGATGAGGATGACCTCGAGCGACTCACGCATAACCCTAGCTTATGGAAAACGTCCTTCGCGAGCGTTATTCCCGAGGACAAGACGTTCATGCCCGTATTCTCTGCGATTCGAACAGTAACAGCGATGATCAGCGATGATCGTCTGGAAGTATTGGCATCCGCGCTGAAAGAGCCTTCCGCTGGTACTCAGTCGGTCACTTATTCATGCGCCTTAGGACATCTGTTCAATACAGCACGTCTTCATTCACGGTCATGCACGACCTGGGCACGGTGTTTCCCCATCGCTTACGGCGCTGCACATCTACGTGAAGGGTCATGAGAACTATGATGATCCCTTCGGATCCGGTTTTCATAGCTCAGCTACCAGGAACTGGAAGAGGCTCTACACCCTGTTCCCACGAATTCAAGACCTCTACGCTGGTGGTCCAAATGCGCCTTTTTTGCGTTCCTACCTAGCCTCAGCCGCCGTGATGTGCATTGCACCATTCGTCCTTGCCGTGGCCCAAGCTGACGCAGATCACATTCGAGAACACTGCGACGAAAGAGGAGCCAAACGAGTCGGACGCGATCGCGGAGTCCATCATCACCACCATGTGTAACCGTCGAGATGCTGTCTTGGGGGAACGCTTGCAATGTCTTACCCTGCTGTTTCCAGAGCAGCCGCTCAATTTGTACACAGGCATGTCCCTGATGAAGTTGTGGGGGGTGACGGAACAGCTCGTCTGTACAGTGGGCGGGCGAACTGTGAATAATGGGCATCCGGGGCGGGACATCCCAGCCGCGGTCGATATACGTACAAGTACGTGAGTGCCGGAGCAATGTGAGTGTCAGGCGTAGTTGGATAGGGTGAATCAAGTAGGGACCAGCAATACACATCTTCCTTCTTTTCTTTTCTATATCTCATCGTACTGATCGTTGATGTATAGCTAGTAGTAGTACATTCGGTCCTCAGGCTCATCCAAGCGCAATACATCTCAGCCATCGTAGCAACTGGAAGCATGAATCTTCAATCGATACAGTGAACAAAACAGAGTCACCTCCAAACCGTCCTTCTACTCAGTGAGTCGGCCGATATGATAGGGAGGCAGACCGTGACCGCTTGTTAACAACCAATCCCTCACACTGACCCGCGCCCCGTATGGGCGGTACTCGGACGAGGCCGCATTGCCGCCACCTCCGTCTGGACCGTCTGGACGACGCGCCACGTCTTCAGCATGAGGACTCCTGGGTATTGCTGACTCGGAATTCCTGAACGGGAGACGAGTGAGACGGACGTGTGCCTGTGTGTGCGTGGGTAAATGGGCTTACTCATGATGACGATATCAACTGTGCTTGTAGGTGACGGCGACTACGCCACGAGCAGACCATGGCTGCAACAAGCCACGGAAGATGGTCTCGAGCTTCTCCCTGAATACGACCACATCCAAAATATGATTAATCCGATGACTCAGGTACGTCGTCACCTCGACATCCTGCAATGCGTCGAAGTATGGCCGGCTCATGACCTCGTGCAGGTCCCGTAGATTGAGTGCCTCTAGGACAGCATTGGGCTCTTGAGGAGCGAGAATGTCATCGTCGAAACGGGGTGTGATGCGGACCGCGATGTGCTCGAGCTGATGGCTTCGGATGGTGGAGAGGACACCATGTAACTCGTCCGTTGCTTGGGTCCACGCCGCACGAGGCCCCTTGTCTTGAACTCGGATGTGCTGAATGGCTTGCAGTGTGAAGTCCCAGGATCGCAGTGAGGTGTTTTGCGACAGATTGCTGTGAGTATCTACATTTTCCATGGACATCATGATCAGCGGCGAAGTCTATGAGCAAAACAAAGATGATCTTACAGTCTTCATCGTCATGGTAAAGTATCTCGCAGTAACGGGTCAACGATGCCCCTGCCGCTTCGAGGAGGTTGTTAAGGGGCATCTGCCATGTCGCGGAGGGATAGACCAACCAAACTTTCAGATCCGCAAGTGAGGTGCAGAGGCCTGAGTGCGTCATCCAGACGAGGAACATCGCCATGGCTTCTTGCTGGCGCACGTCGATCTCAACGGATCGAAGACGAATGTGAGACGATGGGTAAAATGGCGAGGCTCCCGCGTAGCTGGCAGCGCCTTGCTGAGCGATCTCAACATCTAACGTGAGGTCTGTAAGCTGGGGGAAGGCATATACAATCTGCCGTAACTGCGTGATGTTGTTGAATAGGCAACGGCTGAGCGTCAACGACTTGACAGACTTGAACCTCGACAGGGCGAGGAAGAAGTCTGTGCGGATGAAGCGACGGTCTCCACGCTCGAGGTGAAAAATGCGTACACGAGGCATCACACCAGCGAGTGCGGATGGTAGTGCCTGAAGGGTGTGATGTTCTTCGTCGGCCAGTAGCCGGTATGTGCTCGCGAGCCACTGCTTGACGCTTGGTGACGCGTGGCACTGTTTGAACAGCATGTTGAAGCTGGTGCGACTGCGAATCTCGACGGCATAGTAGAGGTTCTGCATCGCGCGAGGATACCACATTGGGCAGACCAGCGCCGCCGCGGCCAATGCGGGCTGATCACCGATCATCGCGTCAATAACGAGCTCGAAGACCTCGAGCGGGATCCGAGCGGAGAGGGCCAGGGCCAGTGTTCCCTGAAAACGTGCGTCCCGCCAGCCTCTGAAGACCCTTCCGACCCTCCTATCCTCGTAGATCCATTCATCGGTGCTGGCTTCCTCATTGCTCTGTTCAGAGGCACTGCTCTGACCGACATTGGTATGCCCGTCGGCACTCCATTGCGTGAGTTGTGCGTGTGAGACGTCGGGAGAAGGAGGAAGATGCTAAGTGAACGGCGCATCAGTCGGGATCATGGACGGAAGAGTCAACAGGATGACCGACACTACTAGGCTGGAGATCGGACATAAGTGGGGCACTCGCACCCTATGAGTATGCGACGTAGATATACTCGCTATGAGCAAGTACACTCAGATCACGGCGTGTACTTGGGTGAGTGGACGTCCATGCCCCTAATCTATTCCTCGCTGCATTCTTCGAGGCGCCCATGGGCCATTGCGGCAGTTTGTCAAGGCGCTGGATTCGGAGACTAAACTCTTAATCCTCACATACATGCTGTACACATCGTCTTCCAGCAAACCAACAAGATCAATTGATTATCTAGTCTATTACTGCAATGAGGCGCAAAATATTCTTCCTCGTCGTCAATGGTAACTGTCGTGCCTTTTCCTTGTCCAGTGCATCAAGCTTGTACTAACCCTCGATCAGCGTTTGTTGTATCTTAGGTACCGTGATACCACTGGAAATAATTGTGAGTGACGGTAGATACATCGTGGCTGATTACGCACCGATTGTAGCTAGCATGTTGAACACTGAAGGCGGGACTTGAGTACGTACTTCCAGATGCAGTCAACGGAACGAGCAGCTCACCGACAAACGCGAACAATACCCAAGCATCGCGCCACCGGTTGTGGATGCTGATGTCGAGGGGCTCGTAGAACTGATCCCCGACGGCGTACTGGCAATACCGACAGGAAGTGGAGTCCTGCAGGTTGTCGATGTAGCCGCCGTACGTGTTCACGAACTCGGCGCCCCATCCCTCGCAGGTCTGTCCAGACGGCGGATTGAAGATAGCGAATTCGTCCGCCTTGCAGGTCACGCGCAGTCCGTGCAGCTCCGTCGAAAGCATCGTGCTGAGCGTCCGCGTGTACGGGTTCAACTGGTAGAGCCACGACTTGAAGAAGTGGTTTAGAGAGTAGTACGGTATCGTGACTGCACCGTAGCAGTGTGAATGAAGTGCTAGACAGTTGACAAAGGAATGCCGTACCTCCGCAGAAGTTGTTGAGAATGAGTGCGATGAAGGGGTTGAACAAGACAGCGAGCTTCGAGGGATGAGTCCCGTGTACGGTCGATTCAGTAGGGACACTTACGAAGAGATTCAATGACAGTGATGCGATGAGTTGGCCCAGGGTCACACCAAGCAACTGAGAGCATTCGTCAACGCCAGAGTGCATTCGAAGCTAATCTATATCTTACCTCCATGAATCTGCGATCCAAATTCAACATCATTCGATGTCAACAGCATAAAATCACTCACATCACTATGAGCAGCTGGAAACCAGTCCCGTCAATCCCTGTAGAGTTGTTTCGACCGAAGCCCATAGGATACACCTTTCGTCGTCGTCAGCGGCTCTGCAATGCAATGTAAAGAGCAACCGAGTCTTACCATGAGGACCCAGTAGACGATCGCACACAAGATCGAATACGGCAGTTCACCGAGTAGCTGACCGATGGCGAAGACCTCCGGCGAGTAGACTCGTGCGGACGATTCTGTCACGCGAAGTCAGCAGAGTGTTACATCCGTCGCATCTGTGAGGACATACCCCTGATGAAGATGCCTGAGCAATAGGTGATTAGCGTACAACAGGTTCGTCATGCCGAGAAACGTACTTCGATTGAAGAGGAATATCGGCTCCACTTGCGAATGAGAACTGTAGGAAGCACGGACACCCAGAATCTGTTGCAAGGCAATCAGGGGTCTACGATATCGCAGGGAGGCATGGTACACACATTCCGAATACTCGATACTGGCGACATCCATCAGCAGGTATAAAGGAGCCATGCGTCGAACGACATACCTGCAGGTCGCGCGAGCTGTTGCCGAGTTGCAAGAACGTAAGAGAGACCCACAGACTGACGAAGATATGCACGTAGAGTCGGCTCCAGATGTAGTTCGGCGAACGCCAGATTGCGATGGCATTACGCCGAGTAACCGTCTTCAGCTGGTACAAGAACGGTGTGGCATCTATAGGCATGTCAGTTCATCTCGCAACGCTAGAGGAAGCAACACGATCGCACATGTTGCGTGGTCCTCCGCACCGCCCTTGTGTGTGAGGGACTTCGCCTTGATCTCCTGGATCTCCGCCATGACCTGAGTCGCTTCAGGCGACTCCGCCCAGATCTCCGTCCAGTCGCGGTCGCCAATCCGAGGCGCGACGCCAGCACCGATCGCGTCCAGCAGGTACTCAGCCACATTCGCGTTCGGTGGGCATTGCGCGCCGTTGCGAGCCAGATAGTCCCGGAGGACTGCACCGTCTGGGCCGATGGGACCGAAGTAGCACGTATAGCCTCCGCGTTCCAGGAGGAGGAGCCGGTCGAACTGGAGGAACAGCATCGAGCTCGGTTGGTGGATCTGGAGAAGGATGAGTACCACTGGGAGTGTGCGATGTGTAACCTACCGTGCACAGAATGGGGAGACCGCTGTCAGTGAGCTTGCGGAGCAGGCGAACGATGTTCCAAGCGCTCTGCGAGTCCAAACCTGTAGACACGATGCCTATCAGACGAGGCGCAGAAGTAGGACGATGCCAACGCACCTGACGTCGGTTCATCCAAGAAGAGAAGGAACTCCGGCTTGCTAGCCAGCTCAACGCCAATGGTGAGTCGTTTCTTCAAACACAGTCGATTAGCAGGCGCATGCGACGGTCTGAGATCCTGCTACCGACTTTGGCTTCCTGGCTGAGGCAGATCGTCATCACTTCCGTGAGGTCCTGCAGCTCTAGAAGGTCGATGATCTCTTCCACATATATGTCCTTCTCTTCTTTGGGCACGTTCATCGGCTGCCGCAGATACGCGGAGAACCGGAGAGCCTCGCGGACAGTCTGAAACAATGTGAGAATCAATTGACTCTTTCAGGATGCGTAGCTCGTCACCGAAGTCGGGTTATGCACGTCCATTTGCTCCGCGTATGCTGTCGAACGAGCAAAGCTCGAGTCCAAAGGCCGCCCGTCTACGAAGATGTCGCCGGAAACCACACCGAGAGTTTTGCGCTGGGCGAGGACATCAAGGCAAGTAGTTTTGCCTTGTGTATTTGTTAGTAGCGGTGGAGTCATTGCTGTGATCCAAACTCACCAGCTCCTGACGCACCCATCAAGGCCTGCCGACGTAGAATATTAGCAGCGTCATCTACGGAGACTCGAAGCGCATACCGTGAGGGTTCCAGGTTTCACGTAGCCATACAAGTCGTGGAGAAGCTGACGTTGCCCTCCCGGAACAGGTATGTGATAGCTGAGCCCCTCCCAGGTAAGTGCGTGTTTTTGTCCCAGATCCTGGCTGAACGACACCATGAGAACACCCACGTCTCTGATACGACATCATCACAAACCTAGAGACTTTGGAGACATCGTCGCTTGGGAATTGGTCCTTCTCTGGGATGACATCTCGCTTCGATTTCAACGCCTCATTCAAGGCGCGGGTCTCCGGCGTTTCCTTGACGAACAGTCGGAATCCGCTTCCTCGATGCAAAACCTATAAACGGAGAGTTCAGTCATGAGTGACGTGGAATTGTGGTCTGTCTTACCGGTCGACCTTCGATGGCAAGGTACTGCAGTATTTGATAGAAGATGAACCATCCCAAGAGCACGAGGAAGTTGCGCCTCCAGATGTCAGCGGTATCCAGGCCGAAAGCTGCTTGCAAATATGCTTTCCCAGAAACTTGAGGGTCGCCGGGCAACGCTCCGAATAAGGTACAGACTTGATTCGAACCAAGTCCAGTCCTGAGTGGATAATGCGGTCAGCGAAAGTGACTAATGAGTCCTTACAAGCCTTGTCACTGACGGGTACTTGTCCAAACCGGGCGGATTCCGTGGAACGACAAAGGAGCCATCACAAGAGAACTGGATCGAAAGATCAACTGAAGCCTGAGCGGAAACCAATGGTGTGCACTTGCATTGATGCGCATGAACTCGTTCTCCATGCATCCCGCAAATGCTGCAGTGGGGTCAATAAACTATGAAGCACGCATCACTATGAACAATACCGTAAGACATCGGATTGAGATATGACTAGAAGAGATTCAGTGGGTTGTTATAGACCTCTACAGGGAGAAACTCACGATCCAGAACAGCCATCGCTTCATTTGGAACACCGGAATCATCCATCCTCCGAACAAGATGATCGGAGCGATGCAGAACGTCGTGATCCTGAAAGCAGCGTCGTGTGTTGCCGTGATCAGTCCGAAGAATCTAAACATCGCCTGTATGTCTTAGTTAGCATCCTTTTACAAAGACGACAGCGTCTGCGCCACATACCTGCATGTCGAGGAAGGCGAGCCAGTTGAAGAGGTAGAACGTGAAGAAGCCGCCCGCACTCCGTTCCAAGTGCGTCATGAAGTAGATAATCATGGTGTAGAGGAACAGACGCACTGCCGAGAACGGCATGTCTGCGAGCGTGTTTGCAAGCGGGAGCGCGCCAGGACGGTGTAGGCCATAGGACATCTGTACACGAATGTAAGCGTCAGTTACCCCAGCGCATACGCCCTGTGCGCACCTGTTTCTCGTAGATGGGACGGAAGAACATGATGACAGGAAGCTACACGCAAGTCAGAATGAGTGTTGCGAATGAAGAGATCGTACATACTTCAGAGAACGCCATCAGGCAGGACGTCAAGAGCGTCGTCCAAATAACGCTGCTACGTGTGAATGCTCCATCGGCGCCAAGAGTCAGGTCGAACCATCCGGCACCGGTTACAATGGCCAAAACCTACGACACATGATTCAGCTCGATACCTTCCGGAGTGACAAAATGGCACTCACGATCGTCAAGAAGAAACCTGTGACAAGGCCGAACTTCCCCTGCCAAATAACCTGCGTCTGGCGTCTCCAGATGTTCATGACCTGAGCTACAAAACTGATGGTATACGGGCTTTTCTTCGACACTCCCCTGTGTTGCTCAGCCACGACTGCCGCACGGAACTCTTCCTGTTCCTTCGCATCCCCTGCCGTCTCCCCCTTGTAACGCGAGAACACTTCCGATTCCTTGTGCCAGATGGGAGACGCGCAGAAGGCGTCTTCGAGTGTGTCTGGAGTCGAGGGAACGGTGACAGCAGAATATCCAGGAGCGAACTGGCGTTCGTGCGGATCCGTGCAACCGGTGAGATAATCGGGGGTGGTCTGGCGCGGTAGAGGCTTGTATCCTAATTTCGAAGTATGCACGTGCTTCGGATGGTGGCCCGAAGTACACTGTGGAAGACGTCAGCTCTGTTTGGCGATCAAGAACAAGATTTGCCCCAACCTTGACGACCCTTGTCCAGCAGGAGGACCTTGTCGAATAGCTCGTACATGTTTTCACCGGCTTGATACCTGTGGGATGTCAGCTTTCGAAAAGAAGCGGATCCGCGAAGCACTCACAGGCTGACAAAAGTCGTTTGCCCGAGAATGTCGGTCTACACTCACGTCAACCGAGAGTTCAGCACAAATGAGGGGACGCCTACCGAGATGCGCAGACATTTGACAAAGTCGGTGGCGTTCGAAGCGTCTAGACCTCGTGTGGAATTGTCCCAGCACTGAACGCGGGCACGGGTGGTCATCATTTCGGCGATGCTGACGCGCTTGCGCTCTCCACCACTACAATATTATTAGGCTCTAGATGCGCGACTTTTCATTCGCACTCGAACGTACCTGACTCCTGGGACGAACTGAACCAAAGCCGTCAGCCAACAGTAAGACTTGCCCAGGAAAAAGACTGACCTCGTTTCCGACAAGAGTGTCTGCCGTATGGGAGATGTTAAGCATTTTGAGCAATGCGTTCTTCAACGAGTTGTTGAATGCCGTTTTCGACGTCCCCGGAGCACGTCCCTTTGGACCTGGCGTCTTCATGCTCAGTCCATAGCCGAGGGTCTGCGACACCGTCAAGTAAGGGATATGGACGTCATCTACATCAGAGTTAGTCGATAAGCCAGTGGACTGCCGCAGATCACGAACCCGCATGGTTGTAGAGGACCTCGCCCTTGTAATGCTTGCGCATCTCGGTGGCCTCGATCCTGCGTACTGGACTTGCCCGGAAACCTTCGCATAGTCGCCTCTTTGGTTCGCGATGACCTTCAAGAACGTACTACACCCAGCGCCTGGTGTTCCAAGCACCAAGCACATCTCGCCGGGCTTGAGACAGCCACTGGACCTAGTATCGGGGTCAGAGACGTGCGGATTTGATGTATTCAAAACTCACTTGTGCAGGACAGTACGCGTCGGAATCTGCTTGCGAAGTGAAGGAAAGAACCGGTATAGGAAAGCCTTGATCCATGAAAGCGGCGTCAAGAAGAATGCGATGATTGCAACTAGAAGCTGGGTGAGTCTCAGCACATCCTCGACCGAATCTCCTGAACGTACGAGGAAAGGTCGGTATGTATATCTTGTGACCGACGCCACCGACCACGTCGACTTGAAGATCCTCCCAAACGACGCCTACGTGCTTATGCTTGATTCCGGCTGCCTGGTTAGCATCGTTGGACGAGACCAAGTACTCCCGAAGGTCAAAAGTGGTTTCCCCGCCCTTCTCGATGTCTTCGTCTTGCGCGCTGCTTGAGGCCTGCATAGACAACCGTTGAGATACCTCATTGAAGGTCGCCTTCGCGATGCCCTCGTCGACGGTGTCCGTCTTGAGAGCTGGGTCGGGCATGCCTAGTAGCTTGTCGAGAACTAATCTGGAAGAATCGCGCGAATGCTCGGGCTAAAACCACTGGCCTGGTATTGGATTACGTCCAACTCTACCGTGGAGCGAAATGGAACCATGGTACGTTTGCTGCCTTCCTCGCAGCAAACGAATAGTCAGCCGGGTATTGGAGTGCGGAAACGTTGCCGGAGACTGAGTAAGTACCGCGCGCTAGATCGCACCAAACTGCACGACGGAGAATTCCTGCCAGCTGTCTGTCCGACCCTGACAGTGATGGGGAACTCACCGAGAGTGAACATGTTGTAACCCTACATGGCGACTCTGCTGAACCCGGGACAGCGGTAACAGTGCGATGGCACTCATGAAGCACCGCTCACTTGTTCATTTCATCATCGCGACGAACACCGGAGCGCTGATCCCGCAGCCCAGAGCGAGTGCCAAGGCTAGTCATCGAGAACAAAAGGTATTTTGCGACCAATTTGCGACGAACGAAAATACCCACATGCGAGGTTGTGAGTCGAATAATCTTGTGTGTGGTGTCAACAACGTTGCTGTAAAGGACTCGACTGGACCATTCCACATCTGAAACTCCGCCCCAATGTGTCACCAAAGCGCATGTACTGTACTTTGATATCTGAGTCTGAATTGTGCGCGTCCTCTGAATAACTGGAAGACTCCGACCTGTGGCGTGTCGCACCGAGGTGACCCAGAAGATACCCAGTCCCCCCGTAACATCCTTCGCGTCTGCGCTGTTCGCTGTGTTGTAAAGGCACGATATTGCACACCATGTGCAGTCCGATCAATTGGCGGGCCATCCTTGCGGACTGGGCGTGCATTCTCATTCAGTATTATGGGCGCGTAGCGGCATAGCCGCCCGGGCAGGCTGACAAAATGTCGGTAACTCCGGGTCAGGTATTCTTGCCGAGCCGAAATGGTACAGTCATCCTACCGGTAGGACGTACTGACCGGTAAGTACACTCCGTACTTGCACCGGCAGCCCGATAGGTACGATTTTACATCCTGCTTCTCCGAATAGCAGACGTAACTATTTACTATTGCAGGTTGGTTGTAATATATCTTCCTGCAGAGTGACATAGTTGTAGCATCCCCACCCAGGACTCGACCTCTCACGTCGTTGACCTCACTAGCCATTTCTTAGACTGGCTCCTGCAGTATTTTGTTAGCGACCGAGTACTGACCACTAACTACTTATGCGGCGTCTTGCTAAGGGAACAGCGGACATCCGTCCCTAGACCGCTTGCGTACACGTGTTTGGCGATCTGGCGGTCGCCTGGCGGATCGTCCTTCAACTTGACGGGTCCGGCGGAAAGGTGGATCAGCGTTATCCATTTCGGTATGTCTTTCGCCATCCTCGCACACCGGTATGACAAGGGCGCGTTGACAGGGGCGGTTCGCCGCACACCACTTCCGTCAAGACGCGCGGTCCCTTGGCATCTCCTATCGTCGTGGCAGCGCTCACACCACGACGTTGACTCGGAGTCCGACATAGCTTTTGATCGGTGATGCGCCACGACAAATCGCTGCAGACCAGATGTTGTGAAGACTGGAGAGACCCCGCGCAGCGCAAGGATAATCGTGGGGTCGGATATGTCTATGACGAGCAGTCACAGAATGCATGAGAGTGGTTGCTGTGACATGTCGAGACAGGACTCTAGAGCTTAGTACGGAGAGTCCTCAGGTCTCAGGCCCCAAGGGTTCGCGAAGATACTGACCCCTCTATCATGGTGGCCTTCTTAGCGGTAGCCGCTGCTCTATGTGCGGTCTTGCTCATCGCGCTCAACCGTAGTCGTGGTCGTGGTAAACGTCTACCTCCTGGGCCTAAGGGCCTACCGGTGTTGGGCAACGCCCTCGACATGCCGACCGGTAACCTGTGGACAACGTTCACAGAATGGGGTCACAAGTATGGTATGTCTTCGTCCTTGGTTGTCTTCGCACCGACTCAAAGTACCGCGAAATAGGTGACATAGTGTCCATCACCGTCTTTGGCCAGACTATCGTGATCCTCAATTCCTGGGCAGTCGCTTCTGAGCTCATGGAGAAGCGTGGTGCACTCTACTCGGATCGCCCCAAGCCGTATACAGCGGCGAACTCATCGGATGGAAGAACGTCGTGCTCTTCTCATCGTATGGTGAGCGGCTGCGTGAGCAACGCAGACTCATCCACAAGCTCGTCAACACACCTGCGCAACTCGAGAAGGTCTTGCCTCCGGAGAAGGGACTCGAGAAACACTGGCACAGGTTCGCAAAGGACGTCCTTCGGGCTCCGGAACGGCTCGACCGGCACATTCAGAAGTGCGCTTTGGCCCCATTTCCGCCCTTGAAGTGAAGTGCTCATGCACTGCTATTGATGTGCAGCGCTGTCGTGTCAGTGTTGATGCAGGTCTCGCACGGTTTCACTCCCGAGGGAGTGGACGACCCGATGACTGTTGTGTACGGTGACGCCATGGAGCAGTTCAGTATAGTCACTGCACCCGGAGCTTTTCTTGTCGATGTACTTACTCTCGACATACACCAACGTTCGCTGAGTGACTTTTCCCCAGGTCTTCCCTATACTTCGCTACGTGCCTTCTTGGATGCCAGGGACTTCATGGAAGCGACAGGCCGTAGCGTATGCGAAGACAGTTGCTGATATGGCTGACATACCATTCTTGCGACTTAAACGCCAGATTGTGAGTGTCTCCTTGGTCTATCCACTATCCGACGCTGAACTATGATAGACCGCAGGCACTGCGGAGCCATCATTTGGCTCCTTCAACATGCAAGGGAGCGCACTGAGCGCGGAACAGGAACATATGGTGAAATGGGCTGCGACGTCCATCTACTTTGGTGAGAGCTACAAACTTTGAAGATCGTTCGCCACTCGTCTGACTTCAGGCTACAACGAATGCAGGCGGGGCTAATACAGTGAGTAGCGCCCAATCTTCCCACTGTACCGTCTGACTCAGCATCAACTCTCGACAGACGATTCCAACAAGTATGTGTCCTTCGCGTCGTTGCGTAGAATACGCTACCAACGCAATGCATCCTTCTAGTTCGCCTGTTCTTTCTTTGCATGACTCTTTTCCCGCACGTTCAGGCGAAGGCACAAGCCGAGATTGACTCTGTGTTGGGCGACGCGCTTCCAGCCTTGAACGACAGGGCACGGCTGCCTTATGTGGACGCTCTCGTGAAAGAGGTGTTCCGGTGGAATCCACCAGCTCCAGGAGGTGCGTATGTCGTCAGACCTAGTGTCAGATATCGATTTCCCGACGAAGGACAACTGTATGACTGATGCTTCGTCTTTCAGCTGGTTTCCGTCGTACTACAGAGGACGACGAATACAAGGGCTACTTCATTCCCAAGGGCGCAATCGTCATCCCGAATGTTTGGTGCGCTGATTGTTATAATCTGATTGTACGTGTCGAGAGCCCTTACGCCTCGTCTCTACGAAGGCATTTCTCCATGACCCGCAGCGCTATCAAGACCCCATGTCTTTCAACCCGATCGCTTTATGCCTTCCGTAGGCAAGTCCCCGAGGCAGACCCCAGGCCGCCTTGCTTTGGCTTCGGGTGAGTCCCTACCTATTGTCTACTTCCGAGGTGCTGTGTTCACATTGATTCAAGTCGGCGGGCATGCCCTGGCTACACACTTGGAGAAGCCGATGTGTTCGTAGCATGTGCAACGGCGCTGGCGCTATTCGACATATCGTCTCCTTCGGTGGGAGAACGGGAAACGAAGACGTCTCCAATGAGCGTCTCGCCCCTCGAGCTGTGTACATACAACGGCTCGATCAGGTGCGTTTTATGCTGTCAATCACGACTGTAGGATACTGATGGGTAATTTACTAGTCATCCCAAACCCTTCGACTGTTCCTTGAAGCCACGTAACCAGAGAGTCGAGACCACCATCCTGAGTCTCAACGGTGACTAGCCCAATTCGACTCGAACAGTCTCGGTATGCTTGAGCAATGCAGGGTCGTAGAGCGTGAACATTACTATGTAAAATCAGTCACTGCGTGTCAGGCACTCTGGCGTTAGATCACGGGCGGTACTTATCCTGACATCCAGCGCCCCGCAATCGCAACAGCAGTCACAAAAGCTGTTCTAATCGCATTCAGTTGCCATCAAAGGTTCTGCAACCCTCTTCGCGCGATGACAAGTGATGTTGTGCTCGAGGGCCGACTCGGAGGCCTGTTAGTAAAGTCCAGGGCAATCATACAGCTCCTGTCCAAATATGGTAATCACCCTCTGGGTCACGAGTTGACGCGAAGACTCGCGAAGACGTCGATTTCCGACTACGTTCAGCGCGCTGCACAGGACACACTCGCTCGTTTCTACGTACTTACGCCGATCGTCGCGACGTACTGTGATAACATTCGGCGCCGGGCCGTTGCAGTCTCCACAACCGCCGGGATACTGCTACTTACACGAACGAATTTCATCAGATCGTGAGTGCCCGTTTCCAATGGTGAGTGTAGGCTGCACTGCTATCCCCTTCTGTACTCTCAGGCCTCCTTCTTTCATTACGGGATTGTGTTTGATCGAGGTGATAGGCTTGAACGTTCGAACCATACCCTAATAGGCTAGTAACGAGGCCGCCGTCGTCGTTCCCGACGTTCACCGGAACAGTTGCACATCGCGATTGCATTGTGATGTAGGTGTCAGTCATGATGCGGCCAAAGTTGTAGATTGTTCATTTTTCATATGCATACAGGCGCCACTTGGCGTTCACCACATACGACTTCGAGATCGGTACCCCAATTATGGTACGTCGCAGTCGATTGGATGATCCTCAGGGTGCTAACCTTCTATTGGACGCTTTCTGGCTCGCATCGCACTGGGAATACTCAGGCTGTTTGATCTTGGAACTGACTGCCAGTGATGCAGACTTCCTCGATGTAGTAGGTTGACAGCTTGCCACGCAGGCGCACGTACCTGTCTCGACGGTCTCCATGTCGGGGTTTCCTCGCACAAAATCCGCTTCTCTGATGTTTGTCTATCCGTCATGTTCCTCCAACGGTTCGTCGTCTAGTGAAGGGCCGCTGGTGTATTGCAACGGAAAGATGTGGTTGCGGACCTCCGCCTTTGGCCAGCGCGTCTTGACCAAATCTCACACATCCACACCATCGGGTATCAGTGACGGCTTTTCAGGCAGGAACGTCGCTGTCCAGATGTCAATACGAGGACCGCGAGATGATGGCCTAAGATGGCAACTGCTCCGAGTGTGTCAAGGGTGGGTGGATGATTATGTCAAGAATTCCGACAGTCGACGGCTGACGGCGCTTTGGGTTCTGCGGACCATCGCCGATCATAGCGAGCGGACGTGCTCGGCGGAGACACTTCGATTCCGCCTGCTCATTCTTCTGTTAATTCTGTATATAGGAACTGGACACTGCATCGCAATGGTAAGGGTACGACCTGTCACGGCACGATATGACAGGCTGCGATCACTGTATGCGCTAGCCTGTGTCCGGCGGTAGCAGGGTCCCGCCGGCAAGAGCTAGAACACAAGACAATCCAATACAGATCGTGGACGCGGTACGCAATAGATGGCACCCACCCAATACTAGGACTGGTGTATTTCACATCCAGCCTTCCGATTTGCTTCCAACAAACGGGCGTCGAACACCACTTTCCTCTACCGGAAGTTGGCCCTGGGGACCTGCATGACGCTCATTGATGCAAGAGTGAGTCAAGATACGCGACTCGGAGACGCATTGACAGCGGGTACAGGCCGCTGTGAACGGGGTGACACGGGCACGAATATGGGCGGGACTGGGTCTCCGAGTCCGTGGACATGTTCGCCTCTATTGTGCCAGCGCTTTGAATGATATTTCCACTGTGACTGTTGTGCCGTCTGAGGCTGTCTGATCGTCCTATATAAGATAGACGTAACCGGACACACGACAACAAGACTTCTCGCGACAAGATGTGGCCTACCGAATCGCTGTTGAATACCGAGTTGTGGCAGCCTGAGGCTTCGCAGGCATCGGCCTCGCAGCTGGGCGAGGTTTCATACCTCCGTGCTGAATCCATCTCCAAGGCTTATGGTAAAGTCTCCGTCCCTCATGGTCGTACCACGTATCTGACAGACATGTAGGACTGACATTGAAGGATGTCGCGACGCTGACACCGAAATTCTGGAAGTTGCACCAAGATCCGATTCTGTGCATCGACGGCGCTGCGACCACCTTGCTGACTATCCACTACAACCTGTGTCTCGGGACGATCAGTACCTACCTGCCTCACAGGAAGGATCTGTTCCCGCTTTCGCAGAGCCTCGCCGAGTACCAAACCATGTGGGTGATTCGTCTGCCTTCCTCGTATTGCGTGCTCACAACCCGTGTAGTGGTCAATTTTGTCTTACCGAAGGTTGGAAGATGTTGATTCTAACAAATGAATGCACGCTGACGCGCGGATAGTTGGCCATGGTCTCGACGCCTTCAATTTGGGGACCACGGCGACCGTTCAGCCAGATGGCAGTTTCGACCTGCACTGTCCCACGGCAGCGAATGCCAAGTGAGCGCATCCGACTCGTAGCACAGTGTGAAAACTGATCCGTCTACGTCAGATACATGCCGCCCACCATTCCTGTGCTCGGCCGCCCGTGTGTTGCGGTCGTCTTCGCGCAGCTTGTTGTCGAAGGCGAGAAAAGGGGTATACGCCCTTTTCTCGTTACGCTGAACGACGGCAAGACCATGTCCAAAGGGATCACCGCTCAGTGAGTATTCTCACAAGTTGGTCCCATTCAAACACCGTGTCTGATGACGACAACAGGCTTGTCCCTACTCGCCACGGCGCCACGCCCGTCAACCACGCCATAACCCGATTCGAGCATGTCGCCCTGCCCTCCTCCGCCCTGCTCGGCCGCCTGGAGAAGTCGGACTCGCCGCACCAGGACTTCCTCGGCGCGATCTGGCGCGTCGGCGTCGGCACACTCTCCCTGAGCGCGATCTCCATCCCCGCGCTGCAGGTCGCCACGCACATCGCGTTCAAGTACTCCGTCCGCCGCAAGATCGGCGGCCCCGACGGCGCGCCGCTGCCCATCATCTCGTTCCGCACGCAGCAGATGCCCATCTTCTACGCGGCCGCGCAGGTGTACGTCCTGAAGGCACTCAGCAAGCATATCGTTATGCGTTTCGCGGACACGACGGGCGATCCCCGCGTGAGGCACGCGGCCGCGACAATCTTCAAGGCGGTCACGATGCGCCAGTGCCAGAATCTGCATCTCGCGCTCTCCGAGCGTTGTGGCGCGCAGGGCCTTTTCGCGTACAACCAGATCGTGTCGCAGCTGGTCTGTACTACTGTTACTACACCTCGTGGGGCTTCACTCACGACAGCTCTGCAGAGCGACTTCCGGGGCATCGTCATTGCCGAAGGCGACATCCTGGTGCTTTCCATCCGTGAGCTGATGGTGCATCGCGTTTCACACACGAGTGAGGGCTGACGTCCGCGGTTGCTTCTAGGACTGGCTAGCGAGTTGCTCCTCGGGCGGTACACCCTTCCGTCCGCGGCGGACCCGGAGAGTATCCTCGCCAAACACGAAAGCGCTCTCTTCGACGAGTGCCGCGACATCGCGAAGACGCACGGCCACCGTAGCAAGACCTTCGCGTCCCTCGTTCTTCCCCGCTGCCTGTCCCTGGTGGAAGCCATCGGAGCGCGCATGGCATACGAGGCGGCGCTCGCCGAGGGCGTTCCGAAGCCGCTCGTCGATCTCTTCATTTCCCATACAGTCAAGGAAGATCTCCCCTGGTACGTCGAAGCAGGTCTTCTGACTCGCGCCGGCCATATGGAGAAGGAGAACGACGCCTTCGAGGCAGCGGTTCCTGTGATGCCGGGGTTCATTGACGGTATGGGCGCAGCGCCCTTCGTGCGCGCCCCCATCGTCAGTGATGCCAAGTGGGACCAGTTCTTGCAGACTCTCAGGGTGTTCAAGCCGTTCGAGGATGGTACTGCTACCGTGGAAAGCGCGCTCGATAAGGCTTTGGAAGAGCTGGTGATATCTTCGGAGCCCAAGCATGAGATAGATATCACTGTCAAGGAAGTTTCTGTTGCAGTCTAGACTGGGCTCTCGTCGAGTATATTGTTCCTTGTGGAGGCGTGTTGTACTACTATTACTACTATGTATGACAGATGTGATGTACCGACAAATATTTATCATTGCAGTGCATAGGCCAATGATTAGTCTTAATCCTGGGTTGTTTTGGAGCGGGAGTGGAAACCATCAATGAGGATTGCGATGCCGCGTGCCCGAAGCCTATGTCACTTGCGTCCTTAACTTCGGCTAGAACTTCCCTCGGGCGATGCTATCCATGATGCTGCAGGTCTCGCAAGGAACCTTTGGCCAGTGAAACCCTCAACGCCCGCACCAGCCAGGCACGGAGACTACAGTTCGAGCGGTTACGAGAGTCCGGGAAGAAGGATCGACTATTAGGCTAGGGTCCTACGTCCAATTTGCATCCGGCAGGAACGGTAAATCGTTGATCTTATCTCAGATGCGGCCTCCGGCCTCTTCGGAGATCGGGATCATGATCGGGAAGCCGCACTTGCTCCCTGCCAATTGACGTGGCATCCTTTGCCGCCGGGACGCTTCGAAATGACTTGGACTCGGAGTGAGCGCTGAGAGCTTCCGGTTGGCCTCGGATCCCATTGCAATCGTGTTGATTGTACTAGGTAGATATTACTTCGCCTAGGCCAAACCCTGGCGGTCAAATGGAGTTCCTGTAGCTGATGGGTTGCGGCAGCTACTTGATGGGGCGCTCTCCTCATGAGACCTTACTGGAAGGTCTATTCCCGAATATCGGTCATTTTCTCACCCGACACGGTGTTTTCAACTACCTACTTACCCATCGGGCTGCAGCTTTAGGTAACTCGGAGTGGTCGCCGCGCTCTCATGAAGGTAGTCCGCTGCCTGCAAGATTCCGAAGGAGAGCGCCATGACTAGTCGGCGGTGATGTCCTGTCACACGGCGATGTCCAGGTCGCGGCGCCTCGCCAGAACGAGATACTGGATTGCGGGATGGAGTAGTATCAATGGTCCCCGGATTGGCAGAGGTGTGTATTTCACACTGCAACGAGTTGAAGATAGCGACTCAATGGCAATATGCTCGATTGATAGGCCGTGTTCCAAATTACAGGGCATCAAACACGCAACAGTCCTTCCGGGGTCCTGGGGCAGCAGTGGCCAGGTCTGCGAAGCTCCATCCAGAGGAAGGCGTCTCCTGGTCGTGATTCAAGGTGTGTATTCCTCAGAGGAAAACTAAGTCTCGTTGAGCACATTAACCTTCTCCCCAGGACGTGTCACTATCTCACCTGCAATCCACAATGAAGCCTCCCGTCTTCTATCTCATCAGTGGCCTCTGGCCTCTCTTGCTACCTCCGGTGGTGCTCTCAGTACTTGCTCATGTCGCGAAGGACCAGACGGGGTTTGCTTTGCCCACACCCGTCGTCGTTATCCTCTGCATCCTGAGTATTCCCGCAACTTTCGTCACGGTGAACTTCATCGTTATGCGCGCTCAGATGCAGAGGGCAGCGAAGCTCGGTTCAGCCCTTCCGCCTCAATGGGAAGGAAAGTGGATCGGAAACCTCGACGTGCTCATTCGCTTCCTCAAAGCGTGGAAGGAGGGCTACATAGGTACTGTACTCTGCACTTCGCATCTTAACTGCCACTTAACCAACCTACAGGCGATCGCCATCTCGACGGAGTCACGAAGCTCGGTTCTGTCCTTGGACATCGCTTCATGGGCGATTACGCGACATTCACGACGGAGCCCGAACACATCAAGGTAGGACTCAGCCAACTGCTACGATGTGGCGACGTGACTTATCCGGGTCGTCTTGTAGATCATCCTTGCGACGGACTTCAATAACTACATCAAGGGCAAACGATTCCGAGTCGCTATGGAGTCTGTCTTAGGTTCCGGCGTCTTCAATTCCGACGGAGACATGTGGAAGTCAGTGGGACTTGCTCCATATACGCACATAACACTGATTTAGCGACAGGTTCCACCGCGGAATGACTCGACCTTTCTTTGCGCGCGACCGCATCAGTCACTTCGCGATATTTGACAGGCACGCAGTACGTGTCTCCAGACAACCTCGAAGTGGCCAGCAACCGCTGACACCTCCATCAATCACAGGAGGACCTCGTCGCTAAGCTGAAGGAACGCCTGCGCGGTGGGTACCCTGTGGACTTCCAGGACGCCATCTCGCGCTTCACCCTGGACTCCGCCACGGAGTTCCTCTTTGGCGCCTGCGTGAACTCGCTCTCCGCCGGCCTGCCGTACCCGGGCGACGCGTATGCCGGGCACGCAAAGGCGTCCGACGACCCCGCGGAGAAGTTCGCGCGGGCGTTCGCGGAGGCGCAGTACGTCGTCGCGGGGCGCAGCAACACCGGCGATGCCTGGCCGATGTTCGAGCTCGCGGGCGACAGGTCGAAGAGGCCGATGGCGGTCGTGAATGCGTTCATCGAGCCTGTGGTGAACAGGGTGCTTGCAAAACATCAGCAGATGAAGGCGGAGCGTGAGGCGGCCAGTCATAGCAGCAAGGAGGAGATCGAAGACCACGATACTCTCCTGGACTACTTGGTCCGGCAGACATCCGGTACGTTGACACTCCTGCATGAGAATTTCGCTCACAGTATCGCAGACGTCTCTGTCTTGAAGGATGAGACTCTGAACATGTTGGTAGCTGGACGTGACACGGCAAGCTTGATTTCACAGCTCGTCTCGTAAGTCTTCTGACTAGGGAATCTGGCAGACTGCTGGTCTCTTGACCTTCACCGCGTATTTCCTCGCGATGTATCCGAACGTCATGGCTCGTCTGCGTGAAGAGGTGCTTTTGACGGTAGGTCCCTCCGCACAGCCGACATTCGACAACATCAAGAATATGAAGTACTTGCGTGCTGTGTTGAACGGTGAGTAACATGTCTTATTGCATTAAATTTACCGCTTAAACTGGTCCCCAGAGACTCTCAGGTTGTATCCGTTGGTGTAAGCATCTCATGCCCTTGGGATAGTCTTGAAACTGACCACTCGATCGCGCTCTGACAGACCTTGGAACGTCCGGTCAGTGGAAGCCCATACTGTGCGCGTTCACCCACGTTACTGACCCATGTTGAACTGTAGGGAATCGGTGCACGACACGACCTGGCCCTCTCCGCATCCCGACGGTAAACCGATATTCATCCCCGGTGGTACGAGGTGAGTTTGCGATGTCGTTGTCGTATATCCAAACCTCACATGAATCTGTCAGTGTAATCTACTCTGTGTTCATGATGCAGCGACGCAAGGATCTGTGGGGGCCTGATGGTACGCTAAGGAACATTCGCCTGGCTGGCATGTGCTCATGCCCGCGACGATGCAGCCGAGGAGTTCGATCCGGAGCGATTCCTCGACGAGCGTGTCAAGAAGTACTTGATACCTAACCCGATGATCTTTGCTCCCTTCAATGCCGGTGAGATCTTTCCTACTTGAAATGATGCGCATTCCTCAAGGCAAACATCTTAGGTCCCCGTATCTGCCTTGGTCAACAGGTTCGCACCGTGTTATACTCCTCGTCGCAGGACTGACCCTACTGTTTTTCAGTTCGCGTACAACGAAGCGAGCTTCGTCTTGATACGACTTCTCCAACAGTTCTCCGAATTTCGCCTCGCAACAGAGTTCCAGCCGCGCGAGACCCATCCGCCGGCTGACTGGGCCTCCTGTGAAGGTCGGAAGGGGATTGAACAAATCTTCCCTCGTAGCCACCTTACTGCATACTCCTATGGCGGTTTGTGGCTTACGATGACTGAAGCAGACGATTAGACTGCGGCGGGCGAAGGGCGGTGATCGGCTCCTCTTTCTGGATCGACTAGAATCCAGTTGTTTTGCAGAGGAGATGCGTCGTTGACAGATGTAACAATCATATAGTACTCAGGCAATGTCACCCTCTCGAGCTAGTGTGATTCCGGTGTGCGCACTCAGTATGGTTAACACGGGCGATCGGATATGCACACCAAACCTGGCGGAAGGGTCGCTGTTTACGCGTTCAGGCGGTGCTCCGGGACAGATTGGGGTACAATGGCAAGTCGTCGCCAATGAAGTGATCCGACGCGTAGTCCATGAGAAGTTGTAAGTCACTTACATACAACCGCCCGATGCCTGGATACAGATACCTTGGCGAGGTCTCGATCTCCCGGAATTCGATACACAGCGCTCCGTGCACCGCGGCGGATCATCGAAATGCGTGAGAGAGAGCCAGGGGAATGGAGGACTACGGACAAGATTCTTCTTCGGCGCCGCCATCTAGGTACGCATCTCCCGGTGCGTAGAACTGTCCAAAACGCTCATCCAGGAGATTCATGAGGCACTCCTGATGCCGACGCCCTGATATGCAGTAAGATATGAAATGCAAACGCCGCCATCATCCGCTTGACGGCTGTAACAAGTGGACAAAGGGCTTTCCTGGGGTCCTGGTGCTCAGCGCAGCTCTTTGGACGTGTCACGAAGTAACGACTAACCTCAACATAAAACTGCGTTATGGTATATGAATACGCAGACATTCGTAAGGGTAGCGCAGCTTTCAGCTTTCAGTTCCTCTTGCAATGGCTACCTTGAGGGTCGCCGCAGACGCGACGTCCGCCAACCTTTTCACTTTCAGTGCGGTAGCAAGCCTGGTATGTCCTTAGCACTAGTCTCAAGGGACGACATACTGATATCCACCGTTAAGACAACTTGTCTGTACTTGCACCGTTTCGATGTACGGGGAGACGTCTTCCTGGCGTATCTCTTGATTGTGTTTGCGTCGACCGCATCGCTGCTCTCCCATGCGGGCTTGGGCACTTTTGAAACGTTGATCCAAACGGCTCAGGCGATGGGTCTGTACATTGGATGCATGACCGCCATCACAGTCTTGTATCGCATCTCGCCCTTCCACCCGCTCGCCGCCTTCCCTGGACCACTTATCAACAAAGTGACGGCCCTCAAACTTGCCCACATTGTCTGGTCCGGGAAACGATACTTGATCATCAAGGACCTACATGAGCGGTACGGCTCCTTCGTGCGCACAAGTGAGTACTCGTATCACGCCGTTACTAGGGAGAAAATCGCTGACTGACCTTTACCGCAGGTCCCACTACGTTGTCGATCAGCAGTCCCAACGCAATTATGCCGGTATATGCTTCGCCCCATAGCATGGACAAGAGCGAGGCATACCGACCTGGAAGATTTCACCCCGGAGGTCTCTTCTTCATACGCGAGCGCGACGACCACAATAAACGGCGCAGGATCTGGGCTCCCGCATTCTCCGCCCCCGCGTAAGCGTGTGTTATTCTACCAACGCTGTAGCGATTGACAACCGCGTGTACAGTGTGGAGCACATGTTGAGCGTTGTAAACAAGCGGACGCTACAGATGCTGCAGTGCATAGAGCGACGGCGTACCAAGGAAGGTTTGCTCGATATGACAGAAGTCATACGGCATTGGGCCTATGATTTGATGGTCAGTTATTTTCCATACTATACTACCTACGGGCTCCTTCGCCAACGCTGTCTTGTAGGCGGACATTACATTCGGCAAGGCATCTAGGATCGTAAGCTCAACTGCCATATAATCAACAAATGATGTGACTGACGATGTCGCGTAGGAACTCATGGAAGATGGGGATCCGCATGGTGTCGTAGCAAGCGTGCAGAACGCCACGGTCCTATTCGAGACGTGAGTGTCCTGCAACTTCTCTTCAATCTTGCTCTGACACAAACTAGACTCGGAGAGATACCACCCCTCTTCGACGTTATGTGGTACCTGCCCGTCACGAAGGATGTGCATGTCCTTGACAGAATCTCTAAGAACATCATGGCTGAACGTAAGAATGCGCCTGGGCAAGAAGATATCTCGGCTCACTTGGTAAGCCTTTCCTCGGTATGTCTTGGGAGCCGTCCTTTGCTGACTGTACCGCAGCTCGGTGAACTCGGCGGCGAGCGTCTCAGTGACGAGGAACTTGACCTTGATGCTACATTCTCCATCGTCGCAGGTATGCAGAAATATTGCTGTTGAGTCGGCGTCGCTCATTGATTCATAGGATCGGACACCACTGCGGGTAGTCTCACCCTGCTGATGTTTTATTTGCTCAGAGACCAGGAGACATATGCCAGGTTGCGCGCGGAGCTCGACCAGCATTTCTCTTCTCCCGAAGAAGCGAATGACTGGAAGAAACTCGTAGAGCTTCCGTACCTGTTCGGCGTCGTGCACGAAGGCTTGCGTTTGGGAACGCCGTTCCCGGGCCTGCCGCGTGTAGTGGCCAAAGGCGGGGTGGTGATCGACGGCAAATACGTCCCCGAGAAAACGATCGTTGGAGTACCGCCGTACGTTCAGCAAACTAGTCCCGGTGAGTAAATTTGGCACGCAAGTGGAACGCATGGTAAACGGTTGAATTCCTGAACAGAGAATTTCTATCCGAACCCTATGGAGTTCCGCCCTGAGAGATGGTCTCCAGATGGTCTGGGGCCGTCGACAGTGACCAAGAAGAATGCAATCATGTGCTTCTCGTCTGGTCAGTACATGTACAATCTATAACGGATCTGCGCACTTACTCTCTCGAGCAGGCCCGTTCAGCTGCCTAGGCAAGACCTTCGCTATTCGTGAGATCCATCTAGTCGTCGCGAAACTCGTACTTGCTTTCGACATGCGTCTGGCACCCGGCTTCGACGAGCAAGCATGGATGGACGGATGCCTCAATATGCGGACGACTCTGTTCAAGCATCCGCTCATGATCACAGCGACTCCCAGGCACTAATGGGAGCACACCTGTGAGGACTGAGAGTGGGCAGCTTGTAGAGGACCAAATGTGTCATAAAAGCGCTTGTCGTTCTTTTATGGTCGGCAACGGAGACTACAAATGTCACGTGGTGGAACTTGTAACTGCATCTTGGTCGAGTAGCGGCGTTACAGTGAATGCCTTTCGTGAATGTAACATCAGTACTGCAACTTCTCCGTCTACATCGAAAAACGCTGGCTCACACTGACCCATGAATATCATTGTTATCGACTGACTGTACGCCTAACGAGACGCTGCTAGTCCCATCTTCGGTGGCGCCTCCGAACACCGTTTTGCGCTGTCAGCCTGAGCCGGCATGACCGCGCGTATGTATGCCTCAGGATCACCAGGGCGAAGTCTAGCTGTCTGCGGAGGAGACGAGTTTGAGAAAAATGTGAACACATTGTCGCAGTGGACAATTCCAGAGGTCGCCCGTGTCGTCGAGCGGTCAGTAGCGACGGTTAGCGCCGAAATTGAGATCGCATCGCTACCAAACTGCGCGCCAATTGAGGAGGGCCGAGGTCATTCTACTTCCATCGAGTCTGTCCGCCTTTCATCGCCACCCTTCATGCTCCATCTTTGGCGCAAAGCTTGATGCAATTGAACGCACGTGAATATGCTCGGAAAGTGCCCGAGATCAATCTGACAGAGGCAGTGATAGCATTGACGAGTGTAAACGAGAGGTATGTCACTAATAACTTACTACTACGGGGGCCAGCCAACAAACTTACGGAGCGATACTGTACACCGTTCAATAGTAATATATCTACACCTCACCCTTACACCCTCCCTCCTATGCTGGTCGCAAAGACGTCGCACTACACATACGAGTCCACGTGCTTCAATTCCGTCCCTTTGTACACGGATGGCCCAGTATCAGTGGTGCCTTCCGTTCGCGAACCAGATCTGGAGTCATGGTTGCTGTTGTTGTACATAACCGCGCCGAGAGGCACCGGCGTACGAATCGAGCTCCGCACGGCCGTAGAGCCCTGGAGGTTCTTGGTCATGCCGATGCTGACGAAGACCATGTTGAAGATGAGCGAGATCAGGGAGGTCATCTAAGGAAGGATGGGGGATCGTGTCGGGATGCAGCTCTCAGTGGATGCTCGGGACGTACCAAGCCGTTCACGACCCACTCCACGCTCGGCGCGTGGATGATGGTAATGAGCGCTAGCATGAGCATAACAGAGTAAATCATCCCAGACTCGATGATCACGAATAGGATCGGGCGAAGTGGGTTCCGCCTGTAGGTCGAGTCGAAGTTCCGGTATGTCTGCGAGCCGACGGCCCAGATGCGATAGGCGAGGAGCACTGTTCATTGGCTCTGAGTGAGGACTACAAGTAATGCGTCGAATCACAGAAAATACGCACCAGTCGCAATGAGGTTCGTCGCCAGCGTGAAGGCGAACGCCATGAGGATCCAGTTGAGGTACGGGATGCCCTTCGCGAAGCACCACTCTACCCACGCGAAGCTACCTGGTCATACGCGGGACATCAGCGATCCGAGGTTAGGTCATGCGAACAGATACAGCACGCACATATAGCCCCAACGCAGGTCAGACACGGGAAAGCGATGATGTACCACTTCTTCCAAACGGCATAACATCTGAAGATCTGGCATGGCGCGTCAGTCTTGCGCACCGGTTCTGAAGACTGCCAACATACCACAACGGCATCTCCGATAATGGTGGAGATGTAATAAAGACATTGGTCGAACACAAACAGGCCATGGCTGAAGTCCAAGAGATAGTCGAAGGGGCCGGTGGGTGTCCGGAGGTTATCGTTGTCGAACGCGGTTTCTAGCTGCACGATGTCCGTGCAGGTACGCTGGACACAGTCCGATCAGCGAAACGAGCCTCGCGTCGAGGAAGTTTGGGATACGCACTACCGTAGACATGAGCCAAAGCACCGCTGCTATGATGAGCATCGTCGTGTTCACCGGGAGCTTCCTCCGGTCTTTCAGAACCCACACCGTCATCGCAAACGTACATGTCGCAAACCCTGCAAGCGATCCAAAGCCACTCGTTAGGCCAGCCGCCTCATATACGACCCCAGAGAAACACCACTCACCATAAATAATACATTCCAGCGTGACAGCAGCGATCGGAGCCTTCGCACTGGTCATCCAGCCCGGCATGGTGGGCAGAAGGATGTGCAGAGCGTCCCAGGTGGTTGATCACATTATAGCGGCAGGTCGTCCCGTCGCCGCACAGCCATTGCGGTCCCGGTGCACCATCGCGATTGATGTGATACGCTTGGGGGCGGCGCCACCAACAGCGGCAGCACGTCCTATAAATCCGCGCTCATTGATCGCGGGTTTCACTTCCGTCATCCTGTCAACGATTGCGGTCTCCGCAGGAGTGAAGCGAGGTGCTGTGAGTGTTCGTGCCTGAGCGGGGGATCATCCTGGAGGGGCATCAATTAATCGCATGTCATGCTAAGCTTTTAGTGTGAGCGCTCGACGCCTCATTGTACTGGCCTCCAAGGTTGCGCCTTGTCCGTGCGGTTTTGAATTCGCGATAAACGAGACAGTATTGGCCTAGATGGCATTGCAGGTACTGTCAATCGATTACGGCTATGATACCTGTCGTCTGGTGCGCTGCGTCTCGAGTTCCGTACTCTCCAGGGGGTAGACGCTGATCAGTAGCGAATGACAGCGCCAGTAAGTAGTGCGTATCCTGACATGACCTGACAGACCACCGGCCGATCACGATCACACTCCATTTTGCATCCGTCGGTCGATGGTGGGTGGATGGCATTAGCGTCCCTCAAAGTTGTCCGTGCCAACGGCGCTACAGCGCATCGGGCACGTCCGATCGTCCGATCGTACTACGGAGGATTGGTGGCGTGTGTAGCGTGGAGAAAAAACATCGTGATGATTTCTTTTTCTGTTCAAACTCCGTCGCGCGTTACGCTTCTGTCACGCTTCTTACCCGCCGCAAGGCCTCCGCACGGGGAGGTCGTGTACCTGGCTTCCCCTTCCCCTCCCTCGATGGTCCCCGTCTCTCTCTTTTGCCTCCCGCGCCTTGCGAGGAGGCTACACTCGTCACTTTCGCCTTTCCTCTGCTTTTTTAACATGTCCTCTCTGAATCCTGCTGGTGTCGGCCCCGACGAGGAGCCTGACGTCGACGAGGAGCTTGACGTCGATGAGGCCAGCCCTGGCGACGACACTCTGACTATCCATTGGGCTCACTCGAAATATTGGTACCGGACCGACCGACTCCTCGACTTTCTAGAGGCCAACGAAGGGCAGCGCCGCCAGCTGTTCGGCGAATGGTCAAAGGAAAGCGCAGCAAAGGGTCTTAACAATGTGTCGAGGAAGACGCGGCACTCCCAGATTCATTTCGAAATTGCGCAATACATTTTCACTCACCCAGACGAGCATCCGAAGGTTCGTGCGGCCTTCGAGGCAACGAAGCACAGCAAAATGCAAACCTGGACCAATCGCATCGGGACTCGTATACGAGAGTAAGTTAATTAGTACGCTATTATAGAAAATTCACTTATCCAACGTGTGTCAGCCTGAGAGGCGAGTATGCTCGGGTTACGTCGGTGGACAGAGGGACTGGATATGGCGTGTCAAAAAGGGATCGTGAACATGGGATCAACAGTGTCAAGGGTACGTCATTTGCCCTCCTGGTTTAGGGCTGCGACGTTGACGACCAGCAGATAAAGTACATGTCAAGTTCCCGGAAGAATGGGTCGTACGTCTTGCGCCCATGTGGGGCAGTGCACCGACGTTCGTGATCCCTGCACAAACGTCTACGCCCGGCCAAGATTTACGGGCGAGCACGCGAGAGCGCCTGGGCCTGCATCAAGGCGCCGCCGGCTTGGTCGATACAACTGTGAACGAGTGGACCGCAGGCGAGGCTGGGCCCAGCGATTGGATGGGAGGGTACGGTGAGTGGGCAGCAGATAATTCGGTGCAACTGGCTATGAGGTACGTCATCGCTTGCGATGGAAGTGCTCATCTTATTGTTTTTTGCAGCAATACACAGGCGTCTGGGTCGAACAATCCTGGCTATGTGCCCTACGTCACAAATCAACACGCCGACAACGCAACCTCGTACTACGGGCGACAACAACCACCACCCCAAACGTCATATGGGAATCAAGCCTTTCCTCCAACCCCAAGTGCCTTGTTGTTCGACCATCGTACGGCCAGCCCACTCTCAGGCCACCCCACCCCTCCCGGCAGTGAAACCTCGAGCCTCCGCAGCTTTTCCTCAAACGTCCAGCCTCTGTATACGATCCCAAGCAGTCCGGCGTCATCACGCGGCTCCCTCCATGCCAGTGTTCCAAGCGCGTCAGCGTCTTCTTCCTCGCTTCCGGTGACGAGCACAAGCTCGGGCGTCTCAACCTCGTCAACCCTCGCATCGCGTACGAGTGCCACTCGGAGCAAACGCGCCTCGGAGAAGGCACCGGCCCGGGCGCAGCCTCAGGCCAAGAAGACGAGGACGAGCGCCGCCGCTGCGAGGGCTCTTGCAACGCCGAACCTCGACGCGGCCGACGACATGCTGGATACGGCGGGAGAGACAGTGTCCTCGGACCGCGAGTACGTCAATGAGCTCAAGGTTCAGAAGGAGAGGCGTAAGACGGCACGGGTAGAGGCGGATCTCATGGATAAGCGAATACGGCTGTTGGAGATGCAGAAGGCGCAAACTGAGGCTCAACTCAAGCTTCTCGAGAGAACGCACCAGCTGCAAGACCTTGGGTACGCGCTTCCCTCAAGTTTCCCGGTGTCCGCGCCCGTTGCTGGCACGTCCCGCGCTGCCAGTGACTACCCGGCCACTGTGCGGGCCCCATCGCGCGGTCATACTCACCGCTCTCCCATCACCGACCGTAGCATCTTCATCCACCCCACTAACAACTCGCAGGGCACGTCTCGTGCCGAGGACATGAACAAGGGCACGCCCGACGACTCGGAGGGCAAGCATGACGACGGCGCGCACGACGAGGGCGCACACATCGATGACGGCGCACACAGCGGCGACGCGCACGACAATGCTGTCGGCGTGTACAACGAGGGCGCGCGCATCGAGGGTGCGCATGTCCAGGGCGTATACAACCCGTCTGACGCTGAGGGCGCGCACGTCAGCGGCACGTATGGTCAAGGCATGTACAACTCGTCTGGCGTCGACAGTGCACATGTTGGGGGCTCGCACGTCGGGGGCTCTCACGTCGGGGGCTCTCACGTTGGGGGCGCATACCGCCAACTTGAAGGCATGTACAATTTCAATCTGTCTGACATCGAGGGTGGACACGTCGGGGCTACGCACGTCGGGGGCGCGCACGTCGGGGGCGCGTACGGCCAGGCCATGTACAGTCCGCCTGACGTCGAGGGTGGACACGTCGGGGCTACGCACGTCGGGGCGCGCACGTCGAGGGCGCGTACGGCCAGGCCATGTACAGTCCGCCTGACGTCGAGGTGGACACGTCGGGCTACGCACGTCGGGGCGCGCACGTCGGGGCGCGTACGGCCAGGCCATGTACAATCCGCCTGACGTCGATGGTGCACACGCCGGGGCTATGCACGTCGGGGGCGCGCACGTCGGGGCTACGCATGTTGGGGGCGCGCACATCGAGGCTGTCTACGGCCAGGGTGTGTACAACCCGGCTCACGTCCAGGGTGCGCACACCGACAACGACATGTTCGACATCTCCGTTATGATGGGTACGTCAATTTTATCTTCAAAATTACACATGACTCACCTCATACTGAAGGGTTGTACGGAATGCCTTACGAGGACACTGGGGCTGTACAGCACGAGTACGGTGCGTCGAATGCTGCATCTGGGTCATCTTACGTTGGGAACATGTATGATGGTGGTAACCCTGCGGGTGGTCATGGAGGTCAGTAGTAGGATGTATGCATGTTGTTTAGGTTCCATATTCCATACTGTTCCACATGTTGTATTTGTAGTAATGGGACAATGATGATGAAGCTCCTGAGCATATGATATCATCTAAGCAACAAGAAACACTGAGTTGAATCAGGATAGATACACTGTAGGGACACTACTGGACTGAGACCTCCTGAGTTGAATCAGGACATATACATACACACCCTCTATCATCTACAGATGACCATCCAACTCTTCTGCAGGTATGATCAGGCCAAGGGCTGCAAGTAATTTCTCCAGCAGCTCCAAGCGCTTCTGCTTGCCCTCTGGAGTAAACTCATACCCATCATCTCCTTCCAGCTCCTCAGCAGGCTGTTCCCTCTCCCGCTCAGTCCTATGAACATTGAGCTCCTCCATGACTGTGTTCCAGATGGCTTCATCAGCTAGGTCACGTGCATGCTTGAGCTCCAATCGGATGACTAGGTTGTGGAGCACAAGACAAGAGCGGATCCAGATAATGGCCTGGTACATCTGGTCTTCATCAACTATATGGATGCGCAGCTCCTTGAGTGACTGCCATCGGATCTTCAAGAGGCCAATAGCATGTTCCACAGCTACACGGATGCTGGACAGATAGTAGTTGAATTTCTTCTGTCTTGCAGTAAGGTTCTTGCCACGAGGTGCCTTTAGCCAGTATTAATTTCCATGCAACAAAGAGAGATTATGTCCATACCTTGAAAGGAGTGATCAGCCAAGGCAAAAGAGGATAGGCTGAATCTCCCCATATCCACTCATAGGACTGGAGAAGCTCTTCATGGTTCTTGTACATATTGGTCTCCTTGAAGGCAGTAGCATCATGGGTACTGCCAGGCTGTCCAAGAGCATACTCCCCAATGAGAAGGGAGTGTACAAACACAATAAGCTATGGAAGATGTTATTCAGATCAATACAAAGTCAAATCAACAGGGAAAGGTAATCACTGTAAGTTGTATGGCATACACCTTGTCCTTTCCATAAAACAAGTTGCCATACCAGCCTGGCTTGGCAAACAACTTCACTGGGGTTCCATCCACAGCCATGAACCCATGCATCCAGTCACTGGTATGAGCCTTTCTCTCTGCTAAGGCCTTGGCACCTTGTATCTGCTCCTCATCATTGAGCTTGATAGCAGCATCATGGTGAGCCATGATGGCAACCTGGCAGCGCCGAGTGCAATTGTACACAGTGCCAACTGAGACACTGGCCCATTCTGCCACTTCATCTACCACTGCACCAGTGCCATAACGGCCAAGGCGGGTCAGGAAGATGGCAAACTGGCGCTTGACCTCCATCTGAGGATTGTTGGAGTTGTTATGAAAAATGGGATCATCCTGGAAATGGATATGAAGAGAGCCTGAAGAAATACAATCAAAACTCACCTTTATCATGTCCAGGATGTCATAAAAACAGTAGGGTGGCATTCTGAGCCAATGATGCCAGCGATCTAAATCCCACTGCTCATAGTACTGCAGCTTTGAGATAAAGTCACCAACTGGAGCAGGGGGGCGATAGAATGACTGAAGGTAGCGGGCTGAGTCTATGGCCGCGATGTGGTCCTCCCATTGCACCCGGATCCGCTGCAGACACTCCACAAAAAGTGTATTCATCCGGGTCCTCTGATCCATCTCCACTTGAACCAAGTCAATTTGCATGGCATCAGAGGTGGCAGAGGAAGCAGCACTAGCTGAGGATATGGAGGATTCCATGTCGGAGTCCGTGCCACTAACACTTGATGCTATTGATAACAAAGGATCAGAGGTAAGGATCTGAATGATTGGTAATCACATAGTACATACGAGTAGCAGCATCATCCGGGGGATGTATTGCACCAGCATGACCCATTGGAATGCCTGACTCGGAGTCAAAGGTGACTATGGCTTCGTTATTGACATTGAGGGCGACCATATCGGCTGGCAAATAATCAAATCAATTTACACATGATTAGAAGGACACTGCGTGCAAGCGGAAGGGCGGTGTCGCGTGAGTTCGGGACTCGCCGAGCTTGAGAGGGCGGTCCCGGCGTCTGCCCGAGGGCGGTCCCGGCGTCTGCCCGAGCGCAGCCCAAATTTGCTCGCTCCGGCGCTTAGCCCCGCCGTGCGGCGTTCTTCTCATCCACCACTCGCTGTCTCTGCGCGCGGCTCTCTCTCCGCTGATACGCCTCTAGGCTACCTAAGCCCCGAAAACGCAATCTAGGCCTCTACGATGCTCCGAAGCTCTTAGAAGATCCACTACAACTGTTCGAAGATTTTGATGTTCGTAGCCAACCCTGGCTCACCTTAGAAGACTATCCGCGACCTTCCGGCACCTCAGTGACGCTATAGGAGCACCTACCCACCTATCTAGACGACCCCAGAGCACGCAGGTCACTCAAAGATGCACTATGTGTTAGAAGACACTCGAACATGTTAGAAGATGTGCTACGGTGTTAGAAGATCTCCTGCAAGACCATAGGATGCTACAGGATGTCCAGTGAGTCCTTGCAGGTCGTCTCACATCCTCGACGAGTGGTCTCGGTTTCCGGTGTCATGTGATAGCCGGTCGGCCTTCGGACCACTGGTTAGCGAGCCCGAGAGCAGTTGTCACGTGTTAGAAGCCATAGCCGGATGTTTGGGGCCGTCGGAGCTCCGTAGTGGTAATAGCCGTGTTTCCCTGTATATACTCTGGGACTGGTTCCCTTCGAATCTCAGAGACCCCCTTACCCTCTCAATCTCACCTCGCACCGGCGAGGTTCGTCAGTCAGCCAGTACGTTCGAAGTCAGCAAGTTCGCCAGTCAGTCAGTACGTTCGAAGCCAGTCAGTCAGTTCGCCAGTACGTTCGCCAGCTCGTAGTTGCCCCGAGAGGCTCTACACTTCTTCTCCTGCCGTCGCTCGCCTTCCTTGTCACCGTTTGTTCAACACGTCTGTCGAAACCCTCCCTCCTACCTTCGAGGCTTAGCCCTCGTCTTCGAACAGTCTTCGACATCTTCGAAGCTCTCCCACGTCGTTCGGAGTCTTGTCCGTCCTCCTCCTTCTTACCTAGACCACTGTACAGTCCCCCGTACATCTCATAGACGCAGAGGCCTCGCATACCACTGCTCGACCTCACGGTTGGGTTTTTGTGTGGCTTTTGTGTTCTTTTCGGTCGCGTCACCGCATCCGTCCCCGGCTAACACCTGGTAGGCTTGCCCAAACGCCAACCTCTTCCTCCGAGGAGACGCCTCACTCTCGTGTCACACCGCGAAGACGAGGGCGGAGCCGCCGGAGCGACACTACTCCGTAGCGCCCGCAGCGGTCACACTCGTATCAGGCAACTGCCGCATCAGTGCCTGCATGAGACTTGGACCCGAGGCCGACGACGCCAGCCCCGAGGCCCGAGGGCACCGGCCTGCGATCTGAAACACCATGCTGCTTACCTTCCACAGTCACACGCTGGTACTCCAACCAGGCATCAAACACTTGGCGAAACTTGTCGCTGTATGCCTCATCGACGCGGCTTCGGAGTTGCTGACGAAAGGGAACAATCGAGGAACGAGTTCGGGACATGGTAGCGGTAGTATGGGAGAGCGGAAGAGGGCGACGATTCGAGGACAAGGGAAACGGGCGTCGGGCAGTCGTGTTATATGTCGACCGTCTAAGGTTCGTTGTTACATCTGTCACAGTAAAATCTATCTATTCCCGTCTCATCTGTCCATCTTCCACAGCATCTTGACAGCGGGTACCCGTCGGCTACCCGTGTTCCTATTCTTCCTGTTCAGCGCCGTTTGCACGGACAACTTTGAGGGATGCTATTCTTGACTTGATAGGCTTCAAGTTGAGGAGTATAGTGGCTGTTCACTACGACGACAGGCATTAGATGATGCACGGTGAAGAGGATACAGGACACACAAACCTTTGAGCATTCCCGCCAGCCATGTCGAACATCTAGGCCGGCCCTGGCCGGGCGATGGCCGCATCATTTCCTCCTCTCCTCCACGGCGCTTGTGTCCGCAAGTCCTCGCCGCCACCGGCCCATGATCAGCTGGGCGCATCAATGTGGTTGCACACGTTCCCTCCTCAGTTATGTCTGGCCCAAGTCTGGCCGATCCTCAGTAGGGTGTGATAGACTGCGGATCCAGGCCAGTGCGGAGCCCTCTGACATGACAGGGTCCTCAAGACGTGATGTGCCACCGACATATTCAAAAGGCACTGCAAGAGTGGACGTAACCTGACACTGTCGCGTTCGGTTCCGGAACATACTATTGTCAGCTTTGAGTTAGTAACTCGTAGCAGATTAGCACACACCTTCGGACCGCAACAGGCTGCTGGTCACGGCTGGCGGATACTAGACTGAATCAACGGTGCAGCGGGCTCGCAACAAACTTATGGAACGTCACAGTATTGGTTCCGTATCTATACACTCTCATTCGGCCAACAGGGAGGTCCGCAGTCGACCCAAGGAATGCGTTGGTCTGAATGAGTGGTGATACAGCGGGCACACGAAGGTTGCTCGCGAGCGCCGGTCAGCGCCACTGCCAGTGGCAGTCCGTCAGTACTGCCACGTGGGACGCGATCGGGCACTGATCGGGCACCTGAACTTGCGGATATGATGCCAGTGCGGATGCGCTCAATGTTCGAGTGTTCAACTCAAATTCAATTCCAAGTCACTACTCTCCTCCTCATGTGCGGTTGTGTTGGAAATCTCAGCTGTTGTCCCGGCTTTCTCAATCGAACACGCTTCCGTGAATTCGAGTTTCTAGGCTGGAAGTAACCCTGCAGGCAAAAACCGCGGCAGTCTTGTCCCAGGGGCCGACGTTCAACACCGGAGTACGCGTGTATAGATGGAGGGATTCGACCAAGGGGCTTTGTTCCGGTGAGACCAATGTTCCTTCTTCATCTGAGACTGCATTATGACTCCGAATGCTTTCCCCATGGCAAAAGACCGATCGTACGAATCGCTGGCACGTTAACGCACAAAAGCCCCCACTGCATAAGATAAGTATTGGACGGCGCAGTGTTTCGAACCCATGACATCCGCCTGTCAAAGCTTACTATAATACGACTCGACAAGTTACCCATTCCCTTCACCACCATAGCGCCTTGTGAAAATGGGATATGCGTATGCTGCCAGGACGGGATTTGTCCTACCATGGACGCCCTGAGAGTGGCCGGACACCTCAGTGCGACTCCCCGAAATGCAAGTAGCATGCTGGTCCGCCTGCTGGGCACCGGAACTCCAGCCACGGTGTCTCCGAACGATGTCCTCAAGGGCGCGAAAGCAGTGTGTGCAGTGCGTTCCGAGCAGCTCCTGTGCTGTCATATGCTGATTGTTGCTGCGTTAGCCCCCGAAGAAAGGGAAGACAGCTTCCCTGCCGGCCTTCAGTAGGTCACGGTCGTGAGAGTCGTTCTTTGACTACCGCCCTAGGAAGGCTTGCCGCCGGTTCCATCATTCAACCGGCTTCAAACCTTGCTCTGGCGACGGGCTTTGGTTTCTTCAAATGGGATGCACACTGAAGCAATTCTTCATCTCGCTAGACAGAATGGGACTCCATGTACGCCAATGTCCATAGAGAGACTCAATGTGTGTCCAGCATCTGTTATCTTCTCCACCGTTCCAGGTATCGATTACTGCTTGCGCGCGTTCGCGAAGGAAACATCGGGTACCCATGCAGTATTTGTAGCCAGGGGATGACATGACACCTGTCTGCTCATGTGAGTGAGCTAAACAACCCGAACTCAATCTGTAGGCTAGAACGCCGCTCACACTGAATGATATAAGAAATGCAGGCGCTGTTGTGACTATGCTCAGAGCTGGAAGTCGTGACAGAAAACAATGAGCGCAGAACTTTCGCAGCTGTGGCGCTTGCGCCATATTCACAAACACTATCCAAGTGTTCGCACCATGTAGCTTTTGCCTACATAACCTCGAGGTCAACGATGGAAATGAAGGTATCCCCGCCCCCATTTGTGTATCTGCCTTCGCACTTCGGGTCGACAACATGAACACGATGTCTGTGGCCTTACTGGCCCTTGTACTTCTCTTCGTTGCATGCCTCGCGCATCTTTTACCTTACCTCACAGATCCACATGCCCTCCGCTCCTACCCAGGCCCTTGGTTAGCCAAGCTGTCGGACGTATGGCTCGGACGAGTAGCCGCTCAAGGCCACCGCTCTGAGGTTGTCCACCAGCTACACAAGCAGTACGGTGAGAAGTCTTCCCATCGAACCAGACGTCCGAGCTGAACGTGCATCGTCACACAGGGACCTTCGTCCGGTTGGCGCCAAACCACTTGTCCATCTGCGACCCGGATGGGATCCAGGACGTCTACGCGCACGGGAACGGCACGACGAAGTCGGACTTCTACGACGCGTTCGTGTCCATCACGCGCGGGCTCTTCAACACGCGCTCCCGCGCGGACCACACGCGCAAGCGCAAGGTCGTCGCGCACGTCTTCTCGCAGAAGAGTGTGCTCGAGTTCGAGCCGTACACGCGCGTGCACGTCGCCGCGCTCTTCAGGCAGTGGGACCGGCTGTGCGGGCGCGGCGCGGAGGGCTTCGAGGGGAAGGAGGGCGATGGCTGGCGGGGCGAGGGAGGCCGTGTGTGGATGGACTGCCTGCCGTGGTTCAACTACCTCGCGTTCGATATCATTGGTACGCATTCGCTGTCGACGTCGCTAGGGTAGCCGTACTGATGCGTGACTGTCTCCTTCAGGGGACCTAGCCTTCGGGGCACCGTTCGGCATGCTCCAAGCCTGCGCAGATACTGCACCGACTGTCCTATCCCAGGAGGCCGCAATGGCGTCATACGGTAGCTCAGGTAAGAATTCACCAGAGGTGACCTACTGCCCCGCCGTGCAGATTATAAACGAGCGTGGCGAGTACTCCGCGTCGATCGGCGTGCTGCCACCGCGCTGGCGACCGTGGCTCGTTCGGTTCGTCCCCTGGTACCGCCAGGGGCCACCTCAGTGGAGTTGTTGGCGGGGATGGCGATCGCTGCGATCTCGAAGCGTCTGGCTGCGCCGACGGAGAGGACGGACTTGCTATCGAAGCTGCAGCAGGGGAAGGATGAGGAGGGGAGGCCGTTGGGTGCGAAGGAGCTTACAGCGGACGCCCTGACTCAGCTCATCGCTGGGTCAGATACAACGTCGAAGTGAGTATGTTCTCCTGCTCGAGTCGTTCTCTAGGTGCTCATCACCTCATCTCAAGCTCGTCGTGCGCGATAGCCTATCACCTGGCAGCCAACCCTGACGTCCAGGAGAAGTTACAGCGCGAGCTGGACGCAGCACTCGGCGGCGAGGATGATCCCGTCGTCACGTTCGAGCAAGTCAGACGTCTTCCGTACCTCGATGCGGTGATCAACGAGGGCATGCGAGTCCACTCGACCTCTGGAATCGGTCTGCCCCGCGAGGTGCCTACCGGGGGATTGACGGTGTGCGGGCGGTTCTTCCCCGAAGGCACGGTCCTATCGGTGCCGACTTACACTGTCCACCGAAACGAGGACGTATGGGGAAGCGACGCGGACGTGTTTCGACCTGAACGCTGGCTGGAGCGGGATAAGAACGAGCTCCAGAAGGCCTTCAACCCGTTCTCGTTCGGACCGAGGTGCGTTGCGCTCGTGCGGTGTTGCAGCAATATTTCTGACTGAGCGCTGATGTAGGGGATGTATCGGCCGCAATTTGGCGAGTATGGAACTGTTTATCATCGTAGCTTCCGTATTCCGACGGTACCACTTCGTCTTGGAAGACACTAGCCAAAAGGTACGTGTATCCGGTGATGCGTTGCGATATGGACGGGGCACTCATGCTCTTGATAGTTGGATACCAAGGAGGGTTTCTTGCGGAAGCCTGTCAAGTGCAGGGTGGGGGTCAGGCGCAGAGCAACAGGGATCGGGATGTGACCAGTAAGACTGGTTGAACAAGTCTGACAGCTGCTATCGATCTAAGTTACATCTAGCAGATTCATGTTGTTGATTGAGCGATCGACCTACCTAACAGTGAGTGCGGTGATGAATAGGAGCATCGAATGATAGACCGTGAAGACCTCGGCCGCGGAGACCCGATATTAGTCGATTCAAGAGGTGATGTACTAACGCAGAGTAGCATAGTAGATACATCTTACTAGGCTTGGCGATGGGGGTCGTCAGACCCGATCGCACATGTTTCCGCGCCGCCTGATCAAACAAACTATGTAACATAGTGTTTGTTATACAACCGCTGTAGTCCGACTCTTTCCGAGTCCTCAAGTGTGCTCGCGAACGTTGCCTCCTCCATTATTCAGGAGGAGGAGGAGGGTGGGTCCATTGTCGTGGGAAGATTAGATCGCTACTGGCGCGGGCGCTTGGCTCTTCCTGACTCAGGCGTGGCCACCTCGTAACTCAAGTACTCAAGTTCAATCGTGCAGTTCTGCACCGTCATCTTCTACACACACTGGCACCTAAAGGCTCTTGAAGTGACCAACGAATCCCGACCGGGAAGATACATGAGCGCTGTGTTATCGCTCATCGAAACCCCTACAACTTGTGAGCCAGTAGCACGATTAGCTCAAGCTGTGACGCCGCATAAACCTGTTGCAGCCGCAATCGAACTTTCCTCCAGCAAGACATCAGTGCACGTATATTCTCAGCGAGCCGAGCTATGCAGCGAAGCAGGCTAGAGATGCATCTGGCAGATATCATGCGTATCACCAGCGCATTGTCTGACGCCAAGACGATAGACCTTTGCTTGCGATGGAAGTTGATTTCCTGGGAAACTTTGTGAGTGGTGGCTGAGTAGTGGTCCTCCTTTGGATGGCTGATTGAACAGCTCTATCTTTCGTGTTCACAGCATCAAATCACGAGCCGCCCGGATTGAAGTATCGGCATCCCTGAAGCACCCGTCCCCGCTACGTGAGCTGATGAAATAGGAATGCGTACACTCCCTGAACATGCCTCAAAAGACGCGGAAATAAACGCTTCGCTGCAATGATCCTCAATATTTCACGGCGTTCGTCTTGGAGTCAAAGAGCACAGCGGGCGCTGCGAAATACGCTGAGACATGGATGCACAGGACACACCTGTACCGTCCGACGTGCGGCGTACTAAAGCAGTGCTCTCTGGGAATGACTGGCCGAGTCAAGGCCGAGTGCAGTTCCGAGCATATCGCTACATTGTATCCGATGTTGCGCGGAGTGGAACTTCATTCAGTCTCATGCATCCTCGTAAGATGTTTGACCTATATATACATTGTCACAGCTAGTTCTCGGGGGAGGACGCTTTTCGTATGACTCAGCTGATTTTGGCCGGCGAATACGAGCATACTCGCAGGCGATTCAAGGTATGATACGCCACTGCTTGAATAGTAATTTTGAAGCGGTTCCTGATACTGATGTCAAGGACAGACTCACACCAAGTCATCAATGATTCAGCCAAGCAACACGCCGAAGCTCTCCGTGTCTCTGCTCACGGTCTTTTAGGAGCTACGCCTGAGAGCTATGTCAGCGCTAAGTACTGACACCGAGAAGATTTACTCGACTCCTGATTTGCGGTACGTATCATCATAGTGTGCTTCATTGTATGCATGGTTACGGATGCATTTCTGACCCGCTTGTTGCATTCGATAGCTTACCTAGGTCCGTATGCCGCATGATGCCTCCCTCAGGAGCATGGGACTCACAGGCGCCAGTGATTTGATATCATGCCCCGAAGACTCACTCCTCCCCATTAGTCGCGCTTCTTCTGTGAAAGGGAGAATCGTATGGCATCCAGTGGTGATGACAGCGGCGTCGCTCTCCGAGGCCGCCGGGAGTCGCATCTCCGCTCAGAGCCTGTTGGGCACCCTTCATGCATCATACCATCATACGCGCAATCATTGTTGGACAGTCGGACAGTCATTGCAGTGTGGCTCCGCCACGGCGATGCGTTCAGCTGGTAGCTGCGCTGGGCGCCAGCAGCCCGTTGGCATCCCGAACCCTTACGGAACGGCGCTTCGTGCGCAAAGTTAGTTATAAGCGATGCAATGAAGCAACAGGAAATACTTCCTGGCGCTCCCAAGCCCCCGCGACGGCGATAAGATGTCCGTCTCTATCAGCGACATCGATTCATTGGAAGTATCCAAGTACCTTGCAGGCGAGGCACTTATTCGTTGCTCCTGTGCTCCCTTGTCTGACGTCGTGATAGCACAGGTGCAGGAGTAACACTTGTTCTCTATGATCACCTCCTCAACTTACCGAGGGAGATCCAATACGTGTGGCAAGAACCGCCTCTCTTTCTGGCAATATGCGTGCTCGCCGACGTATATCTTAGGGAAGCCGGTCTCATGTATATTGCAGTCGGTGTGTCACACTTGTCTTGAGCTGTTCTGCGACGTGCTCAAGTACCTTGAACAGTATTGAGCGGGGTTGCTCCTATGGATAGGCATGTGAGTATCGTTGCAGGTTTTGAGAGTTGTCACTCATTTATACGCCGTTGAAATATCAGAAGTGAGACCTAAGGACGTACACGTCGCCTTGGATCCGCCCACTGACACCGGCGGTCATGACAGGTGTGCTTCCTTCACCGTTTTCGCTGTCGTTTATGGTCTTTTTAGTAATGCATCAGTCCATTGTGAGTGAAGTTTGACGTTATTCTTGACTGCACTCACCGTTGTTCGGAAGCTTACATTCTCTTTCGATTGTACCGAATCTGGGACGACCGAAAGTTTGTCAAATATGTCCTTGGTGTAGCCTTCGTGATATGTATGGCCGGAACTATCGTATCTGACGGCTACGTCTTGAAGCAGCTCACCGGTATAGCAAGACAAATCTGCTCAATGTGGATAGCTAACGAGTAAATCCTCTTTTAGCGGAAGTGCAATACGTGCAGTTTCATGCCATAAATCAGGCCGCGACATGCGTATTCCCTAAGAAGTCTTGGTATCTTGTTGGCTCTTGGGCAGGCATGGTGAGTACTGGGATAATGGACAAACATATCCTAATCCTTTCACAGGTCGCATTCGATTTGATTGCACTTGCCATGGTCACCCTGAGCTCCCTGATGACCCCGCGTAGACCCAACACTGCCATTGTCGGTGTTCTATACAAACAGGGGTTCCTTACATTTTTGGTGCGTCAAAACGGTGTCCCTCGTTTTGCAAAATGCATAATCAAATTATGTCTAGGCGTTTCTGCGTAGGGTCCGTTCACTACTTGTCTAGCATTTCATTGACCACCGTTCCCAGTTCTACGACTATCAAGATTACTGCCAACCATATTCGGATCGGTGAGCTTTTCGCGCCCACGCGCAGCATCAGTAACTGATGGATGTCCAGGCTGCGGACACGTTACTCATGCCACCGTGAGTAGTCCTATTCGCTTCGGCACTACATGCGCTATATACATGACTATCACTCAGGGTTACGTGGGCGCTAGACGGCGTTCTTAGCTTCCGACTCTTTCTGAAGATCAAGCAGGTCGAGCACAGTTCGAGGCGACACTGGTCAAAGTACGACGCGGGCCCGCGAACACGAGGCAACGGGAGTCTTGGTTCACAACCGACCATCCTTGTGTTCGAGGAGATCGAGATGGACAATAAATAGATGTCGGTGAACACTCGACGGAAAGACACGACGTTGGCACCACTACCTAGCATTACTTATCTATCTGAGATGTATGACACCGTTGATGTAGCACCAAATCGGCGCACGGCTGAATACTGTATTTATTGCTTTCAGTCAGTACTAGTATACTCTGCGTATTAGCGTACTTATCATGGGATGAGGAGCTGATGTACGGACCTATCATGACACCTTTGAACTGGCGGGGTAACAGAATGATGGGAGCGGGACCCTGAAACTGAGGGCATCCTGTTTGCAATGCTTCTTGACAGAACCATACACACGTTACCCATGGATGTGAGAACGTGACTGGCCGATACCCGTAGGAGAGAAATGTATGACGCGCTTACAGACCGGACGCGAAGTCCATGGGGATATCATGCCTGCGGAGAAGCCGCATCGTGACATGTGCCGGCCTATCGAACCGCCTGCACCTGAGAGCTTGGAGTTCTGCTTATCAAGTTACCTACTGCTGGGGCTACGGCGGGTCTAGTCTGCCGTACGATCAGTACGAAGTGCTAGCTTGCTCGGTAGATGCGCCGCCCAAGGTACAGTGAGCACTGCAGGAGACTAATAGCTATACATAGTGATGTGAACGAACGGAACACGGAATACACATGCTTTGTGATCGCTCTCACCCGGATCCTAGCTAACCACAGCCATATAGCATCATCTTAAATGCGATGTCGGCGACGGCGTAGTAGGCAGGTCGCAACACATCGGCCGCTGTAATCATTAATCTATGCCCGGGGTGTCTGAAATCCGATACGTGATCTTTTCCGCGTGGACCTCATCGCACAGATGTCAGAATACGGCTGAACTCGGAGACGAGACAGTGAACGCTCATTACCTTCCCTGCTCCCATGTATTCAAACCCGTCATGGACGCTTTGCAGTCCGTTAGGGAACACTTTGACTGGAACGGGCTTGAGCTTCCCTTTCGCCAGGAGTGCTGAGATTAACTTCGCGTATTCCATGGCACTTTGACGATGCTCCTCTACAGCAGGATATGCGAAGGGGAAGGTCAACTCCTGTGCAAACGTGGAGATCTGAATAGGGATGTACTCGTGTCAAGGAGACGGCTGCTGCACTGACCTTCCCCAGAATAGTGTAAGCGAGAACCAGGTGCGTCTGAACACCTTTCGACCTGCTGACATAGGGCAGCAGAGTCGCAATGGTGCCGCCCTCCTTGCTCAGCGACGTGCTGACTTGGTTCGGCGTTCTATCTTGACTGAAACAGTCCATGGCGTGCCGAAGGGAACCGCGGGTACTGGCGAATATCTTCCTCGGGGTCTGAGAGTTGGCGTAGTCGTACACTTCGTCTGCCCCGAGAGCCTTGACGAGTTCGAAGTGCTTCGGCGACGCCGTCGCGATAACTCGCATACCACTCAGCTTCGCAAATTGAACGGCATACTGTCCGGTCGCAGAGGTGCCGGACCATATAAGCACGGAGCTCGACTCTTCAACGGGATGGTCGGGCGTAGGAAGTTTGAGACAATCGTAAAGGGCAAGACATGCTGTGAAGCATGCTACGCCAAGTTGTGCGCCGTCTTCGAAAGACACTGAATCAGGGAGAGCGATGGCCAGGGCGGCTTGCATGACAACATATTCAGCAAATGCGCCGTTGGGAGCTATCCCTGGTATGCAAGCGGGAGATCAGGTTCCCGTTATACTACCGAGTACAGGCCAATACTCACCTCCCTGTACGCATCCAGCGACGCGTTCGCCTACGTGTCTCAACGTATCAGGAACCTCCGGTCCGAGCTCAACTACTGTGCCCGCGAAGTCACAGCCAAGTATATTGTTAGGCTTCTTGTGCAAAAGGGCGGTCTTCCCTGATTGTTAATCAGCAAAGTTGTGAATACGTCGGTTAAGGAAGAATTTTCATTACAGTCCACAGGGTTTTGAGCACTCGCGGTAATTTTGACCAAGATCTCACCCGCCGAAGCCTGAGGTATGGGTACGTCCTTCAGTGTGAATTGCCCGTTTTCCAAGGTCACGATCGCCTTCATGGTCTTGCCCCGGGAGTACGCTGTCATTGAAAGCAGCTCGAAATCAACTTAGAGACGAAGGCAGATACTGATGGCCTTGGATGTTCATCGCAGGAATGAATGTCACCACAATAGAGTTGCCGCTACTGGAGCGCCAGTGGAACCGCATTATGGCGGTGATAGTACTCGGTCACGGTGATACCGAGCTCGGGCTTGTCTGTGACAGGACTCGGAGCCTGAGGGCGCTTCAACATACACATTATTATGACTTCCATGATTACAGAGAACCATTCACTCACGTTCAACTTGGAGTAAGTCCTACCATATCTACTAGTAGTACTACTGTATCAAGTTACTGCAGTGGCCCTACAACCACTGACCAGAGCACATCGCGACTGAGATCTGAGATCCAGAGGCGCTTAAGCCCCGACACGCGCCTGCCACCAGTGCCTCTTTGAGTCTTTCGACAACCGTCTTCTACAGTTCTACTTCGACTCGAACTGATTATTCCTGCCGCTCGGACGATATCAGCAGGATCGAACAGACAGGCCCTCAGATAGTAAATGCCGAGAATCGTAACCTTGGTGGTATCCCGCGTGCGTTACGATTCGGACTGAAGGCTTGAGCTCTTGTCACGTTTCAACTTGAACGCGCCGGCGTTGTGGACGACTCGATGATTGCACCGTTCCGTGTAATATGTAGTATGTTGTGAGCCTTTTTGCATGTTGCCCTATATAACTCATCGTGCATCGCAACAGTCATTATGCTGCAAGGGTCGAAATGGCTTATCCGAACCCCTCACTCGGAGGACTCGGCTTTCTCATCCCTCAACATAGACATATTGAAGATTGCCGTGATGTGAGCTATGCAGTGTGATCCGTTCATCTGCACTGATGCGACTTGGTGGATAAGGTTGAGAGGCGGAGCTACAAGCACATATATAGACTTGGGCAATCAAATGCAACAGAAGCTCTTCCGGACCCTGTCGTGTCTGTTCAGGCACGCGCCAGCATCAGAGTATATAGAAGCATAATCATCAAATCACAACTTGCACTTACCCATGACTTCAATCGCCATAGTGAGTCGGTCTGCCTTCGTTCCTTGCTTCGTATTCATGGGGCTCGCAGGTTGGCGTCTCAGTGGAGCTTCCCAGTGGGAAGTATTCGCCGAAGAATCTTGACCATGACACCTTCTTCAAGCTCTTGCTTGATAGGGCTGATGCATATGAACGCATGCCAGCGGAACGTTTCAATGCAAATGCGTACGTGTCATGTCATTGAATGTGCGACTTGAGCTCACTCGATGTCACCACCACGCAGATGGCTCGGAAACCATCTCGGAGCGATTCATGTTGATACGGGTGCCTTCCTGAAGGACATCAACATGTTCGACAATGTCGAGTTTGGAGTGTCAACTAGGGATGCACGTAGCATGGCTCCAGCAACAAGAAGACTCCTTGAGAACGCCTTCCTCGCTTTGCTCGACTCTGGCATTGATTATCGATCGCGGAACGTTGGCTGCTTTGCGTCAGCGACAGGATTCGACTTGTCGACCGTATCTGAACCGGCACGTCATGCTCATGTTCACGTGGATTTCATATTGACCCTTTCTCAGGATGAATACGACGAACGGGGTTCGTTTGCGGGATATCCGTCCATGGTAGCCAATCGGATTTCTACCCATCTCGATCTGCTCGGCCCATCTGTTCCGACCGATACGGCATGCAGCTCAACTTTAACCGCGTTCCATCTCGCGGTCCAGGCCATCTCACAGGGAGACTGCGAGGCTGCCGTTGTGGCTGGATGTCAGTTGAACCATCGGTGTGTAGTCCCAACCGACGTCCTGACACGTTGCTTAAACCGCCACAGCTTCATCGACTGGTTCACGTACAGTCAAGGTTCTCTCCTTGCCAAAGACGGGAAGTGCAAACCCTTCGATACATCTGCGGACGGGTATGTCGTGTTCCAATGCTCTTATCGCTCGTACTCAGAGTGTCTTCGCAGCTTCTCTAGGGGAGAAGGTTGTATAGCTATAGTGCTCAAACCACTTGAGCGTGCTCTCCAAGATCACGATCGCGTCTATGCCACGGTATGACTCTAGTCACGCATGCCTTATCCCGCCCTCATGTAACGAATAGGTTTTGGGCACATCGCTCAATTCGTCAGGAGGTGCTGCCCCTCCGGGCGCTCCAGTTGCGGACGCGCAGCGCGCGGCGATGATGCGAGCGTTTGCGCAGGCGAACAGGAATTTCAAAGATGTAGATTACGTTGAATTGCATGCAACCGGTGCGCACAGTCGTTACTCGGACCGAGCTGTCCACTAAATAGCACTACAGGTACAGCGAAAGGAGATCCTACGGAGGCGAACTGGGTCGGCGCGGAATGTTCGCGTGAAGACGAGCTGCTCATCGGCAGCGTCAAGAGCAACATTGGGCAAGTCTACATATTTTGTGTGGTACTACCTGGCAAAATCGAACTAACAGTGAACGCCAGACATACCGAAATTGTGGCTTTCCTGGCATCGTTGTGCAAAGTGATATCGATCTTCAAGACTGGGACCATACCTCCGGCTGTGAACCTGCGTACGCTGAACCCTGCAATCGAGTGGGAGAAGCACAAGCTTCGCGTTCCTTTGTGCGCCACGCAACTTCCATGCCGGAATGGGAAGAGACCGCTAGTGTCTATAGCCAGTTCAGGCATCGGCGGGTCGAACGGCCACGCTGTCTTGGAAGGACCTCCCCAGCACCTACACTCGACGGTTCGGCAGTATCTGGTCCGGTGGTCTTGATGGCATGCGGACTCTCCTCGCGTAGCGCCACTTCCATAGGACAGTCGCTGCAAAGCTCGGCACTTGTGGATTTGCGTGCGCTATCAACGGCGTTAGGCCGACGTGCTAAGCAGATGTCCTGGAGGTCCTATGCTATCGTTGAGGAGGGCTCCAAAGGCGCCATCACATTCTCTGCCCTCAGCATTGCCAGCGAACAAAACCTCTCGTCGTGTTTTTGTTCTCGGGTCAAGGCCCACAACACCCGGATAGTACGTTCATCGTATCCACTTAATCCCATGCCAGAACTCTGACGGTATCGTGCAGTGGGTCGCGAACTCTTCGACAGATTCCCTGTCTTCAGGGATAGTGTTCTCGAAATGGATGTTATTTTCGAGCGGCTGACGGGAAAGTCGATTATCAGGGACCACGGTCTCTTTTCGGGGACGTCCTGCGTTGCGGATGGAACCTGGCCAATTTCACTCATTCTGCCTTCCATCGCTGTATTTCAAATGGCGCTCTTTGACTTGCTCATACACCTGGGAGTTAGACCCGACGTTGTTCTCGGACACTCTGCCGGTGAAACGTCGGTTCTCTACGCCTCAGGCGCAGCTCCGAAGGCGATGGCCGTAGAGCTAGCGATCCTGCGAGGACGAACATTCTCATCAATGGAAGATCTGGGCGGTACAATGGCGGCTGTGTCGTGTATGCCGGAAGAGGCCGAGCTGCTCCTAAATCAAGTTCGCCGGGAAGACGACAGGAGCATCATTGACATAGCCTGCTACAATTCTCCGTCTGCGGTTGCCATCTCTGGGCATGCAGTAGCAATAGATCAGTTCTTGGAGCTAGCACTCGTCCGTGGCTACTTCTGTCGCAAAATCAGGAACCGAGTACCAATCCATTCGCCATATGGACCGGTGTCGCGACGATATGTCCAGCGCTTCGTGACCTGTCGGCGCTACCCAGGCTGTCATGTACCGAGCGTTACGACAATTCTACATGACTGGCGCTCGGTTTGAAGGCCCCTACGACGCCGAATACTCTGGAAGAACACCGGAACCCTGCCGTTCACACACACAATCCAGACTGCTCGGCGCATTCCACGACAACCATTGAGACTCCCACATCCTGTTTGTCGTCCTACATCCGCAGATCACCCAAGGCGCCAGTGCGGTCTTCCCGCGACCCACAGACGGAAGCAAGGCCGTCCATCTACGAACATCGCGATCTGTTGAACAGCGACAACTTACTTCCGCGGGTCACAATATGTCAACTTCACGGTGCTCAATGGACGCGCGTGTACGAGTTGACACTCCGTCCGAGTATCCTTTACGAAAAGCATTCCTCTATCCCCAACTCCGGGTGTGAACAAATGCAGCCACACAACGACCGCGAATCATGATACCTCCAAAGTGAATAAGGATACACATCCGACGCTGGCGGAGCATGTCATCAGAGGAGAGCCAATCATGCCTGCTGCCGGTTTTATTGAGATGGTCTGTGAACATCGGTGCTATGACCGTTCGTGCTGCTGATCTGGTTTTTATCCCAGGCACTGGAATATGGGGCTACGACCTTGATGAATGTGGACATGCGAAGCATCCTGTCCTTGTCGTCCGAGAGGCCCATGAAGGTTGATATCTCCCGCGATGGCTTCCTTTGGGCTGTGAAGACTTCGATTTCGTCCAGTCATGCCGCTTCGGCGCCGGTACGTCGTTTCCGCAGGCTCTGCGAGGTGTTGCATGCGATTCATGTATCCTGTACCAGACCGAACGGACACACGCGAGCGGATACCTGTCATTTGAACCACCGACGCCCCACTCCGTTAGACATTCCCGCCATACGTCAACGATGCGAAGGGTATACTGGATCCTGTGAGTAAGTGCTGCTGGCAACCGCATGTATCACGGCTGAGAAGGCGATCATAGCGTTCTATCATTCACTTGCGTACTTCTCTGCGTACGGTGCGTGCTTCCGTAGAGTCACGGAAGTCTTTTATGGCTATCACGAGGCCTTGGTATCGATCAAGGGTATGGACGATGCGTTAGAGCGGTATGCTGCTGTTCTTTCCCCAGTATCAATGCCGCCGCTGAACATATGTTAGTGATGGACGTTATTTGCTGCATCCGGCCATTCTGGACGCCTGCCTGCACATCACCTCTTATAGGCCATTTCATGGGGACCATGGCCCGAACAACTACTACTTGCCCGCGCACGTCGACGCTGTCATTCTTCATTGCCCTCCTCGGGCTCACTTCTTCCCCGAGCATATCTATACGCACACCGTTCTGAAGAAATGGACACCTTGTCAGTACTGCCCGCTTCTATATGATGATCCTAAATGACGAACAGTTTGCATCAGCGTCCGTGTTCTATGATATCATCATTGCGGATGATGCTGGCACACCCTTATGCACGTTAGAAGGACTCGAGGTTGCGAAACATCAATTTAACCCACCACCAGAAGATCTGATACCATATGATGTCGGGCTACAACGATCTGTCCTACCTTTGCTGTCGGATACTAGAGACAAAGTCAATGGGCACAAGCTTGATCAATTTAACGGGAATGCAGCCTCCACTAAGGTTCGTACCTTACGTGACCTCTATATCTCCGCACTGAGTTTTGCAGCAGCAGCACGAGGATCAATGCGCAGATGCCGTGATTGACCACATCAGTGCATTACGGGAAGTTGTAGAGCAGGTCTCAAGACAGAGCGGAAGTGTTGTTCGCCTCCTCGCCCACGGGACTGGTGCGTCCTACGAGCATCGAACCTATGTTAAGGCGAACTGACCGTGCGGCCAGAGTTCCCACGTACCGACCATTTCACCCACTTACTCGATGGATTCCCTCTGCTCTTATTTGATATCTCCGCGCAACCTGGTCGAGCTTCCCAGGACGTGAGCCCACGGCGAGGAACTGTCAGGACCTCAAACATCGATCTTGCCAACCTTGGGAGCAATCACCCTGCGTACTTCGATATCATATCTACGTTCCTTCCCGAGGGCGATCCGTATGTCGCGCAGCTGAGCCGTATACTCGTCCCTGGTGGTTTATTGGTCCTCACGACGCGGTCAGACCTACCGGTTGTGAACGGTCACAAGGCGCATGGGATCGAACGACTTTCTCAAGCGCTACATGATGCGGGATTAACAATTCGGCGAACGCTGATCGCACCAGGTGGATCATCTCCGACCTTTACCGCTTGGTGCCAAAGGACCGAGAGTTCCGCAGACGGCGTACCGGCACCACCTGTGTTCGATCCCGACGAAGCGTTCGTATTCCACTATGCCCAAGGGCATGAGATGGACCTGCAGTGGGACTTCAGTGGTCTGGACCCTGTGGACGCCTTGGACGTTTGGGTTCTCGTCGCCGAAGGTCGTGATGGGGGTGCCGCACTCGGGCTTGTCCGGGCTCTGCGACTGGAGTATCTGTCATGGACAATCCACGTCGTTGTGTTCCCCCTGACTCTTCTTATGGCGACGAGGCCTCGCGAGAAGAGTATCTGCAAACGATCCCAGCGCACATGCGCGAGGAGCTGGATATATTCGTGACTCAGGAAGGCGGTGTTTTAGTTCCTAGAATGATGCCTCTGCCTGAGCGGACTGCTCCAGGTGGGCAGATAGCTGACCAGATGGATCCTGGCGTGGAATGCGAAGGCAGCATCCTTCTCGAGGTGCAGGGCGTATCTGGTAGCGCTATAGTCAAGGGTGTTCTCGGGTTGGAAATGAACAGAAGCAACTCGTGGACAAGCACAAACCCCAACAATGGACCCGTCGTCGCCATTGCCCAAGGTCCAGTGGGAAAGTATGTCACCGTTCGCAGAGAGGCCACTTCCCGCCTCTCTCCGCGTTTGAATCGACATTCGACCATGATAATGCAGTGCATACCAAGCGTCGTAGCTGGCATCCTTGCGCAAGGCACGCACACGTTCTCCAACGACAAGAGGTGCCGAGGTCTCCGAGTGCTCGTCACGCATTCAGATACCGCCACCGGCATGACAGTCATCTGGATGTACCGCAGGCAGGGCATAACTGTTGTCGGGCTTCCGGCGGACGCGACGCCCCTGCATCTGTCCTCCGCTCTTCGCAGTGGATTCAACCTGGTCGTGTCCGGATACACGGATCCTTCTTATATTCAACTCCTCAGGTCTGCGTCGTGCCCGAAAGGCGGGAAGATGTATTTCTGGGACGACCCGCACGAGGGATTAGCTTGGGCACTGCGGAACGACCTGTGGTCAGTACAGGATGCACTAGAGCTCGCGCTCACCTTCCTAGAGGAGCGTACGGATGACTTGGAGGAGAGTCTGCGTAGTTGTCCAGCTGAGCATCATAGCGTGCTTCGAGTGCCTGACATCGCCATAGCGACCGTTGAGCCGCGGACGGCAACCTTCAGCCCGCACAAGACCTACCTCGTCCTGGGTGGCATCGGGAACCTGGGGGCGCACGTCGCCTGGATGTTATACAGAGTGAGTGTCATCCCGATGGGTTCGACGCATGCTCACCTCATCCCAGCACGGCGCTCGACGCCTCGTAGTCACGTCCCGTCGGGGCGCAGCCAGCCTGCAGACGACGTCCAACCGTCTCGTCCGGCGCACATTCGAGTACCTGCGGTCCCTCCCTGACCTAGACCTGCGTCTCTCAGCAACCAACGCTTCCGACATCGAGAGTATGGCTGAGCTGCTCCGCGGGATCCCAGAGGAGGCACCGCTTGCGGGGTGCATAGTCCTCACGGCCGCACTGTCCGACCGAACGTTTGCACGGCTCGAGGAGGCAGACTTCGCAAGCGTATACGAGTCGAAGATTGGTGTGGTTGACACGCTCCGTGAGTGCGTCGATGTCGGGGCATTGGAGTTCCTCGTCCGTTCTCATCCGTGGCGGGCCTCTTTGGAAATGGAGGGCAGACGAACTACTGCGCGTGAGTGGCTACAATAGGGTAACAAAAACTGATCAGGACTGACAAGTATGATGTTAGAGCCAACACGGCGATGGAGGAGCAGGTCTCTGCGTATCCGAACGCATTCGCCTTCGTCTGTCCGGGGATCATCGACTCCACGATGATGCGCTCGAGCGAACTGGGCGAGTCAGGCAAAGTCGCACAGCTTGAGCAGTTCGCCCAGTGGGGCATCACGGCGGAAGGTGCGTCCACACATCTGCATATCGCGCCCGACGTCACTCATGGCTCAAACTTACACAGACATGATCCTGTGGCTGGAAGACGCCCTCGCTCGCTTCCAAGCCGGCGAGCGGTTCGCGCGGTATGTACCGACAGTCGACTGGTACGCGCTCGAGCGCACGCGGGGCATGCCCCTTCTCGGACGACACCTTCTATCTACTCCGCTGACGCGGTCGGGCTCGTCAGCCGCGGCCCCGGGGCGAATGGTGGGGGCGGCAGACGAGGGAGGCGACGTGGGCATACGGATGGCGGCGATCGTACGCGGGGTGCTGGGCGTCGCCGCGGAGGACTTCTCGCCGGAGACGCCGTTCACGGCGTATGGCGTCGACTCGCTGTCCGCAGCGCGGCTCGCATTCATGCTGCGCCCGTTGGTGGAGGTGACGCAGCTGCAGCTGTTGGCGGACATGTCGTTGGAAGGGCTGGAGGTGCTTGCGGGGAAGGGGAAGAAGGAGGAAGGGGTATAGCGAAGTGGGGGCGTGCGTTGCAGAGCTGTTTCTTAATCTGTGAGTACATTCGGGTGACTGGCGAGACTGGCAACCTCAAATTATCGTCTTTCTAGCCCACCATTGTTTCTACACTTGACCCAAGCATCTGTGGATCTGAAGGCCAGAATATTGTACTATTTAGCTGTGGAGGCTTTTTGTAAAACCCGCCGAACTGCCACTTGCTCGAATTCTCTGCTGTGTATCTCGAATCTGCTACTAGTGCTAGGGGAACCGTTCTCGCGCGACCGCGGCACGCACTGACATCATAATGTAGCAGGCAGTGCAGGGTATATTCAATGAGGCCATCGGCGCTACGTATGACAGACTTGGCTGGTCGGTCGGGCAACTGCATCGAGGAGCGGTCCGTGATGCCGCATCTGTGAGTGGCCAAATGTGCAAGAAACTCGGTGCAGCCTCGCTATACACCATCAAGCCCATCATCATCTGGCGGGCGCAGAGACGTTGC